AAAAATTCATCTTCATTATAATGCTGCCAGGGCTGGAGTGAGTGGAAATGCATTTAAATAAGGCCTCAAGTATTCAGTGGCATAGACATAAATAAATGAATATTTTCACTCATCAAATAAAATCAAAGGATTGTTGTTTTTAAGAAGAGATATTTAATTTTAAGCAATGAATTTAATATTTTCATGTCATTGTTTTCATACAAAAATGAGTCAATTAATAAATTTATAAATTTATAAAATTTTTTAAGTATGTTTTTAAAAATCAATCGGTGAAAGCTTTAACTCTTCTTCATAAAAATTGGTTTCTTCAAATAGATTCCCCTCATTCCGAGATTTACAGTAAGAGTAAATGTATTAATCGAAATCAAATACTCGCCAATGTCATTTGACAAAACCCGTTCCCTTGATTGAGTTTTCTAGTTCGATTTTTTGATTGCGTCCAGGTTCTGAATTCGTAGTCAAAAGGGAATCGCTTTTGAGAACACAAAAGTTGAATCCCTTTGCCAAGCTAAAATATTTTCTGGGTACTAAAAACAATGCAATTCAATCTTTTTTTTTTTTCGCCCACAGAAAAGAACTACCAAACATTTTCTATCCCCCCGTCCTTCAAAAAGCAATTCTATTTGATGCGGTAAAAGTGTTTGAATTTGAATTTGAATTAATAGGATTAGAATGAAATGACTTTCAATGGGGGTAAATAAATTAAAGTGCTTTTTGCCATCGAATTGAATGCAAATGTTGATTCTGTTTCGCTTACACAAAAGGACTATGAGCAAACGCCCAAGAACAAGAGCACATCGAGCTGACAGAGTTGATATAGGAGCAATCAGATTAGTTGCTTAAAAATATTTCCGCATGTAGCAGCCGCAGCAGCAGCAGAAGCATTTTAATTATCGCAATTCCCCAGGGCGCAGTTCAACTAATTGCCCTCCCCTGAGGCGGTATTCTAGTGGAGGGGTTGTGGAGTTGTTCAGATGTCACAATTAAACTATAACCCCAACGAAAAGGGCCCCAAAAACTCCGCCCATATCACTGAAAAAATATATGCAATTTCCAAATCAAAAAATATTTTCTTTTTAAAATTCCCAACTTTTTTGCTGAAAATTCCAATAATTGTTTGATCATCATTTATGTAACATTACAGTTTTGTTTTAGATTTAGATTTGTTTAAATTAAGACACGTATAAAGTGTTAGTAAACAAAAAACGTTTCTGAAATAGTTTCTCTAAGTGCACCTTCGCTCTTTTGGGCCTTGTTGTTCGTTTCTCTTATCAGTGACTCAAAATGACAAAAACTGCCGGAATACCCCTAATAGGAAACCACAAAAAAAGCACACCACAGTTAGCAACTGAAAGTCATACGAAGGAGCGTGTTGTTTTGTCCTGGTAAAAATTAGGCATTCCGTGCGAAATATAGATACGAGATAATCATTTTAATAAATTCCACAGTGATAAATGACTCGGAGCCTCTCTATTTATTCATTCTCCGTTTTCTTTCCCTTTCAGGCATATCCTTAAAATGGTTCAGTGTCCTGTCTGTTTCTGGCCGTAGGCGTGAAATAGTAATGAATGATGTTTCGGTTATGTCCCGACTAATTGATGAGGGAGGTCCTTAGTTAGTTAATTTTTTCTGAAATTAGTGGACAGTTTTTACATGCTGTCCTTATTTTCTTAAATGTGGGGTTTTTAGTATATCATAAACTAGTTGCTATTACAAATAATAGTTATAATAGTTTATAATAGTAATACGATAAAAATATATATTTTAATACTCTTATTTCTAGCATTTTTAACAACAACTGCCTCTAAGGATGAGATTTTCTTTTTATTTTCCTGTAGTCAACTTTCCGCACTTTTGACTTACCAAAAATGACTGCCATAGAAGAGCAGCTGTTAAAAAGAACCGGCGGATGTGTCGAGTGTTTTTAATTTTCGCTCGAGCAGTTTTGCTCCTTCCGATTACCACCCCTCCCAACCCCCAAAAAAAGTCAATTGTTTGTTTGGCGCATTATGCAAATTATGAAACTACAAAAGAAAACTTTCACGATTTTTACGCCATTTTTTGTTGGGACCCAGCTGTTGACATTTTTTTGCCAATTTTTGGTTGTCGAGCAGCAGGCAAATAAAAAAACATCCAGAGATTAAAAAACACACGTATAGTTATTGTGTACGAAAATTGTTCTCTGCTTTTTATTTGATATATATGTTTATTTAATCCAAGACTTAGGGGTCTAATACAATTCGATTCGTAGAAATGATGCAGCGCCGGTAGAAAAGTTTTACCACAGTTAATCCAAGATCTACAGCTAAGCTACATAATAAATATGTCATAATAATAATTCCATACATATCTAAATATTTGGATGTTCATATGTGATTCATACTTAAAACAGTATTCAATATGCAATTAATCGCTAGTCGTAATTTTGGCCAGATTATTCGCTCTTATGGGTGTGATAAGGAAAGTTTAACAAAAAAAACAAACTGACAATTATAGCACATATATGTTTATAATTAACTCTAAACAATTGCACAAAACAATAATTTCGCATAAATAATTTGTGATTTATGTTGTTTGATTCGATATATAAGTTCGATTGTTTTGTGTTCTTTGTATTTTGGTTTCATTCAGTGTTCCTTGTAAGTGTATTTTGTATTTTGTGTATTTACATAAATGAACTACAAACCTAGAAAAATGAGTGAGATAAAAATATCAACAAATCATACATTTGGCATGTATTTTATGTAATTGTGTATATGGCGACCATTAGGAAACCCATTTTGCCAACTCATCCCGAAATTAGTGGAATATTTCTTTTTTCTTTAGATCCTAAGCCAACGGCGTTGGTGACATTGTGGCACGTGTCGTTCTGGTTGGTGACTTTGTGGGCGTAGCAGCTCCACTGCTATTGCCACTGCCACAGCCACCATTTCCATGAAGCCGGAAAAGTTCACCCACCGTAATGGCCACTTGGACGGCACCTTTTCCTTCCAGCACGTCGGCAGCACAGCAAATTAGGTTCTACAAAAATAAGATTTACACAAATAAATTAAAATTTCATTACAAGTTTGGCGAAAAGTTGGCAATGTTCCTTTGTTATGTGTTTTAAGCAGGCGGTCAAGAGAGAGTATTATTTGTATGTTTTTTTTTTTTTTATTTAATCTTAACCCGTATTTAACTTGGCTTTAAATACGTTATTAAAGACCAATAATTATTCGAACTTTAAGCGATTTTATTTATTACGTTCCACAATGACGCAGTTTCTGGGCAATTGGATCATGTACTGGGTAAATTTCCGCGTTCCACACTTTACGGTTTGCGTCCTAGCTTGGTCACAATTATTCTAAAACTGTAAGCTTTTAAACATCGTACATTTTAAATTTTTATTGGTATATTTGTCATTATATTTGATCTTTGATTTCATTTGTATATATATATAGCGCTAAGTTGACAGGTTGTGCTTAAATTTAAATGCAACGGTTTTCATTTTCATTTGGTTTGGAAGTAATTTTATGGAATTCCTTTGACAAATGTTGACAAAAAGTTTTGGCTTCAATTTTCATTTTGGAGATTTCATATATATTTTCAGTATTGTATATGCATGTTAAATACGCGTTTTTTATATAAAAATTAATTACTGATTACAGCTGCCTCAACGCCTTGTCTTCCCTTCAATAATTTTGTTAGACAAAATATATACTTCTGCTTTTAGACGCTAGATAAATATATATGTTTATCGTATATTTTTCTGAGTGTTAGAGATTGTGCTTCTTGTAGAAATTTGATTAGATTTCAATTTTTTTCTCTTTAAGTACAATTGTATACTTAAATTAAATAAATTATTTATAATGTTAGGAATGTTGTTAGCACATTGAAAAGAGTGGTCAAGTAAGTTTGTATGTAAATTCAATTGATACAGAAAATCGTCGTTCTTGAAAATTTATTAATGACAATGACTTACTTTTGAGAAGAATAAATGAGTTGTGATAGATTTTAGGCAGACTAGACTTTCGCGCCGCACTCCAGTCAAAGGCACTATTTTGTGATTATTATTTGTGTTTAAATGGTCGATTTTTATATGAAAGTGCGCACATTTAAATTGAGTTGAGAAAGTGAGTTATGTTTCTGTCGTACTTAAAAAAAAACATGTTAGGGTACTGTTGTTGTTTTTCTTTGACACATTTAGTTTGTACATCAAAAGATCTATTAAGAAGTTCTCTAAATAGTTTGAATGGAAAATGAATACAAAAAATATTAATAATTACAATTTAAAGTATTTAACTATATAGTTTTCTCACCATTTTGTTGAACTACATTAAGAAGAATCTTTCTGAAATTGGTACTTTAGTTGGCTATAGATCTTTATCTTCATTCAATAACTATTTCACGCTTTACTACAACTATTCCGAGTGTCCCTGCTTCAAGTAAAACCATACAACTCCAACCTCTTCCAGTAGCTTGACTTTACAATAACTACCAGAGTTAATTGCCATCAAACTGTAACAAGTTTCTTTCCTTTCTAAGTTTCTTTCCCATCTAGGTAACTAGGTTGGTATATATTGTATCATCATCCTAATAGCTATACTTATACATTTTCTTTATGATTTTCATATATCTTTTTACCAGAATGGAACTTAAATCGATATAGTTTCGTTGTAACTAAGGTTAATCATGTTTTTTATATAATTATAATGAAATGAAGCGCATTATTAATGTATTTCTTTCAGTTCAGCATGATTTAAGACTACAAATTTTTTTTCGTAAAATTCTTAATCCAATTTAGAGTTCAATAGCTTGTACATGAACTAGGAATATGTGGTTATAATTTGGGTATCTATAAAACCGCTCTTTTCCAATTATTTTTTATGGGTATGCACAATCAAAGTCTATTTAAAGTAACTGATTTATAGTTCATTGAATTTGTAGGTGATATAAAAATATTTATTCATTGGAGTATGCTTAAAATAGTTTACTTCAGGTATAAATGTCTTTTTTAAATCTGATAAATAAGATAAGACTGTAAGATACTTAAATATTAAGTAGTCTTAAAGTATAGGAATATTTTGTAAAATAATACAAGAAAATAATAAAAACGAAATGTAGAAACATAGATAAATTATGTTGTAAAGGAACTTTAGATTGAAACTCAAAAAGAGCATTTGTATTTTTGGGAACTAATGTTTTTACTATTTAAGTAAATTACGTTTCATAGGTGATTGTGCATACCCTAAAATAATCATAGAGAAAAATGAGCCAAAAATTAATTATAATGTCAAAGTCTTTGGGTTTTCTCTCAAGTAAATGCCTCAAAAGTTGTCTGTTTGTTTTTTCTTTCGGGGGTTTTGGTTAGATCAAAAGTTGGGTATAGATGGTTTTTATAAATATGGGTTATAAGCCTAAGCGGTAAACAAAAGCAGCCTCAAGAACTCACTACCAAGTGGAAAAGCGCAAAAGCAGCTTTAACTCTCTTTGTTGTCGATCTTAAATCTAATGGCAACCCAAAGCAAAAACAAAAAATTAAGCTATACTATGTAGACTAGCCGGGCAGCGGGAAGAAGACCAGCCAGAGGAAGGTGGCTATGAATACGCACGACAGGACCACTGTCAAGGTATGTGAATCGTGCTTTAATATTGAAGTTCCAGCTTCGTTGGTCTTGGCTTTTAATTTCTGCTCGAGTTCCTTACTCTTCTCCTTGGGCAAATAGATGCTAAACACTTCTAGTTTCTGTTTGCTATTCTTTTGCTGCTCGAAAAACTCGATGCGTTTGCTGATGGCTTCCTTAGTTGCATTTGCCAATGATCCTGCGTCATTCAGGTCCTCTGGTTGTTGCTGTTGCGGAATCTCCTCCTTTTCGTCAATAATTTGATAATGACCAGCCGGTCCAGCGGCGGCCACGTCATGTTCATTCTCCACAATTGTGTGCAACTTTCTATTATTATTGTTGGGATGGAAATTATGCTGACCATGGGCACTTAGCAGATTGTGTTTGATTTTCTCATAAGTTTTTTGCTTGGCCTTCAGGAGAATTTGACCCACTACAGCCAGTTGCTGCTGCCGTTTGCCTATATCATCATCACGATCCTCAACCCCATCATCATTTTCAGCCCTTGGCTGGCCATTCTCATATAAAACATGCTCTAGTTGCTGCTGTTGCTGCTGCAACTGCAACATCTGTTCTTGTTGTTGGCTGCAGGTAGTTTGCTCACTGAATTGCTCTTGCTCGAAGTGATATTGCTGTAGCTGCTGCTGCTGCTGGGAAACAACAACAACCGATTGCTGCTGCAGCTGAAGATGATGATGAAATTGCTGATGATACGGATTCGCATCCAAGGCAATCAGAGCGGACACTGTTCGCAGTAGGGCCAATGCATTGGGCACTCTATCAATATAGTTGCTGCTGCTGTTGCCATCGCTGATGCATGGCACGTTGCTGATGTCGCTGCTGCTGCTGCTGTTGTTGCTAATGATGTTGCCATCATCTTGGACATAAACATCAGCATCATAGTCATCGTCAGCACGTGGCAATTGTGGTTGTTGCGGTTCAATTTGTGGCACAACATCTTCACAGGAGCAAATCAACTCCTGCAACCAACACCAATAACAGATGCATCAGTTTCTTGTTTGTATTTTTTGGGTATTTTTTGTGTATGTATGTGTTTGTGTGGAGTGTGTACTTGTGTATGGGTTGGGGTTTAACACTTAAAACTAAACTACATTTGTCCAGGACATTTAGCAAATGGAAAGCACTCAGCATAGTAAAGCATTCAACCAAAGCCACCTTTTAACCTTGAAGCTACACAATAACTATGACTACTGAAAAAACAATAGAAAGTAACAGCGCATTTTGTTAAAAAATAAATAAGGAATTATAATAATACCAGAAATTAATTTTCTGTAAAAGCTTTGTAGGCTATCGCATTAGCTTCCAACTTGTTGTTATCAAGAGCTCTAAAAATAGAATCGTTATCAATAACATTGTTTCCAACTTAAAAGGAATTTGACTTGAAAATCAAACATTTTTTTCAAATTTATAAAAAAATTTATAAAATCATTTTTTGCAATAAACTTAAAATAAGGTTTACTGTGTTTCAAAATGCACTGTACTTTTGTAGCAAAACATTGATTCATAAACGTACCTCATCTACACCAATGCGCCGACATGCCTCCAAAAAGTTATCCACATTCCGACGACACCTGGCCATGGTCAACTTGTTCTGAAATGCCAAGGACAACAGTTCATTAAAATGAAAAATTAAAATACAATTTCAATCTACTCACCACACCAGGAGATGGCACATGAATGCTGGCCACTGAACGTGGTCGCACATAGTTGGCCAAATGACACAGTATAACACCGTCCGTCAGAGCAGAGGCAATATCCGTGGGCAACGTCATTTTTAAACGCGTTTCAATAATCTACAAAAATAATTTATTGATTAAACTATACCCATGTTTTCTGATCAGTTCCTCCACACTTACACTTCTCAACTCCGACATCAATTCAGTTTCCTCCCTTTGGCGATCGAACTCCCGTCGCATGGTGAAGCTCAGCTTCTCGGCGGGAATATCATGGTTCCAGGTCACCGAACGGTGTGTCTTTACTGTACCAAGTTTGGTTGTGGAGCTGACTGGCGATTTGATGGTGGTGCTGCTGACAATACCCACAGTTGCTGGCACTCCTCCACCATTGGACGGATTAAATTTGTTTGCTCCATTTTTCATGGGGCTGTGTGGCTTAACGTAGCCCAAACAATCCGATGAAATGACAGAGGGAATACCGGATGTGGTTGCCGGCTTTATTTCCGTGTTACGAGAGGGTATAACCTTTTGGATTGGTTTCTTTGGTATGACAACATCATCGACTCCATTCCCGTTCCCATTTCCGTTTCCATTTCCGTTCCCATTGTGACCGTTTTGGTTACTATTCTGTTTCATTATAGACTTTGGCAATGTGTTTGCAGACGATCCATTCGAAATTGCCGGCGCTGACGGGGAAAGATCCTCGTCGTCATTGGGACTATGGTTGGCATTCGGATGCTTCTGCTTGTAGACGCTGATCTCCTGATTACGCTGCTGTTTCAGGGCCTCCTTGTATTCCCTGACAGAAAAGTTACATGAAATTTATACAGAAATGTTTGAAAAAATATAAACACTTACTTGTAGGTCTGAATATTGCCCAGACTCTTTCCAGACTTTCCATTGGCTGTGTGCACAGTTCGCTCCTGGTGGTCCAGCATGATATCTTCATCCTGATCCGGCGACGATCCATTACTAGAGCTATTCGAATGCGCATAGCTTAGTTTGCAGGGGCGATGCCGTGGGACTCAGAGTAAGACTCTCATCCACAATGGTACTAGTACTAGAGGTTAGGGATGCATCCATCATATCCGCATGCGAATGAACAGCACTTGGCAGCGTCCTGGGTAAAGTGGCAGCCGCCGAACTAGAGACACAGTGCAGCGGTGAATCTGTTTTTGATTTAGCAGGGACATCGTGCGACCAGCGCTTGTCTAGACCATCACTAGTGCTGTAGCCCGAGTCGACCTGATGTCTCCGCTGGTTGTTACTGCTGCCACTGGTGCTGGCTTCAAGAACATTCCCGCTGGAATTGTGACGAGGTGCTCTTCGTAGTGTGGTATATCCATCGTAGTTGCCTCCCGACCGGGAACCTTTCTCGTCCTTAGTGGCCTGCGTCTCCAGGAATTTAAACACGTGCACCAGGCCACGCATGCAAAGCTATAAATAAAATAAGATAGTTAAAATCTTGAAAGTAAGACAATAGGTATATCAACTCACACTAGCTGGGGGCGAGGTTAAGGGATTATTCTCCAGCTGCAGCTCTACCAAAGAGCTCATATGTCGAATCTCCAGCGGCAGACTAGCGATCTTGTTGTTGCTAACATCCAGGGAAATCAAACTTAAGCAGGTTAACTCCCTGGGCAGATACAGCAAGTGATTGCTTCTCAGCGAAAGCGAACGCAGAGATCTCAGTTCCCCCAGACGAGCAGGTAAATTGGACAACTGATTATATGACGCATCCAGGTCGGTCAGGGTCTGATCCAGTCGACCAAGTTCATCTGGTAACGAAGCCAATCGATTGTTGGAAACCAGAAGAACCTGAAGGGGCAGGAAACAAATTTCCCGGGGAAGGGAAGACAGCTGATTGCTGCGCAGATCCAAATAGGTTAGCGAGGATAGCTGCTTCACCGATTCCGGAATGCTGCGAATCGTATTGTGATACAGCAGCAGGGTCTCCAAAAAAGCGAACGTCGTGACTTCTTCAGGCAACTCGGCAAATCTATTCCGGGACAGATCTGTAAATGGAAGCAGAGGGCATATATTAATTTGGAATCCAGCTGGGGGATGTTGAGTGAACCCGAACCCTTGTTCCATTTGACACGCACTTTCATTCCCAGTCCCATTCCCCTCCTTATTTTTCAAATCCACGCCACAGTGGAGCGCCTGACCTCAATCTGCCGGCAATTTGATTCGCCCCATTCCGACCAACAGGAAAAGTAATGCAAATATGACCGGATTGCTCGACTATTGAATGCTCTCTTGGGAGATTTTTTGTTTGTTTAAGACACTTTATAAATTGTTATAAATTATTATATTTAAGAAACAACCTAAGAATTCGTTATTATATATACATATTAATATTTCAATATTTTATTTCATATTTTTTTGAAGATCCCTAACATACACAGCATTTTAATACCCGAGAGAATATCAAAAAGTGGGCAACTGAGTTTGGAGTGGGCAATTAATTTACTAAATGAATTTGCATGCGAAATGAGCGCAAACAGAACGAAAACTGTAACTTTGTGGGGAGTGGTAATGAATAAACCAACTAAAAAGAAGGAAAATGGAAACAGGAAAAGGTGCACAGAAACATTTTCAACATTTTATTGTTAATTTTTCACATAATAACTTCCTTAATATTAAAATATACATAAATATTTTACATAGACGAAACGGTAATTAAAATTTAAAAACATGTAATTCTTGTAAAATTTAAGACAACCTGATAAAAATGTTTTTTCCCCTGTGTAGCCAAACAAAGCGTAAATCAGCTCTTAATTGTGCGTAAAGTTTCGGGGAAAAACGCAAGGAAAATTTAACATCAAGGCATTTTTGCGAAATTGGGCAGATCGAGGTTGGATAAGATTGTGTTTTTTAGTAATTAAATGTGCGTAGGAGGGTGACATAATACTTTGGTTTCATGAAAAAGAAAACACAAATCTAGTACAAAATAGTTTATAATTGAACAAAACATTTGAAAATTCGTAGTCCAAAATAGCCCACATCAATGACCAAATGTTCGATATCGGGCCACCTATTTTAAAGCCATTTCCGAGAACTTTCGCTACAAATGAGATCAAAATTTAATTTCACATCAAATGAAATTGCAGAAACCAATAATGTTCAGAAGGTGAAAAGCGAGTTTCCAAAAATCATAATAAAAATGTTGATGGCAAAGACTTCACCTTTTTCAAGTAGCGTTGAAGCACTTAGCAAACAGTGCATAAGAAATTGGTGAATCTTAATAGCCAACTCGTAAAAATTTACGAACCGCGGACCAGTCTTGGCTCTTCACCTTACCGCCGGCATATTTTACGCAACTTGCCAAAACACAGTGAAAACCAGAAACTAACAACTGCGAGGCAAGAAAAACTTGCTAGCCTGAATAAGTGACTGATTGACTGGCTGAATAACTGACGACGAACTGACGACAGTGTAAAGTGATTTACGCACTTGCTAGGAGTCACTGAGACTAGACTTTGTAGACTATACATATATCTTCCTGTGGACAAAGGCGATGAATGAATGGGAGCTTGACTTCGGTAGCTTCTAGACATTAACCTGCCACATGGAGAGCTTCTACTCTTGTTGCATACTATATGAGCTTACAATGATGCAACGCTAAAAGGCGGCAACAAATTTACACTTAAAAAAGGTAATACCAAAAGTTATATATTGAACCAAAACTATTTATATATCAAAATTTAAATTAAATTAAATTTTTGTATAGTTTTTGGAATTCTATAGAATGAAAAAATATTTCTAAATTTTTTCATTTCATAATCATAAATATTTTTTTGCAAGTGCATAAATCCTTTTTTCTTGCATCCTGACAAGTTGAATAAACCTTAGCCGGCCAATGACGTCGGGATGAGGTGGTTCAGAGTTGAAAAGTTGTTCGAGGATGCGGATGCGGAAATTGGATTTCCCTGATGCGGAGGCATCAATTTAGGGCAAAATGGGACCACAAGCGAGACTTTGTACTTTGAACCTGCAGACCCGTAACGAAGATATTTTTTATCTCTAGCGACACCTGCTCAATTGTGCCTTCTGGCAGTTTCCCAAGAGTTTCCACTCTATTTCTCCGCTTACTCCCCTTTTGTGCTGCCCCACCGTTGGCTTTTGGCCAACTTCAACGCAATGCGACAGGCGAAAATGTGTTTTTTATGTCTCGCCAAATATATCAAATTTTTTGACACGCCGAAAAAAATTCAAAGTGCCATCGCTGTTTTTGTTGGCATTTTTTAATGTTCGTGTTTCTTTTTAATTTTCCATTTTTTATTTGCCCACCTAAGGCTCGGCGTAATGTCATAAATATTGCAAAAATCGTCCTCGGACCAAGCAGGCATTTTATCCAACCGAAAAAAGGGTGTGACTTCGGGATTTGGAACAAACATGGATTCGAGAAACGCCCAAAGTCAACTTTGTCAAAAAACACGCTAACAATGGAGGAATATGATGATGTAAGTGGAGCAGTGAACGACTCGGATATGACCCTCCTTCGAGGTAATGAAGGTGCATAAATATTTTATATTTCCTAACAGAGTTGATAAATGTATTTAAAATTGTTTGGGTATTGAACTAAATATTTTAAATATGAATAAAATTATTTTTTGTAAATTTTCGTTACAAATATATTAAAAGGTATAGTATTGAAGAGATTATGCCATAAATTGATACAGCCCATATCAGTTTGATACAAAACACTTGATTGATAGATAAGATAATACACATCAGTATATAGATAGTAAAATGCACCCTCCTGAAGGGCAATCCTCATGGCATACCCTGTACGCTAAAAATTTTGGCCCGCAAAAAAGAGAGACGCATATGGCAGACATTGAGTGGCGTTCTGGTATTGAAGGGCGTGGGCCCAAGTCGGAAGCAGCAAAAAATTAAATTGATGGCGCCCAACGCGATTGGCAAATGGAGCTTTATTTCTTTTCCCGCTCCGTTATAACTTTTTTTTGGAAATCTCTGGTCTAGCCATGTGGGCGACGACTTTTCTAGGAGAATGGAGGTGGAACACGTGCCTCAATCCCCAAAGAGTCTATACTTTATTTGGCTCTAGGTCTTTCAATTTTTTTAGACACAAAATTAATATTGTGGATGTGTGGTAGCCAGTCTGGCTAGCTGGCAAAGGGGCAGAAATATCTACATACGATTCTATTGATGGATTTATTGAAATTAATTTCTTTAAGTGTTATTGCTAAATTGGTAGACTTTAAGTGGGGCGATGAAATGATGAATCATTATGTATAGGTCTGGAGGAATTCAATGGTAATCATATAAAGATATGAATAAAAAGGGGCGCTATATATACACAATGTGGAAAACGACAGATGGCTGAGATGTAATGAGTAAGTAATGCAAAAACACAAATAATAAAATGTATTTTTAATATGTCTTAACTTTAAGCTTTTTCCATATAACCTTAGATAAACAAATGAAATATTTATCCAATTCTCGAAACTATTTGTTATCGAATAACATTTTCCACGAATCAAAATATACAAAGCTGTCTAAGGAATTCTTTGAGAATCGAAACCCCAAAGGCAGCCACTTACTTGGTAATAAAAGTTTATTTATTTGTATTTCACTCTTCGGAATTATATTGAAACCACTTGAGATCACTCACATATATAGGGCAATGTCTCAACTATATGCGCACTTCGAAGTAATCAAAATAAATAATATGGAAAATTGCATTTGGCTCTTGCTACATCGATTGATTACTTTTTGATATTGAAAGCTGGAAGCAATCAAAACACAGTTACACACTAACACAAACTGATGTAGAATCAGAGCGTTTTTAATTCCAAATGCAAACACACACCCCCTTCCGTTCCTTTGGGAAAGTCTGTTCCACTTTGTTTATTTTAGACTCTGCAAATTCCGCGTAGAATTTCTTTCTCATAGCCATCCCGTTCTTCATGCTCATTTAATCACAAGGCAAACACTAGAAATCTGTGTTGGCCAAGTGTAAACATCTAGGAAAACAACAAATATTTAACAAATATTTGGAAGCAGCTATGAGTTCGTTGTTGTTTTGCCGCCGCTGATTAATGTTTTTCTTTCGAAATTCAAAGTGTAACAGCTGTGTTTTCAGGTTACATATTTCCAATGTAAATACAAACATAGTAAGAAATGGAGATCAAAACAAAGAAAAGAGTCTAGTTTTTCATACAGTGGTAACTGTCATTAAAACTATACTTCTACTTCACGTTCGTTTAAATAACATTTTTATTCGTTTTTAATTTAAATTTTATTTTGATCTACCATTTCTTAAGAAAAAAAATTCATGACATTTCTGTATTGTTAACCCTAGTTTTGTTTACAAATTCATCTTAGCGGGTTGCTCCTGTACTCGAAGTGTGTGTAACAAGATCTTTTTTGTTCTCTTTGCCTCGTTCTATGAGCGCGTGCTCTGCACAGCAATTAAGCAACTAGAAGAATTGGCCTGTCTGCCTGTTAAATAATGCTTACACTTATAAATTAATGGAAATGACTCAATGTTTAATTCGCCTTTATCTGTGTCAAGTTTACATTGCCCTCAATATTGCCAAGATATGTTAGGTATATGTATATAGAAAGCATATACATTTATATATAGCTGCACAAGTCGTTCAACTAGAGATAAGCAAGCAAATTGCATTTATCGCTGAAATAATAATGTTATTTTTAACCCGCAAATGGGCACAAAGAGGGTGCATTTAGAAATGGATATAATATAAGGGGATCGTGGACTATATGCAATGGTCTGGTATTGTGTGTATAATATAGTATCTACTCATTGAATAATTTGTTTACAAAGAAGATCTCGGTAAGAAATAATATTACTGTGGGAAAATTCAAACGCAAATATTATCGACATTCGTGTGTGGAATTTTAAAGGTTTTTGAAATAATATTTTTAATTTTATGTTATATGAGTGTCGAAAGTTTCAAGTATTATAATTTATATTTTAAAAAACATTTTCCTCTTTTCTAAGAAATCCTTTTTGACATATCAATTTTTCAAGTATGTATTTTAAAATCGACTTTCTTGGGAAATACTTTATCATGATACCATCTTCAGTCCCGGTGCATTTTAATGTTTTCTTTCGCCTGCATTGTGCATGCAAGCCATGAACCGTGCAGTTTGACAGCCACTGGAGATAAGCGACGTGCTGCAGCGGTCGCATTTCCTCTTTTGTCTGCTGCAGACGTAGAATAAATAGTAATAAAAGTACAAAAAACCAGACTAGCTGTCTTTTTATGCCCCATCATATTTACAATGCAAACAACAAATAAACGCTTCGGATACACACGACAAAAGCATTTCCCCTCGCTCTATAAAAATACGCTGACTTCCCCAAAACAGAAAAGATTTCTTGTTCTCGGTCACTTGGCAGACATTTCACTCAAACTAAAAAAAAGTAATAGTCCCAGCCTTAGGGTGGTGAAAGGTATTCTTACCATAGGGGAAGTAGCACCAAGTACTAAAAGAAAACTACAATGCTAAAATATCGATTACATTTCTAGACAATCTCAAGTTCTTTTTTTAATGAACTCAAATCACATTGCATAAGCATTGAAAACTACTAAATATCTCATTTTTAAGTTTTTTTAATTCTAAGTTTTTATATTTACTATTGCTTTGGAGGATTTTATTTTATTGATAACATCTTAAGAGACCCTGTATATGAATACAAAAAAAGGCCAAATGGCCATCACCATTCGTCAGCTGCTGATTCCTAAGCCGGCGCCAACGTTGCGGTCTGCGCAGCTGCTGTTGCTGCTGCCGCATATTGCTGTTGCTACCTTCTTACATTAACTTGGGCTTCTCTTTTCACAATGTAGCTGCCACAGCCAGCTGCAATTTTTTACCCGTTTTTCGCTTTTTCCTCTTCGATGCAATTATTTTAAACAATTTCCTGCCACAGCGTTGTCATGTTAATTCTTGGCTCTTCTCGATTGACTCTTTCGTTTGCCGGTCTTTGTCTAGGTTTTTGTTTATGGTTCTGTTTGATTTACGTGACACGCGTGTTAATTAAACGCCCCAAAGGAATGCACTTCGAAAAAAAATAGGGGGCGGAGTGGGCAGCCACAACAACAAATGATTTTAGGAAATGCTGACAAGCGCCTGGCCCATTCCATTAATTTCATGCCATTTTAAGGGTTGCAAATACAACACGCGTACAAATAAAGAAAAGAAAAATGGTTCCTTATCCCCATTTTTATTTTCCTTCGACTTTCTTTTCCTTTAGAATCATTGATTTCTTGGAAACTCAAAACCCTTGTGGTTGCAGACCATTAAGGCTAAGAGCTGTTGCCACCTCTTAAGGTCCACCTCCCCCACATGCGAAAACCTTTCGCTGAGGGTGGCTTCATTGTTCTCTAAAAGGCAATTTGTAGAGGTTCTTTCGTTAGGGTGTATTTACAAATATTTTCCCTATAGATTAACCCTTAACGAGAGGTTCAACCTATCTCGATTTCCCCCTATTTCTTCAGATTTTCATTCACACCAAATCCAGCATTTTAATTAGTAATTAGTCACGCCTTCGCAGCTTATGACTCAATTGTTAGTGTGAAATCGTAAGAAACTTAATCGAAAAATGTACGGAAAACCGGAAGCACTTTAAGTCTCCATATGGGGAAGGGTTTTCCAAAGAAGAAGGGATCGTTTCCCCATTTCGTACTGATAGCGCGTGACCATAAGTCACGGATTGTCACAGCTTAATTCACAAGCCGAGTCACGTACATGCAGGCAAGGAATGGGAATGGAACGAAAGGAAATTGAAAATTTATAGCGTAGGTTAAGAAAAATTTAAAACCCGTTTCAAGCAGCTGATAAAATATTTTAAAATGCATGCTTATTAAATTGGACCATTTTTAGTATGTTCAGCATCCATCGGAAATCTTAAATTGTCTCAAACGCTTTTTAATTGATTAAACTCAACATCTATCAATTTTTATCTAACCTATAAAAATTGAATCTTAATTGAGTAAATTGCAAACAAATTAAGATACGTTTTGTCGTTATTTTTAATTCTAGGATGACTGATTGAGACAGAAGCGAAAAGGTATTTTTATAAAATTCTTTTCCACTTCTTTTACCAAATTAGTTTTCAATTTATGACACAATTTATTTTTATCTCTCAGCCACGGCAATTAATCTTCGTAAGCCAAATATAAAAAGTTCCCTTCTATTCCAGATATTTCCACCAAAATAAAAATATATATAGATACAGTGCGCCCTCTAAAGAGTTCACACCCTGATGTTTCATTGAAATTATATTTTAAAACTTAGACCAGTTAAAATCCATGCTCTGCCTAAGAAATTGTTTAGTCTTATCAGGAATTCTAAAATAGTACATTGATTAACCAGCTATTAGGTCAAATTTTTATACTGATTACTTCAATCATTACAGTGCGCATAATCAGTTTGTCTCTTATAGACAAATGCGATAAGATATAATATGCAATGTCTTCTATTTTATTCTTCCCAAAGCGATTAGATTAAAACCCCTTTTCAGCCGTCCTAGTCAAAATGATGTATGATTGAGACTCTTCATTTTGTTGGTTTTCTATTTTGTGTGTCCACCGTATGTGTATACAACAAACACAAGTGAAAATCGATGAGAGACATGTCCCGTTGTGAGAACATCTGTTCGAGGGTAGCAGCAGCTGTAGAAGGAGGCGAGGTCGATAGAGAGGGCGGTGGTCTGTGGGTTTTCTGTTTTTGGGTGGGTGATTCGCCTTTGGTATTTCCCATTTTCCATTTCCCTGCTGGTGCAGATTTTTTGGCCCTAACAAAAACGAAAGTTGGTTGAACTTCGACGAAATTATCGCGCCGGCAGCGGCGAAAAAGGAAATAAATAAGGATAGTGCAAAGTGCCAGAGAGCGAAAAACTGCGGTAATTATTGTCCTTGAGCGCAGGCGAAAAAGGGAGAGACTGGGAGAGCGAAAGAGAGAGCAGCTGATGGGAGGGCAGAAACGAAGAAACTGAGAAAAAGGGAGAACCTCCGACGGCTGCTGCAGATTATTGATTTTCGTACAAAAAAAGAAAATTCGCTACTGCAATGGAGATAGGAAAACTTTGTTAACTCACCGGGCACACACCTTCTTTTCGTTTAAAGCCGCACCCTTAATTAAGCAGACAGCAGTTACAAATTACTCTACTTTTACTTTTTTGAGCAATAAAAGCAAAACTATATAAGGGAATCAGACTTATCTTAGTAGTTTAAACTAAACTTTTTTTTTTTGAGGGTTTAGGTCTTTTGCTTTGCTAAGACGTTCCTCCCATTCTATTAGATTTTACTTTTCACTCTTAATTAACATTTACAGAACCCGCACCTGCTAGCCAACTATTGCTTTGTTCACTTTACGAAATACACACTATAAAGAAAATCGGTACCCACCTGCAATCACGGTGTCCGTAAGGGCGTACTTTGTTCCTGTTCTCGGAAAATCCTTCAGCTTCCGATTTGTCAGGATTAGTTCCCCGCTGAAATGCGCCTCTTCCAGGATTCGTTCCAGCGACCGCGTCAGCTGGGAGTGGCTGAGGAGGGCGGAGGAGGTGGAGTTGTTTGCAGTTCCAGTTCCTGATCCCGATCCAGATGTCGCTCCTTGATAGGAAGACGACCCGCTGCCAGAGGCGCTGGTAACGCCGACGCCGACAGCGACGCTATGTAGGCGTTGGTAAACCGTTGCTGCCATTTCCCGTGTAGGCGTGGCGACACTCACAGACACACACACTCACTAGCCACACCGAATAACGAACGGAGTGAAGTGCCGAAAAAACAATGCTTGAAACTAAATTTGCTCTATTGAAACGAACGCATCTCGATAATTTTTCATTTAGTCTTCTTGGCTCATTGATAAGATTTCTCGGAATTGGATTTTCCTTTTGCGGCTTCCTTCTTGCTTCCTCTTCTTGGCCTCCTCGCACACACGCGCACTCACACAAACAGACGGCAGCGCACAAACAGCAAGCGCACAGCAATAATTTCAAACAACTGCCCGATGTTACCAGACGGTCAAATGGGCATAAATAACAAACCGAGAATATCCTAAAAAATCTAAGAGAATCATCTGGTTATACTGACGAGTCGTTAACATGATTGAGCATTGCGAGTATGTTTGTATGTTGGTTAACAGAACGTAAGAACTAAACGCAGTACTTACTTCATTTCTTACAGACTGGTACGGCCTTTCACGTTATGTTAACACGGTGTGAAATTTGGACAATGTTGAAACAACCGTATATTTGAAGTCTAAAGAAAATTTGAGAAATATTTATTTTATATCGTAACTTGGTCGTCTTTCTATAGAAAATTAAATTCGCCGTTGAACTCTATATGTGAATTTTAAAGATCAATTTTAATTATTTATTGGTATTTAAGCATTTTCTTATAAAAATATGAAGCAATAATAACAAATATGTTTTTATGTGCCGAGGGGAATGTATTTTCATATCTAACATCTCAAATGTAATAAATATAACATATTTGGAATCTCAAGTTAGAAATGCTTATCTCAAATGTTTTAAATTTTATGAAATCTTAAGTCGAGTAAAAAATTAAAAGAAAATAAAATGAAATTATCCCGCGCCATCTATCGACTAACTATCGATTGTTTTCTCCATGACCATCGATAGCCGCTGCACTGCAGCAGTCTCCCTTCTCTATCCCAGTGCAACAACAAGATTCCAACGCAACGCTAACTAATTGTGCAAAAAGTTCTAAATTTAGTGTAAAATAAAGCAAAACGCGTTGTTTTTTCTGAATAGTTTTTCGCAGTACTGTGTACGCTATAAGTGAGCAATCATTTTCTGTGTGCGCCTTACACACACCCCAAAACGAGTGCGTTTTTCGCGTCCCTTTCCCTCCCCCTATTTCTTCCTCTTCTATAACTGTGTCAAATCAACAACAACAATCAAATATAGAACAACGTTTGTTCGCCTGTGGTTGTGTGTGTGTTAAATGCACAAATTGATAAGCAATTTGATTCAATTTAATCTAGTTTAAATCTGTTGAAATCAGTGCTATCAGCAGCCAAATATAAATTATAAATATATAATTACTAATCCATATAAATAGAATACCCTTGAGCGGTTTTGTGTGCGACTAATTAATTCAACACATTTTTTCGGTTCCGCATTTTTTTGAAATTATAACGAAGTTTCACCTAACAACAGCAACAACAAAAAGCGGTTTTTGTTTATTTTTCAAGCTCAACGAAAAAAAGAAGAAAAGAAATCCGCTTCCAATCAGCTGTTCCAAACGGCCGCCTAAGTGCGAGTGAGAAAGCCTGCCTGCGCGCCAAAATAAAACAACAAAAAAAGTGGTACAGTGGTTGAAAACCTAGCTAAATTTTCTAAATCAATTTGTTCTATAGTTAATAATAAAGGGTAATTAAACGAGTTATACTTTAATTTGTTAAGGTAAGTGACCAGCTTTCAGTAAATTTTAACAAATATTTCTATATTATTTAATTTATTTTCTTAAGTTTTTAAATCGTTTACATTTAATACGCGTGTGTCTAGGAAGAAAAGTGATAATATAACAAAAAAGTGAAAAATGAGTGATGAAACCAGCGATACGGGCGGGGCCACTGCCCCTCTTCCATCACCAGCAAATGCAGATCCAGACCCTGGACCAACTCCATCCAAATTACCGGGTCCAACGAGATCCAATATTCCCACGCCCGCTGCTTCAAGTACTGGAATACCGCAGCCCAGCAAAATGAAGGCCCCCTCCAGTTTTGGTTCTACGGGTTCTGTTTCCAAAATCGGAAGACCCTGCTGCAATCACACAACCCCAAAAACGGGGCCACCACCCAGAGGTGAGTTCAAGTCAGTTACGTTGCAGTACAAGCCAGGTAATCTGTTCTTAGAGTGGTATTTGTGGGAACTCTTTATAAGCTTTATAACCTTTCTTAAATTTAATTCATTTTTAAAATACATTTCAAGAGTAGTCTTATATTAAACAACATCCCCTTTGAAAATGTTGTCGAAAATGACATAAATTGACATCTACAATTATTTCACTAAATAATTGTGATTTCATACTTACATACAAACCAAATTTAATTCAGGAGGGCTTTCTCAATTTTATATTTTTGTAAACAAAGAGTAAGCCATCATTAAAAACGGAAAGTGTGTAAATTTCTTTGAATCGCGAGAAAATATCCCTGTTTAATATGATTAAATATTTATAAATTTACCGCGATATTCTCAACTTAAAATATAAGTTCATATTAATCTGCCCAATAATGGTGAGAAGTATTAAAAAGAAAATCAAAAAGAATGGTAAGTTTAACAAACAAAAAACTAGTGGCATTTGAAATAAAGTAAAGTAAAGTTCGGCATTGAAAAGGGTCATAAAGTCTATTTAAATTGTTCTACCAATCAATTTTTTATTTCGAAATTGCACTAACTTCGTGTTAAAATCTTGTGCCCAAGCAAGTCGTCTGTAATTCCGGTTCAAACCAACTGCAGCCACCTACATTGGCACCCCCAATATACCATACGTAAATGCAATGATCTAATGGAAACGATGACAGACCCACTCACTTGCTGAAAATATATATGCACTGACCCCACCCACTTTAAGTGCACTCTTTGCACTACATTGAACTCTAGAATAATTTTTTCCGATAACTTGAAGAAATAGATGCAAATTCATTTTAAAGAGGGGAACCCATTAATAAAATTAAAGTGTAATTCCCACCGTCAACCGTTTTGTTTAGTAAACAAATACTTCACTTCACTCAATTATTTAATCGTTTTGGTCCACCAACGCGCAAGACAAAAATAAACAAAACAAATTGCCGCCCACTCTCTGAACTCTCGATCATAATTATATAGCTGCCCCGAAAAGTGTTTTTTGGGAAGGAGAATTATGGCCAATTAGGCAAGTGCTGCTACCATTTAATTGATCCGCCCATTGTGGCTCATTTCAGGCACGTAACCTAACCGCAACCGTCAACATTCATTCGGCGACCCACTAGCCTATATAGCAAACGATCTGCCAAATGATCCATCGATTGATCGACGACGGGTTTTCTATTTCACAGGCACACACGTTCCATATCCAATTGACAGTCGCAATGTAACCGCAAAATCGTAGAAAGCCTTAGGGCAATGTTACCCAAAATAAACACAAAAATTTGTATTGCAATATTGTTGCATATTTAAACTGAGTCACGAGGTGCATATAATGCGTACAGAGTACAGCAGGTGTGAGAAATGCAGCACCCATGAGAACACTTCACACGGCTCGGCAGTCACTGTAAATGTAGCAATCGCCTATGATAATTTTAATTATCTCTTTAGATTAGATTGGCTTGCAAACTAGTTTTTAATAACTACCAACATAGTTCCATTAAAAAATTGTTTTATAATTGCAAAATGGTTGTTTATCGCTAATAATTGATTTTGTTTATGAAATTAAGTTATTGTTCAAAGAAATTATGTCATTGATGAGAAGCTATTTCCATTTAATAGAAGAAGTTAAATTATTTAATAAATATTATCCATGCGATAAGCAGGCTTTGTGGGAATGGTTGTTCTACTTTGTTAGCTTCAACCAATTACTAAAGTAAGACATAAAAATTTCATTCACTCGTTTAAATCGAAATCAGTTCCAAGCTCAACGCTTTGATCCGCTGGCTAGATCAGCTTTCTAAAATCTCTCCTAACATTCTGAAAGGAACTGTTTGACTCTCTGCCAAGACCTGTCATTTACCTCGCAACACTCAATGTCACACACGTCTGAGAAAACCTCATCAACTCGGAACCGAGAAAACCTGGCGACCGACCGGCAATCTTTCTCTCTGTGTCGCTCCCTAATTGAATTTGTTCTGGCGATGACACAGAAAATATACACGAAATGTATCTTCTAGTTCTGTCTGTGTGTGTTGTTCCGATCTTCTGAGGTGTTTTTGTGCTGCGCATTTTGGATGCCGGGTTTCGTTCTCGTTTGATCTGATATGATCATTGCGGTCGCCATGCGATGGTGGGGCTCGTGGATGAGCTTATGTCACTTTTATTGGTTTCGATCGGAAACAAAAGTGGAGCCACCCATAAAACAGAAAGCTCATTTGTCTTCGCATTAAGATAGAATCAAAATCGGGTCCGGGATTGACGTCTAATGGATGAGCATCGTCTGGCCGGGGATTACTCCATTAGATTCTAGATTAAGCTCTGTTTTGTTTACATCACCAACTCAGTGGGAGAGTCAATATTGATGTTATGATTAACAACTTTTTGTCTTACTTATTTGACTTCACTTCATTAAGTTGTTGAAATCTTTATAATTGAAGACACGTGTTGGATATTTAAACAGAAAACGTCTCAGATTTCAGCCAAAAAAAAAACAGTTTCTTAACTTAAAAGGAAAGTGACATTATGTGATACAATAAATCAAGTTTTTCCAATATTTCTCAATGGAATTTCTCAATCAATTTTGTATTTACCTTTAAAATAATTTGCATGAGATATTTATATATTAAAAAGATTTCGAGATTTCAGTTATGTAGTTTGTTTTACTATTTAAAACCCCTAAGATATCCCATCTTTGTGTACTTTTTAGTTTAACTAGTGATTCAGAAGCTTCGAAAGCCACTTTAAAAAGCCACTTGATAAAAATCTGCAAACTACTTTACTAAAATCTTAATAAAGAAATTGTTCTCTGTTTTCAAACCATTTGTTATAAATCAATGGTTTTGATAATTAATTAGTTAGCGTAACAAAAAGTCTAAGCCGGTAAACAAAGATTAAAATTAAAATTTAATATAAAAACTAAATTATTCAGGGTAAATTGTAATTTTTAGGGAAATCATTGAATAGAATCACTACATTTTTTACAAAAGAAAATAACATTAAAAAATTCCAAAAATATCTTTCAATATTGATGTAAGAAAATAACTCCAAACGAAATATTGACTTAACTTATCTCCTCAATTATTTTTTTAATGCTTTCGCTGCACTTATGGTAAAGTGCTGAAAGCCATTGGGAGATCGATCATTATCGGATCGAAAATAAAGGGAAAACACAATAGTAGCCATGTGGCAACTCTTTGTTTACTGGATTTACTTAACGTACGGCTCCGTGCAAAAGTCGAAAATAAAAACAATATTTTTTACGGCTCTTATTTTACGCGAGTAGACGTTTATTCAATAAAAACACCCAGAAAGCGCGGAGGCATTGCCACAGTGTCTGCTATATAACACTGGCCAACAAAGCTACGATTCCGGATTGGCAATCGCTCAACGCTCTCTCGCTGCTAAGCAAAATCAAAAAAAAAAGTATCTCAACGTTGGCGCTGGCTTCGCTTTGCGATTGGCGCTCGCCGTTCAGTTACTTAAACGACTTTTCGCGAGGCGGACGTGTTGGACGCGGGATTGCAGCTCAGATGGCAACCAATTGAACTTGATCGGCTCTATACTATATAGCTTATATAGTGAACACGCAAACGAAATTTAAAAAATCCAAAATAAAAGCCAGCTCTATAACAGAGACTAATTTATTGTTATAAAACACACAAAAGGTGATTTTAAGTGCTAGGAAAATTATAAAGTTATTATTTTAATCAAAATATCAGGCTCAAAAAAAAAATGAACTGTAAAGGCAAAAGTTTTGTGTACCTTTTTCTCTTGTCCTTGTCGATGCCCTAAAAAGGATGCCAGTTTATTTCGGTTCGAGATATTTTTGGAAACTTTTGTTTTTCATACTTCAAGTGACAGCCTTTGACCTTGGGTTCGTCTGGTTGATTACCATTTGTTAATCAAATTTATTCTTTTGTTGCTTTGTGAAACTGAGATTTGGCTTTCAACATACTGGAGTCATAAATATTTATTGAATTTTTCCCTTTTAGCCAAACCTAGAATTTTTTAAAAGTTCTTTTTTTTTTTTTATTCAGCGATAAGATATTTAGTTGCTATCTATCCTTTTAAATTATAACATTTCAGTGTGCTTATCAATTAGCCGATTTTGTTTGGGCTTGACTCATTTATGTCTGTTCAATTTAATGGCAACTATAATTTGGCTAACAACATAAGGTCAACAAATAACAAACCGAAATTTTCTTGGTTTTTACGTTCGTGTGACTAATTTCGTACCAACTTTGAACTAGATTCGTGGTAGTAAAAAGAGTTTAATTAAAATTCAATCAAAAAGTGATATCTTACTGATCTCTAAATTATTTTCAAGTTGAATGATTTTTTAGATTGCATTTTTAACCAATTACTTTTATTTCTCTTAGAATTACAAAAGGAACTACCAAGAACTGCAAAATAATAATAATAAAAAACGTTCCCAAGGCAAGGTTTGGCCCTTGGCATTTGTAACTTTTATGTACTTTTGGCCCTTTCCATTAGCCATTATCGATGTACTGAGAACGTAGCTAATTACGGTTTTTCCGCTGACATCCGCTTTTATTTTTCCTGTTTACAAGTACTTACATAAGTAAATTGACGCACACAAAAATACGAGTAAGCCATGTAAATGGGCTAAGCACGTGTCCCCAACCTCTCTCTCTCATTGAAATGTCGGCTAAATCGACGCGATAACCTTAAGGCATTCTATATCTATCTAACTACAATAAACTCCAAGCAACAACAAAAGTTTATTTGCCGAAACAGCAATAACAAAGTTCGGTTGCGGATTGTATTGAAAATTTGCGGTTAACCGCTAATTAGATATACAAAATTGTTAATGCTGATTCGTATTTTGACTGAAAGAGTCACAACTGCTGATCAGTCTAAAAATACATACAAATATATATATGCGAAATGGAATGACTTTCACAGTGGCAATATTTGCATATTGCCTAAGACTTTGATTTTTAGTGCAATTTGGTTTTTGTTTTTATTTGTTTGTGATTTTTCGCTTTTTTTTTATTATGGGGCTCGTCGTTGACGTCTTATTGCTAAATCAAGTTGGCTTCCACCGGCGGCTAACACTGTATGCAAATTTCAATTTTTGTATTTAGTTGTCTGCGGCTAACTTTCTTTCCGTTTTGCGGCTTTCTTTTCACTGCCACGTTCCGTTCGCATAACGCACATTTTGTCTGTCAATTGTCTAAGCATTTTGGACCAGGCCAAGTGTTTTCATTCGCATTGGCTTTGACATTGTTGTTGTTATTGTTAACTGGTATTTTATCAGCTCTACATTTTTGTGAGTGTGTTCTTTTTGTAGTTGCCATTATTTATATTTTGGCTCTACCGGCACTGTTGTGATAAGAAAACACATTTTGGGTTTCATTCTCTCTTTGTCAGCGTCATTGCCAGCACAAAAATTCTACAACTTTTACTGTTGCTATGTTATCTTTTGAGTTAGTGAGCAATGAGCGTGAGATCAATACTTATTTTTTCGCAAGGTAGTGAAATTCTTACTCATTTTGGATGCTGATTAGAGTACTGATTGTTTCTAGTGAAAATGCATCAAATCTTGGAATTTTCGTTTGATAAATAGAGATATTATATCTTTGTAAGATAATGTGATAAGCTTCTTAAAAATGTATACCTATCATATCTTATAAAAATATAAAAAAATATACAACGTAATAAATATGAAAAACCATAAAAAAAAGTTCTAACAAAAACGTAAAAAAACTTAAATTGTAGAACGCAAAATATGATTTATAGGAAATTTTAAAAAATTTTCAAGGCTTCAGCTGCTTACACAAATGGAATGGAAATGTCGTATATAGAACTAGATATATTCTTTATTACACAATCCACCTGTACAAACTTGTGGGCGTGTGGGAGCGATGTCATAAAGCCTTTTGAAGGCATCACCTTGACAGACTGATCATCCCAGCTGTCTAACTGGGATATATACCTATTTATTTAACACAAACTTCCGAATCTATATACTTTTATATATATTTGCTGTGGATCCCGCCACCGGCAATAATGATCTGTCGTCATTCCACTCAATTTAGTCGGTTTGTTTACACAATTTTGTTGTTGCTGGTGGCGTTTGTTATATTTGATTTATATTTGTATATTTTTTGAAGCTAGCCAATGATCTCAGCTTGGTATTTGTTCTAGAGCTGTTGGCATAGGCAAACCGAAGTGACGTGGGTGGTATATGGGGCGTATGAGTAATAAGCGATGCTGTTTGATCACGTATACGCACCTTTTAGGCCAGGCTAATTTGCATTGCACTTTATTTGCCACTCGTTTATAAGCATTTAATTGCGGTAAATGCGCTTTTCTTTGCCTAATTGCGTTTCACACGCCTCGAAAATGATTTTTCATTTTCAATTTATTGTTTCGACTTTTTTCTTTGCTTTTCCGCCGGCGGCACCTTTTACTTTTTTCCTCGCTGACTTCCCCGGCAATTTAATTACATTTTCTTTGACTTGAACACAAATCGGTAATGAAAGGAGAAGAAATTGAAGAAGGTGTAACCACCTTTGGTTAATTAATTTTTATGGCCCGTACCTGGTTTTCTTTTCTTTTTCGATTATGAAATGATATTTCAGTTTGCACCTGTTTTACTTGAAAATGTTTTCAAATGATTTATTGTCACAACTGAGTGAACCCCAAAGTCTTTCTCGAAATGTTCGTGTAAACAAACCCATTATTGCCTTCATTTTTCGGCTCTTTTTGTTAGCTTAGATTTTGGCCAGCATTTTTTGTTTATTTTCTTTAAGATACTTTTCTGCTTCTAATGAATTATGGGCTTAGGAAGTTTTTCGTAAGCTTAATGGAAGTGTTAATTAAAAAATGTGAGTGGACCTCAGAAGATTTTTGGGTCGCTAGAAGTATATATATATATATATATATATATATTAATTGGTATTATTTTGTATAATATTTATTAACTTTGAAATAAAAATGGGTTCCGGGTATTTCCTGCCTCTTTTGGATTTTCTTGGCTATAACATGCCTCTTCCAAATCCAAGTTCAGCTCGAATGCTTAACATTTAGCAATTAAACAACAATTTTTAATCACTTTTCCCTCATTTTTTGGTAATTTTTTTGAGTTCTCTGCTCATTGTTTGTCTTACACTTCAGTGCTTTTAATTATTTCGTATGCAATAAAGCTTTGAGCAAGAACAGCAAAAGCAAAAGTCAAATAAATTAACACGTCACTTACACAATTCTCGGACCGAGCACTTAAGTCTCGCCTGAAATAGCCCCAAGTGCTAAGCTGAAATGTTCAACAGAAATGCGAACTTAAATATATTTGTTAGAACTAAATTTATAATTAAAATATGAAGAACCCTGAAACGTTTAAGAATAAATTGGAAAATAATTATTACCAAAAGGTTTAACAAAATAATAATTAAATTGTAAAATAACAGTTGTCAAAACTTAAACTTAACCGAAACTTAAGTGACTACCATTTGAGTTGATGGATGATGGGCTCTCCTTTAATGATGACATTAATGTCCATTTCTGACTCTTAAATACAGTTATAAATTGCGACACGCCCACATTTTTAAAGCCTGCTATCCAAGCGATCCATCGAAATAAATTCCATTTCCAATTATGTGTGGGTTGCACAATCGAAATTTTTATGGCAACAGACCAAATACAAAGCAAATTACTTTCAGCATTCTTCGCTGGCTTTTTGGCTAAAAGTCTTTTTCATAATGTGACATAGCAAAATAAACAATAATTAAGTTGTTTTTTCTGCTTATCTCAAGATCGAAAACACACGCGTCTGTCAGAATATTAATTATTCACAAATAAAAAATAACACTTAAGTTGCTTATTTGCTTAACTTCTCTCGTTTGTTTGTTAATTATGGCTTTGGTAAACAAATATTGATTGCAGGTGGAAAAGTCAAATGTCAATTCGAATTTATGTTTAAAATTAAGTTTTCTTTTTCTTTTTTTATAGGTCATTAAATGTTGGCTATTTTCGTTCTGTTAGAAACTTGTTTTTTAAGTTTTTGCATAATATTGATGGATTGGTTTAGCTGAAAATGCTAATTCTCATTGGCTAAGAATCTTCAAGTTTTACCCAAGGGAAAGACTTGACATCAATATTATAGCCAATGAGTTTTGTGGTCCAGAGACTATGCGCTTATCTTAACTGTCTGTGGATATCTTGTTAGCAACTTCTGTATTCATTAGTCTTCTAAAACCGATTTAAAAATAACCAATTGGTTCGCTGGGTTAAACATTTTAACCTCAAATGTGGACCATAAAGCATTTGATAAATATAAGGAAAATAAGCGAAATATTATATGACTTCTTATAAAAATTTAAAATCAATTTATGTCAAGTTTGTACATTAATTTTGATTTTTTGTCATGTCATTTAGAGGTTTGATAAAAGAAATTAAGCGGAATCTTATGTAAATATACAAATTTGTAATTTGATATTAGATTTGTTTTTTGCTTGACCTTATATATACAGAATATGCCAAAGGTGGTTTTTTTTCCAGAATTTCGTTTAGCTGATAATTTCTGACATTTGAGTCTGCGGAAACAGTTTGCTTAGCTGCCTATATCTTTCATTTCTGCGAAGCAATACCAGGAAAACCTTCACCCAACACTCTCTCAGTTATCTAATATCTTTCGTTTCGAATGAAATAAAACTACTTTGGGGTGGGAAGGTTGATCTGCTAGAGCGACCCATAACTAATTGCCACTTTTGCACTTTACTTTTTGTGTGTGCCTTTTATTTTGCCCACATTTTTGTTTGGCTGAGCTTTCTTGGCCCGTTACCGTGGCCTGAATACGGTTGGCATAGCCCCCAGCCCTTAGCTATAATTATAATTTAATTTTAATTTTAACATTTATGTGCTGTTAATTTAGCCATGCTCACTTTGCGTTTCTTGCGCTCGTTTTTCTCTTCTTTTTTCGTTTTTAATTTTATTTTTAGACACCGCCAGCATGAGTCGTGAAAGCGATGACAATTTAAGTTCGATCAATTCGGCTTATACAGGTAAATATATATATTTTTATGTTTCATTTATATTTTATTGATTGCGTTTAATTGTTAATTTTACACATTTTTCTTAATTGGCTTTTCTGCTAAATGCGTTTCATTTAATCTTATTCCATGACATTGTTAATTTATAATTAATATCCGATTAATTGCTTGTTGATGTGGGCGGAATTAACACATTTGTGTTAACATCTTTTTGGGCATAACAATAATCGATTCGGAATTCGATGGGAATTATTGCAAGATATTAATACGTCATAAAAATGTTGGTAAAGTAATTAAAGACAATTACACCATAATCAATTCATTGACTAATCTGAGTTTATCTGAGTCATAGTTTACTAAGAAAATATAAAGGCTACTGGAAAAATTATAAAAATTACAATACAATAGCAAAAGCGATTATATAAAACCAGTAACTTTCTAGTTTTCTGAGAAGGAATTATAATACTAAAATAACTTTTAAATGACCAAACATCTTCATAAATGAAATACTACAACATTTTCAAAAGAAAAACGAACTTAAAAACATATTTCTATAAATCAATGACTTTGTCACCTAAAATCTTGAAAGGGAAATGGAATAGTTCTGTACTAGATATTGTATCTTATCAGACTTGTTTACTTTTATCGACCTAGTAATATATTTCATTTAAAAACTTGTATACCTCAATGCGATATGTATTAACCCTGAAAACAGAAACACTACTCGTTCCTCCCTCAATCTTTAGTTCAGTGATCCCCGAACAAAAACCAGACATTTCATTGCCTTATCTACTTGTGTATGCAACATCTTCCCTCAGATAGGCAAAATGTCAAAACAATCTCACGATCTACGATAGCTTAAAGATTGTATCTCTATATCCCATTCATATATATTCCAATCAAAGACCTATCAAAGTCAGTCGTAATCAGTCATAATTTTAATCGCTTTTTACCTTAGCCGTAGGGCAACTTCATTAGGCTTAAATCGTCTTTATAGCCGGTATGTGTGTTCACTGGAATGTTCATTCAACTGTTTGCCCTTCTGGCCCATGTGTTTTGTATTTTCCTTTTCGCATTCGAAACACGTTCTAAACTTAAACAAATTTTAATTGTAATGCGAAATACGCGACTGGAACTGAGGCCCAACCGGATTTTTTGGTTATTTACAATATAGTATATATCTATAATTAATAATATATGGGACACGCCTTTAAGCGATCAGCGCGAGTCACGTAAGCGTCTTCATCTGGAAAACCAGTTTTCTATTTGGTGAAATTCTAGTTTGTCGCACAAAGATTCCTGTTGAAAACATTTAGCATTTCAAATAATGGCAAATAAATATTCATATAAATGCATTGTCGATGCAATTATTGTGTGCCCAGAACAATGAGCAGAAATTAAATCAATTGAGATAAAAATAATGGCATGCTTGAGCAGATACAGTGTGGATTGTGTTATAACGAATGTTTTAGAGTTGGGAAAGCACTGACTCAAGATGTCAGGAAACACAAAGATTAAATCGGGGCATGTAACTAAATTACTTTCAGCCGCCACACCCCCCAAAATAAAAGTTGTATTTATAAGCGTGCTATATTTATCCAGGCGCTCCCCCTCATTACAAGCTTCACTGTAATTGCTCGAGCATTTCAGTGGAAATGTTGAAGCAGCCCACAGTGATCAGGAATTAGAGATCGGCAATCAGCAGCTAATAATCAGTTTTTGTCGGCATTTGCCAGATAGACTCGCAGATGGATTTGCATGTAACGTGCCGAAAAGTCATGTAAGTCATGTACAGTCCGAGCCTGGGGTTGTGAAAAACTACTCGATATGTGGGTAGTCAAAGCTGTAGTAAAAACTGGACTCGAAATGGTTTAAAAGACAGAAAAATACGATGAAACACACTCAAAAAGTTAACTTAAAGAAGTGATCTTGGTCAGATATAATTAAAAATGTTATACGAATTTAGGCATTTACTTACAAGTATGGTAGCCAATAGTTTTTGTCAGTGTAAAAACCCACATTAAAGCCAGATACGAAACGTTGGGAACTGCAATTGCAACCTACACAGGGAGCTAGAGACGATGAGAAGGTGTAGATCGAGCTGGCGCTTTTGGCGACCTGCACACAGTTTAGTTTAATTAAATGTTGTTTAATCATCTCAAAAGATAATGTGCTATTGACATGGCCGGCACTGTTTGGCTGATTTATCGCCGGACGACGCGCGATCGATCCGCCATAAATGGCTGGCGAAATATTTGTTTTCGATTTCAACGTATCTCGCTGGCTGCTTCATTTTGGCCAGAATCGTGAGCAAAGTGGGTCGCAGCCGGGCTGTCTTTTGGCTAAGTCAAGTCAACTATTGGCGGCGCCACACTCCACTTGGTTTCGACCGGGCTCTGAGCGGTGCTCTTTGATGATTCATCTGTCAGATACATGAGTTCATTAGCAGCACTGACACTGAATGTCAACTGCAAGGAAATTGTTTGTCATCTAGGTGCGTGCGTATTTTTAGAATGACCACGTTTCACAGTTAAATGTTGCAAATTAAATGAGAGACGGGGGAAAGGTGGCTAACTTAGCGAAGGTAATGTCTGATTTATTGCCTGACATTGGCTACTATTTCAGTCATTACATAAAAACTCAGTTACCGATACGAAAACAGAACGTCGAAACCGGAGAAAATGTTTTTCCCCTTTTATTTTTTACAATTAGTGAAAGTTTGCAAATTAAAAAAAGGGAACAACTCGAAGCGAAAGACATACAAACAGTTACAACGCCCAATTGTGATAATTAAAAAAAAAAGATAGTTACGAACATGTAGGATACAGAAAATAAATTGCCACCGTCATGATGTATAATGGCAAATAATAACAAATTGTCTTGCACGATCGGCGAACGGTAGCGAATGTATATATATTTATCTGCCAGATACAATATACAATTGAACCTTGAAGTTGGCTGGTCTGGCCTGGCCTGGCCAAGTTATGTCATGTCATGGCTGGGCCAACGCAATCGGTTGATTAGCCAAAAACAGTAGCCCACAAGACATAAAGCCGCTGGAAAGCATCTTCAACACACTCGTCGTACTCAAGCACAGCATGTCTGGCGTAAATTACAAATGATGAAAAATTATAAAAAAAAAACGGGGAAAATAAAAGCAATTTCAACTGACAAAAACACAATTAACTACATGACGTATACACGACGAGGTTTTCACGGCACACAATTGAAGATGAGGATGCTACACAAAGAAAAACTAACATCTATTGAATGATAAAATATAATTCAAAAACAATTTCGTTAAAGAAATATATAATCAAAACATATTTTATTTTACAACAGAAAAAGCACAATAAGATACAAAATTAAATAATATTGATACGCTCAATTTAACAATTAGTTGTACATTTATTATTCAGCTTTAACTTTTTTTTTTGTTGTGTACTGAAAGTAAACGGAAACCGAAATCGTGCAATTGAAAAATTGAAATCTTTTCTCGATCTCCTTCCTTCTCGGCAGCATCTCTTTTGTCAGCTGCAATTGTGATTTTAAATCTCCTGCCGTCTGTCATTCAATGGCTCTGAAAACGTTACCAAACCGTCGACAATTTAATTGATTTATACTTTGATTGGTCTTTTGGCCAAAGTGTAAATTGATTTTGAAAGTTGCAGTTAAAAAAGACAGAATACGTTACATATCAATGCTAATAAACAATTTGACACACATATTTTGGAAAAAGAAAAGGAAAAGTAATCAGTTTTTTGGGAGATTTCAAAGTTAGGTAGATACAAAAGTTAGTGATACATAAACATGATTTATTCATTGTTATTTTAGATATTTTGAAATAAAAGCTTTACTTACATTCATATCAAGAGAAATTTTATAGCATTCCATTAAAATCATATTACTAGCACACGACAACCTCTCTCTAAGCCATATCTATATATTTCAAGCTTAATAACATCTCAGATTACCGTTCGCTGTTTTTTTTTTTGTTTTGCTATTTTTGTGCTGCCATCTAACCTTTACCACAACTGCTTGCGGCCAAGATCTTATTAAAGACAAGAAACCCTAGCACACAAGCTGCCAAAAACTTTCACAACCCAAAAGAGCAAATTGGGCTTAACACAAATACGCTAATTTTTAACCAATACCAATATAAAGCATAAATATATATATCTGTAACAAAATGGGGAAATGTCAGGAAAACTGGCTGCACAGCTCGCTTGGTTAACACCCACAAATCACACCGAAATGTTAAACAATTGCAAATGCATTTTATGGAAATTCGGTTTGACTATATATATATACAAAATGTAAACCCGTCTATAGATCTCTATCAAGAGACTGTCAGGCGCTTTACGCGATCTTCGCTCTCACCCACATCCGATTGGGACCGCTTTTCGCCCGCTCGACGCTCGCTAAAATCGGAGGCTGGAAGTCGCACATCTTGTAAGTTCTTTGGCCGCCATTGCCATTATGCCAGCCGCATGTTTATTTATCTGGTATCTCGTATCTCTGTATCTTTTCTGTTTGTTTGTTTTGTTTTCGTTTTCGTTACTGTTTTTGTTTTCCAACGCCAAAGATGATTATTATCTAGAGGCCACTGGGCGACGTCGCAGCTCAGGTAAGCATTCGCTACGATTGTGGGTGGCTGATACACAGAACTAAAAAAATTATCCCAAAAAATTATGGATGGGATTTTAATTTACTTAAAAAATAACAACAGGATCTTTGGATTTTCCAAAAGATATTGAAGAAAAGTTATATTTAAGTTCATTACTTTTCAAAGTTATATTTTTTTTATTGTGTAAAAGAAAAATTTTATTGCCAGCTTGTACCTTGTATCTGCAGAGCTTGTCTGGTTCTAACCATTTGCGCAGGTGGATGGCGTTTTCTATAACTATGTATCTAGGCCAGTTGATCGCTCCTTAAATGGTCATTCGGCAGAAATGTTAAAGGCGCAAATTTATGGCCAAACTGTCAAATAGTTTTTCCATGCTTAAGGCACATATCTCTGCATCTTCGGTAGCATCGGGTATTGTCAAATTAACAAAGCCTAATGAGCCACTGAAAACGTGTTCAAGTTTACCTCTCACTGTGGGTGTAATTGCGTCTCTAATGAGCCATTGCTGTGACAATATTTACGCTGAATTAATGTAGCAAGTCAAGGTCTTTCTAGGGTTAACTATGCACATTTTATAATTCATTATTTTTAAATTAACTTGGCCAAGTCTTGGGCTTAATGAAATTTGGGGCAAAATCGTTACGGTTTTAATAGGAATTAAATTGATGAGGCAATCTAATCCATCAAAAACTTGGAAAATATTAAAATAAATTAAGAAATATTATATATGACCAAGGTTGGTGATTTATGTTAAAACTCAAACTCTTTTCGGTTTATGTTAATTTAGTGAAAGGATTTTGGTGATTTTTCCCTGTAAAAACAATGTGTGAGAAACCTATTTTTGTGAGACTCGATTTGTAATCACTCGAATGGAATATTTTTCTATGCTATAGAAATTAGATACAGGCTTGACAGTAATTTAACACAGTTAATAGGATAATGTAACATTAAAGGCTTAGTGGAAATTAAATACCTTTTAAATAGAAAAACCGCATATGGGAATGAAAAATAAACCATTATTTTATTCTGCCTGTAGTGTTACTGAAATGCAATTTTAAGAGCAGTTAATTTTTAGCAACGACTTTGTGAAAACTTTGAACAAGTTGCCATATCTAATAGATGTGGGTGGATGCAGTCAACAGCAAAATTAAATTAACTGACACGACAGCCAAACTTGGAAAAAAGTTGTTATGACTTCATTGAGCTGCATGCAATTTTTATTTAGCTTTTTAATCCGCTTGTTTCCTGTAATTTTCCACTTAATGGTTTTCCCCTTTCGACAGATAGCAGATAAATGGCTATTTAAAAGTAAAATCGGAGAGTATTCATAGCCACTTTTAACTTAGAAGTGGAATATTGAACAGTTTGCAAATGTCAAGTTTACAATGCTTAAATCCGTTTAAAGAATATATATTCATTATGCGGGGGATCGTTCTCAATGATTTTCCATTGAGCGGGCGATATGCAAATATTCCAAATGACATCATAGCCAACATCAACACACATGAAAATGAACTGTATTGGGAGAGATAAATGAAAACGCAGTCTAGCCAATTTTAGCATTGTGTATATTATGATTGATGACCTAACGGGTGATATACTAATGGGACCCCCCAACTTGATATTATTTTTTCCCATCGAACAGATCACAACAGCGCCGTGCTGACAGCTAACACAGAGCAGTTCATCATTGGCCAGCGGGTTTGGCTTGGTGGCCTTCGTCCCGGACAGATTGCCTACATCGGAGAGACACATTTTGCACCCGGCGAATGGGCCGGTGTTGTTCTAGATGAACCTAATGGTACGAGAATTCTATCTTATCCTATGGAAATCCTTATTTAATCTTTATGTTTGTGATAAGGTAAAAACGATGGCTGTGTCTCGGGCAAAAGATACTTCCAGTGCGAGCCGAAACGCGGCATTTTCTCACGCCTTACACGTCTTACCACATATCCAATGTCCGGAGCTCAGACTCCGACCTCTCCATTGGCCAAAAACTCACCGGACAGATCTCGCACAGTCTCTCCAACTGCGAGTATTCGCAGCTCTATGCTTCGTAGTCCCGGAATTGGTGGCAGTAAGTTTCTTATTTGGAAATAGTAGAAAAGTTCTTTGAGAGTTAAAGAAATGTTTAAAAAAAACTTCAGAAAACGGCATGGCTGTGGGTGATCGTGTGATTGTCTCCTCTGGATTTGGCAGTCGTCCGGGTATCTTACGCTATTTAGGAGAGACACAGTTTGCTCCTGGCAACTGGTGCGGCGTGGAATTGGATGAGCCTAGTGGCAAGAACGATGGAGCTGTGGATGACATAAGGTATAAAAAATGAATGAAATTAACTTGTGAAGTTGAACAAGTTGCTTATTTTGTTTGTACATCTCAAGCCAAAGACTTAATCCACCTCCATTGCAGATACTTTGAGTGCAAACCCAAGTACGGAGTGTTTGTACCCATAGCGAAGGTTTCGCTGTCGCCATCGTCGAAGAAAACGCGACTTTCCAGGACAGGATCACGGGAGTCCCTCACCTCGATCGGCACCATGAACAGCATCGCCACCACGGCCACATCGCGCATGCGCATGAATGCTCAGGTATAAGCGGTGACCTCGTAAAGGGCATCCCTCACCAACCAGTTCTCCCACAGAAAGAACACCCACAGTCCCTAAAAAAAAAGAAACACAAATACCGTTTACCGTTCTGGTTATGTTCTTTGTTAATTTTTTTAATTCTACACATTAACCTGATTGTTAATTTATTTTTGAGCCCCCTGCTACTAACGCGTTCCAATTCTAATCGCAAAATCCCGTTCCGTTCCTAGCAGCGCAAGTCCATCACGCCCGTTAAGCCAATTTTAGCGACGCCGAAAAGCCAATTTTCCATGCAGGTATGCTAACCCTTCTACAAAATCCACAAATAAATTTTATGGTATTCGCTGTTGGTTTTTCCTTTCGATCTTAAAAGCTCTATTAGTTTGCTGAGCTGTAAGCGTTTAAGCTGTACTCGCTGTTAGTATAGCCAAGTCCATTAACGTTGAAAGTATATTTGGTTATGCTATTGATTGATTATTTGGTATTTACTGTACTTATTAGATTTATTGGTTTGGTACATTAATGAACTTTCGAATCAGAAGATATACATTTTTAGTAAGACGTTAATGGATCTGACTATTATTCCTGTTTAACTGTGTCTTAACCCTTAGATCGTAAGCGTACAACTAACATATAAGACACTAATCCACAAAAAAAAACACCACACAACAAAAACCCACACCCAAAACGAAACAAAACCCCACCAAAATAAACTATGTAAATTAATAATAAATGTATGCCTATGAAGTCTTTATGCATTTTATGCCATGTGTTTGAGTTGGTTCTTATTTCACAATGTATAATACAAAAACAATATATATATATTTTTAAATATTTCCTGCACGCTTTTGCTGTTTAAGTGTTGATTATTTTCAATGTTTTGTTAAATTTGCTATTTTTATTTGCATGTGTGTTCGCTGTCGCCGGTAAATGGTAAAGCTACAATAATGAGTGTTATCTTTGCTACCAAGCTGCACCCTATATACTTGTACATACACCCACCCACACTCTATATGTATCCGAAACTGTATCTATATCCTCCTGTATCTGTATCTGTATCTCTCCTGTATTGCAATTGTGTGTGTTCAGGCATTTCATAAAAGCTTGCTTTGTGCTCTCTCTGTGCTCTGTTTATTTTTTGGTCGATCGATCATCGATATTGTAGGATCTGCTGCGCGAGAAGCAACAACATGTAGAGCAGCTGATGGTGGAGCGGGACTTGGACCGCGAGGATGCCCAGAATCAGGCGCTGCAGCTTCAGAGGAACATCAACGAGGTAATTATCTTCACCGATACCATGTACGCACCGCTGCCCTATGCGGATAGATCGCGACCATATCGTCCAGGCAAGAAGCCAAGGGTTAAGAGTCCAACACGACAACAACAACAACATATCTGGGTGCCTACAACATTGAGCAGCAGCATTACGACCAGTACAAGACCAACAATAACAGCAACAACATGCAACAGACAGCCACTTCAGCAGCAGCAACAGATATTGCAACAGACGCAACAGCAGCAACAGGCCAAGCCAAAGAAAGTTTGGTTTTGCGATAAAAAGAAACTCTTTCCAGTTGGCTGAAGAACACACAAAACGGGGCCCAGTCAATGTTTGCTCAGTCATTTGTGCGATGCTTCGGTTTCGATTAATTGTGTTTTGTTTTTGGTTTGATTTTATTTTTGCAATGCACCCGCGCTCTGGATGTTAACGACAGAAAAAACACAAAAACATACACAACCATTTTCCTTTTCGTTTGGTTAATTTTTCATTTATTTTTCACAGTTACGTCTTTATTATTATCTTTCATCATTGTCTTGTGTTTATTTGTTGTTAATTTAACTCAAACTTACCTGATTTTTTGGCACGTTTTTATTTAATGTTTTTGTTCTTTAACCACAGCTTAGACACAAAGTCATCTCCAAATTGTCAGTCATTTTCCCAAAATGATTCATCAAATTAACTTTGAACGCTGAGAAGAGTACAAATTTCATAAGTTTAACTAGGCATGAAAGGTTTCAGGGGTTCAACAGCATTTAACTCGGTCAAAATTCAGCTAACAATGGGTTAAGGTTATTGTTAAAATGTATACAAAACAAATTGATTTTAAATCAACCTTTCATACATTAATAACATTATTGTTTTTGCATTTTGTGCTGGCACAAAATTTTTGTTTACATCTAACTTGCATCTTGAAAGATTGAATGGGTTTAAGTTTATATTTTATTTTAGTTTTTTCATTCAAAGAAATTTCCATTGAGTTCATCTCACAAAACTCTTCAATTATCATGAACACTACCTAAAAATTACAACGAGTAAATCAGCAACCCCCTACTATAAATAAATAAAATTATTTGCATTAAATGTTAGCACTATTGCACTGCTGGCTTACTCATACAGTTTGTTTTGCGATATAAAACCAGGCACAAAAAAGGCCTATAATCTTAAAGCGCACTGTACACTTCTATGTGCTTTTTATGGCAATTGCTTTTGGGGGCTTTTCTAGAAGATGACTGTCTGGGATGATTGAGTTTTGTGCTTTCTGTTTGGTTTCGTTTTGAATAAATTGTTTGTGTTTGTAATTATATGCGGATCCGTGTTAGACTTTTCTATTTGTCAAGCGCACTTTGAGTTTGAGTGTTAAATTAGCAACAAAATTATCACCCAATCCCAAACCACACCAATTCCATCCTTTATCCATTTCCTCCTCTCTCATCCACTGAACTATCCATCCTTTTTAACGCAAAACCAAAAAAAAAAAGAAATACTCTGAATTTGAACAAAATTTAGCTGGCCCTAGAAAAGAAATTCTGTTTGCACAAAACTATTTTTGTATGATTCTTATAGCAAATACTGATCGAAGCGGATCGATGGAGACGCCTGATAGCGAGACACAGCATTAAGGTATCCGATCTGCGACGCGAGTTCCGCGGCTGGTCTGGAAAACACGAGAGTCACTGCATCCTGCACAGTGTCCTAACACCGCTGCGCATCAAGTAAAAACAATCTGGAAGACAGATGGATGGGCGGCCACAGTGCTCAAAACTATTCGATTGGATGATTTTTGAATGAACTTTCTTCGCACCGAGAAAGAGACCACTGAAGACAATGTTGAAGTCTGCACAGCGTTTTAAGCTGATACAACCAAATAAAGAATAAAAGATCTTTAAAATACTGAAAAGAGAAAGCCTTAAAAATAACGAAAGCCAATCGAAAAACCAAAACGAATAAAGTTAAATTAAATGGTTTTATCTGGCTTAAAAAAACTAAAAAAACGAAATTTGAAAGAAAAAAATGGAAAATGGAAAAGTTGTCTAACAATTTTTGTTTATTTTGTACGAAAGCGAATTTTCTTGCTGTTGGTTTAGTTGATACGATATATACGAAATACATTTAAACTATCTATATGATGAAAAATACATTAACAATATGCAAAACATTTTTGAAATCCCCAAATGTTGTTTTATTTATGGTTATTATTTGTTTGCTAATCCTTTTTTTCCTATCTCTATGATCCTTCGATCCTCAGCTAAAAGCAAGAATAGTTGAATTGGAGTCGGCTTTGGGAGATGAACGAAAGAAGTCGGAAGAGTTGCAATTCTCGGTAGACGAAGCCCAGTTTTGTGGCGATGAAATGAATGTAAGAATAAGTAGACATTTTATTAGGAAATGTACATTGACTTGCTTCATAAAAATCAAATTGTAGTTAGATTATCCAATGCTTTCTGAAGTAGTTGCAATTTTTCTTATTTTTGCTTTATTTTTTATTTTATTAGTTTTATCGATTAACGTAGGATACCTTAAGAGAATTTAGGTAATTTATTTTGTCCTTCAGGCAAATAAAATGTCTGAAAGATTAATCTGTTCTATATAACATTTTTTCCACACAAAATTGCATATCATCAAGCCTATTGCAGTTACTATAACTGAAAGTATGCTATATTTGTCTCAGCGATTTAAATGGAAAATAAACAGCTTGAGGCGAAATCGAAGAATGATTGGACTTTGTTCAATATTACATCATAGCTTTTTAGTCAACCACTGGAAAATAAATTATAATTAAAATTTGTACGATTAGCCTAATGACTACTTGAAATAAATAATATACAATAATTTAGGGATTATTTATTTTTTATTTTACAAATGTTTTGGTATTGATATTATATAGCAGATTTCCGATTGAAATATTTCAAAATTATATTTAGATAGATTTTTAAAAATTTATGTTGAATGAGTAAAATAAGAAAAAAGTCAATGTACATTTCCATTTAACCATCGAAATATATTCTGGATTTCTGTTAATAAAAAAATTTCCTAATTAACAGGCTCAGTCCCAGGTCTACAGGGAAAAGATCCACGATCTAGAGTCAAAGATCACACAGCTGGTATCCGGTAAAGAAATACCATTAATTAAACTTAATAAAACATGACTAATATCGTCCAACTTTGTACTACTTTAGCCACGCCCAGTCTTCAGAGCATGCCCCAACCGGTCCCGCCTCCTGATGATAGCGCCTTAAAGGAGGAACTTGCCAAACAGCTAGAACTTCTAAACACAGAGCGAAGGGAGACAGAGTTACGGATTGCCGAGCATCTGGAAGAGCAGAAGCGTTTGGAAGAAAATGTAAAGTACCTGCAGGAACAGAATGCTACTCTTCAGGCTGAATTGGTTTCCAAGGATGAGTCACTGGAGAAGTTCTCCCTTTCTGAATGTGGTATTGAAAACCTGCGAAAGGAGCTAACACTTCTTAAGGAGGAAAATGAAAAGCAAGCGGAGGAAGCTCAGGCAGATTTCGCCCGAAAACTGGCCGAAAAATCCGAAGAGTTGGACAAAGTTACCTCTGAATTGCAGAAGCTGAAAGCAGCCTCAGATTCTCTAGAAAGCGAAAGGGTTAACAAGACCGATGAATGTGAAATCCTTCAAACCGAAGTCAGGATACGGGATGAGCAAATCAAGGAGCTAAGTCAACAACTCGATGAGCTAACAACCCAATTGAATGTACAAAAAGCGGACAGTTCAGCTTTGGATGATATGCTACGGCTGCAAAAGGCTGGTAGTGAAGAGAAATCTAGTCTCCTTGAGAAAACCGAAAAGGAACTGATTCAATGTAAAGAAGAGGCTGCTAAAAATCAACAGGAAAAAGAGAAACTTGAAAAGCAATTAACAGAAATAAAACAATTAGCTGAGCAAGAAAAACTAGTCAGGGAAAAGGCTGATACTGAAATTAATGAACTAAAATTAAAAAAGGTAGCCATCGAGCAGCAGTTGGCCCTTAAAGATACCGAACTTAGGGATTCCCAAAAGAAGCAAACTGAAACAGAGGCTCATCTTGAGGAAAACAAAAATCTGAATGCCCAAAAAGATTCGCAATTAGTTGAGTCCAGCGAATCCGTTAAGAAACTGCAACAGCAGCTGGAAGAGAAAATCCAAGCCCAAGAAAAACTTCTAACTGACTTGGAAGAGCTTAAGAAAAATCAGGAGACTGCCCTAAACCAAAAACAGCAGGAACTCCATCAACTCCAAACCAAGTCAACTGAAACTGAAGCATCTCTTGTCTCCACACAAAAGCAATTGGAGCAACTTCAGCAACAGGCAACCGCATCTGGCGAAGAGGGATCCAAGAATTTGGCCAAGTTACAAGAGGAGATTAATCAGCTTAAGAACCAGGCTGAGAAAACTCAGTCCGAATTAAAATCTACCCAATCGGATGTTGAAGTTAAAAACAAACAATTGGCATCAGCTAATGAAAGTCTCGAGGAGGAAGCTAAAAAGTTGGCCAATCTGCAGGAACAGATCACCAAACTTAAATCCCAAGTTGAAGAGACGGAGACAGCTCTCAGCTCAAGTCATACGGATTTGGAATCTAAAACGAAGCAACTTGAGGCTGCTAATGCAGCTCTGGAAAAGGTCAACAAGGTAGGGAATTTCAATTTTAAAAAATTTCCTATTTACTAAAAAATTATAATTTTGTTTAAATCTAAATAGGACTACGCGGAATCCCGAGCGGAGGCTTCACATCTGCAAGATCAGGTTAAGGAAATCACCGATACCTTACATGCTGAACTACTGGCTGAACGATCCTCTTCCAGTGATCTTCACACTAAACTCTCCAAGTTTTCGGAAGAGTTAGCTACAGGCCAAAAAGAGTTGACCAGCAAGGCCGATGCCTGGAGCCAAGAAATGCTGCAGAAAGAGAAAGAACTTCTGGAGCTAAGGCAGCAGCTTCAAGATAGCCAGGATTCTCAAACCAAACTGAAAGCAGAGGGTGAAAGAAAAGAAAAGTCTCTGGAAGAAACCATAAAGAATCTTCAGGAACAAGTCACTAAGACTAAGTCGGAAAATCAAGAACTAAGCAGTGGCTCGCAGGAGACAATTAAGGACTTGCAAGAGCGATTAGAAATCACCAATGCCGAGCTTCAGCATAAGGAGAAAATGGCCTCCGAAGATGCACAGAAAATAGCTGATCTTAAAACTCTTGTAGAAGCCATCCAAGTTGCCAATGCAAACATATCAGCCACCAATGCAGAGCTCTCGACGGTGTTGGAAGTCCTTCAGGCAGAGAAAAGCGAAACGAATCATATATTCGAGCTTTTTGAAATGGAAGCGGATATGAATTCAGAGCGGTTGATTGAAAAACTCACTGGAATGAAAGATGAGCTGAAGGAAACACATCTTCAACTGGATGAGCGACAGACAAAGCTTCAAGAACTGGAGACAAAGCTAGAACAAACACAGCAGAGTGAACAGAATTTGCAGCAAGAATCTTTGACTTCCAAGGAACAACTAAAGGAACTACAACAGTCATTGGTGGAGGTTCAAGATAGTCTGAAGCAAAAAGAGGAACTTGTCCAGAACTTGGAGGCCAAACTGAAGGAATCCAATTCCGTTGTAGAAGGTCAAATCACTTCGTCCCAGGAAGTACAAGCAAAACTAGAAGAAGCTCAAAAGAATGAAATAGAGTTTACAAGAAGAACTGAAGGAACTCCAAAAGACCCAGTCGGAACTCTCCAAAACCCTCAAGAAAAATGAAGAACTTGTACAGAATTTAGAAAATAAATTGAAAGACAGTAATATACAATTAGAAATCCAAAACGGTTCATCAAAGGAAACTCAACTTAAGTTGGAGGAGGCCCGTGAGAGGGAGAAAATCCTGCAGGAAGAGGCTGCCAAATTATCTGGTGAACTGCAGCAAGTACAACAGGCCAATACCGAGGTGAAGGATTCCCTAGTAAAAGTAGAAGAACTTGTGAAAGTTTTCGAAGAGAAACTCCAAGCAGCTAACTCCCAGCTGGAAGCTCAACAGGCCACAAACAAAGAACTCCAGGAGTTGTTGGTGAAGTCTCAAGAGAACGAAGGAAATCTACAAGGCGAATCGCTGGCAGTCACCGAGAAATTGCGTCAGCTGGAACAAGCCAATCAGGAACTTCAGGAGGGTCTATCTGAAAAAGATAAAAACTTAAAATACCTTGAGGTTAAAATTCAGGAAACTAATTCTATGTTGGAAGGTCAAAAGAAGAGCCACAACGAACTCCAGGATAAGTTGGAACAGGCCCAGCAAAAGGAGAGAAGCCTACAAGAGGAAACCTCCAAGTTAGCAGAGCAACTGAGTCAACTTAAACTAACTAATGCGGAGCTCCAAAAGTCCCTCCTTCAGAAAGAATCCCTTTTGGAAAAGGGCAATGAATTCGACTCTCAACTGGCGGAGTATCAGAAAGTCATAGATGAAATGGATGATTCGGCCTCTGCTAAGACCAAGCTGCTGGAACAGCTTCAGAATAGAGTTGTGGAACTGGAGGCCGCACTTCATCAAGCCAACGAAGCTCAGAAGACTGCTTCTCTGGAGACTAAGGAACTGAGGCGCCAGCTGGAATCGCTGGAGCTGGAGAAGTCCAGGGAGATTTTGACCCTTAAGACTCAGATGAATGGAGCTGGCAGCAAGTCAGGACAGGGGGATGAACTGGAGGTGGGGTTTTTTTTTAAGAACATAAAACTTATTGGTTTTAAAATTCATATCTTCTTTATAGTCACTGGACACTGAGACAAGTCTAGCCAAGATCAACTTCCTTAACTCAATCATTGCAGACATGCAGCACAAGAATGATGCTCTGAAGGCCAAAGTGCAAACTCTAGAAACCTTGCCAATGGATTTCACCAAGTGAGGAAATTTCTATCTAATTACATTTATAGTAATATTCTTTTCCGGAACTTGGTATTATATAGGTATGTTATATTCTATAATTTCAGACCTCATGCCTTCGATGTGCTGACCAAGCGAAAACCGGCTCCCAGACTTTTCTGCGACATCTGTGATGAGTTTGATCAACACGAGACTGAGGACTGTCCAATTCAGGCTAGTGAGGATCGGGACTACTCCCCACCACCATCCGAGGCCAACAACAACGAAAAAGAACGCAAGCTGCCTGCGCCCAGGAAATACTGCGATTCCTGTGAGGGTAAGTGACACTATAAACTAAAAGATAAAATTAAAATTAACCATTTTTCACAATTTCAGTCTTTGGCCACGATACGAGCGAATGCGCCGATGATGAAACCTATTAGCTCTAGATAAATTCTAAATTATTTTTCCATTTTACTTTGTTTTGACTCTTAAGCATAACCTTATGGCGAGATCGCGTATCTATCAGTTTTTTACCTCAGCAGAGCTTCACTCAATCACACAAACTACATTCTCTATACAAAATTGTGATCTTGCGTTATGCACACATTCATGGATAATAGCCTATTTTAAATTGTTTTTATTTATTTAATGCGATTAGTGGCAAACACACAATCGGTTGTTTTCGTAATTTTTGAGTGTAAACTAGTGTAAAAATAAAAGCCAAAATGTGGAAGAAGGACTGTCTAGAATTTATTGGGTTATTACGAGTGGTAAATCTACAATTAATCGCCGCCCTCCTTTTTCTCCTTGATGGCATCCTAAAAATAAAGAAAAACTATGATTAAAAATGGTCCTTTTGGTTTTTTATGGATATATCTTACCTTAAAACGCTCTTCAAAGAGAGATAATTCTGCCAGAAGATCGGTTATGGCATTCATGAACGCCTCCTGCGGTGAATAGTCAGCCGTAGTCTGGATCCGGATAACGAACTTATGCTCTAGGGGATGTGGAACCTTGTAGCCGGCAAACAATACATTGGGGTCCTTCAGGAGCTGGCTGTAAAGTAACATTTCCATGTATTTCGTAATTATTATTAGTATTAATTACCCAACTTACTTGCGGATCATGTTTCCTAGAGTGTGATCCTCTTTATTTATCGTAAATATAGCCGCATTTGTCACTTTTGTGTCCAATTCTTTGATGATTCTATCAACGCGCCAAAACAAAAACAAAAACGGGTTACAGGTTCTCAGCTAAGGTATTTAACTTCGTACTCACTTCTTCTCGCCTTCATAGAGCAGAAATGACTCAAAGGTGGGTGGCGCATTCATTTTGATCTAAACGTTTTCTTTAAAATACGACAAAAATCAAAATTGTTTATTAAAATCAGCAGCACGCTCCGAAAATTCGCTGGTATAGTGTTGAAAAACGCTTAAACACCTTACTGCTAATGTAGCTATGTATGTTAATAGACAACTAGCTATTAATGTTAATTTCTTGAAACTCTGCAAGCTCACACAAAAATAGTATTATATATCCGCATGTTATTTATATATTATTTTGTTATTACTACACTAGCCTTTTATATTTCATATATATTTCTGGCTATTAAAAATCTAGCTTCTTTTATATACAAAGGCTCACCAGCACAGCAAACGATAGATATCGCATAGACAAACAGTTTTTGGCCATCCCTAAATATAGGTGGTTGAATTATTTGCAATTTTCATCCAATCGCGCCAAACGCTGCGCATTCCTCTAGTTTCAAGAAATCGACACGACGCCAAGATCAATTTGGTTTATTAAACTGTTGAAATGAGTGAGTTAAATGCCAACGCTGGTGCCACCGAAGGCGAGGAGGCCAATCCGCTGGAACAGTCGACCATAACGATGCTAGATGTCCTCGAGCATGAAAAGGAAATGGAAGACGAATATGCCGCGGTGCTGGGCGCCTCCGACGAGAAGTCCTGCACGTATGCCAAGGGCGCTATTGGCCGCCAGGCCCTGTATTCCTGCCTCACGTGCTGCCCGGAGGCTCGGGAGGATCTGGCCAAGGCCGCTGGAATCTGTTTGGCCTGCTCCTATCGCTGCCATGAGCACCACGAATTAGTCGAACTGTATACCAAGCGGAACTTCCGCTGTGATTGCCCGACTCAGCGACTGGGCAAGTGCTCTCTGAACCCACAAGTCGAGGGAGTCCAACCCCGGAACGAGGGCAATTTATATAATCAGAATTTCCAGGGTCTGTATTGCAAGTGCAAGCGACCATATCCCGATCCTGATCGTACCGTCGAGGAGGTGATGCTGCAGTGCGCTATCTGCGAGGACTGGTACCACTTGCCACACATGAAGGCACCAGGTTCATGCGAGAAATGGTTGGACACCTGCAGCGAAATGATATGCGATGGTTGCATGGATGCCAAACCCTTCCTGAAGGATTATACCGGGCTTGCCCTGCAGCCAGTTGTGAATGATTCCAAAGAAGCCAAACCGGAGGTTGAAGATAACCAACTCAAGAACGAGTTGGACCGCAGTATCAGCGACATTATGAAAGTTCCTGAGGGTGAATCTCAAGAGGAGGAGGGCGAACCAAGCAAGAAGCGTCCTAAACTAGAGGACTGCCGACGTCCTAAGCCAACAAAGCACCAGGGTAAGCAAATTATATTATTTGATACGCCTTCAGAGCTTCTCCAGCAACTATGTATATCTCATTTTATAATTTCACGATAATATGCTTCGAGAAATAACGAGAATTATTATTTAAAATCAAACTTAATACATGAAAAGCAGGTCAAAGTTCTTTTTGCCATCGCCCAGGTAAAGGAAACCATGTTTGTGCGAGTTGATTTTGTGGAAGAAAGTCATGCCCAGCCAAAGGCACGACTTAATTACCACCAAACTCTCGTTCCGTTGCATATTCAGGGCAAAGGATTGACCCAGCGGTATTACACAGTCGATAGTGTCCAGAAAGTCTACGGCATAGTTATAGTCGCTCCTCTTGGCCAAATTCACTTTGAGATCATTGCGTGGTAGACGATAAAGCTGGTAATAGGATTGATTGTCGATCTGCAGGTCATTAAGGCCCCGGAACATCTGGTTGGGTATAACACGACCATCGGTCATCTTGTAGAAGGCACCGCGTGGACAAATGGCGCACTCTTCTGTTATTATAAACACAATTGCTGCCAATCTTTCCTCCTCCTTTAGCTTTACTACTTCAGGGAGACTGATACCAGCCACATGGTTGCCCACAATGTCGAATGTGGGATCCTAAAGACAAGGATTACCGATTAATCAAAACATCTTCTATATAACCTTAGTTCAACTTACCAACTTTACATAGGACATCAGGCTCGGATCTCCTATAAAAGGCTCTCTAGCAAGAATGGTGGCCTGAAAGATCTTGGGGCTCTGAACAAACGGCAACAACTGCCACTGAAACTGGTCCAAACTATAGAAATACTTTCGATCCTTCAGGCAATCGTTTGTGTAACCAAAGGCAATGTAGTAATCGTTCTTGGTGGCAGTAATGCGACCCCACAGGTACATGCCTGAGAAGCGGTTGTCATTCTGCAAAGAGATTAGTGAATTTTCGATCAAGATGCGCTGCTCCGGCGATAGCTTCAAGCCGCAGTACATTAGGCAGTCGAGGCCTTCCGTGAAGTATTCTATATTCATGATATATTTTGTAAATTTAAATGGGAAGTGTAGGAATTCGTTTAGGTCTATAATGTTACGAATATTTGAACGATTTCTCGAAACTATTTGGATAGCGTTTTGAAAATAACCTTTTGAATTCTTAAACAAAAATCAAAAAGGATAATGCGATTTTCTTGGGATTAAATGGCACAGTTTTAGCACCACAAACTTTTGCAATTAACCACAATCTCTCCTATTAACCTATTTTTCCAATTCCTCTTTCAAGGTGCCGCTTTCTGGACTAATGACTGGCGCAAATCGCTTTGCCAGTGCTCCGAATGCCTATCGCTTTACAAGGAACTTGCCGTGGAGTTTCTGCTTGATGCCGAGGACTCGGCTAAGACTTATGAGGAGCGCGGCATGAAGCGGGCTGAGGAGAATTCCAGCTATGAGCAAGGCATTCGGGCACTGGCCTCCATTGACCGGACACAGCAAATCGATGCGATTACCGAGTACAATCGCATGAAGGACAAGCTGAAAGAATACCTGCAGGCATTTGCTGCTAGCAAGAAGGTAGTCACTGAGGAGGACATCAATCGGTTCTTTGCCGGCATGCGCAATGAGAATAATGCCAACCTGGGTCAGCCATATTTTTGTCGCTAAATATTTAGCTCTTTAAATTATTATAGTATTACACTCATTCCTCCATGAAAAAAGAAACATACATACACCATGTAAATTCTTAAGTTATACTTTATTATAAACAATAATCATGATCTGTCAATATAACGAAAAAGTTGTAACAAGGCATCGGGCCATGAGATTCGCATTTTCTTCTATATGCTATCCAGCCAAAATATTTATGTACATTGCGGTGAAATAGAGTTACATAAGAAAGAAGTAAAATTTATTATAAATTGGTAACAACCTATCTTGAGACCTTTTTACATAGCTCTAATTGGTTATTTTCTGGTATATTTTTATGAATATATGTACATTAAAAATTAGCAATATTGTTTTTGTTTATTTAAATGTCTGCAATCCCAAACTTTTTAGTTCTGCATCAATGCCCTGGATAAGTTCGGTGCTGTCAATAGTCGACAGATCCATTATTGTGCTGGAAATAAGATCACTTAATGATTGTACGTGTAAATCTTCCTGTGGTTGCTGCGGCTGCTGCTGCTGCTGATGTTGCTGTGGGAATTGAGACTGCTCTGACTGGGATTGGGGTAAATATTGAAGCTGCTCTGGCTGCGATTGAGGCAGGAACTGCTGCTGAGTCTGTTGGAATCCCTGTTTTAAGTCCAAATTCCCTTGTGGCGGCAAGCTTATGGCACTCATTTTTTGACTCGAGAAATCATTGTTATTGTAGTTCATAATGTTGATATTATTATTGTTAATTGGTGTTACGGAGCCGCCATTAAAATGCGTTGGACTACAGCTATTAATTGAGAAGTTAGAAGTCTCTGGCAGATATAGATGATTACGCTGTTCGATTTGCATCGGCGGAATGCTATCCACTGTGCTGCAGTTGGACCGAGGCGATGCAAAATTCCCATTATTCGGAAAGTTTGAAGTCTCTGGCATATATAGATGTTGGTTGTTCTGGCCGATTTGCATCGGTGGAATGCTATCCACTGTACTATTGGACCGAGGTGATGCGAAACTGTGCTCAACTGATGGGCACTGACTTCTCCAGCTATCCCCATCCATAAATCCGTTTTCCACTTTGATGTCGTTCACAAAATTGGGACTTCCAGCTGGATACATCATTGGCATAACCGGCGACACCTGTGTCTGCGGTGCTGATGTCAAAATCTGTGGTGTTGGAGCCACCGTACTCGTATACGGGCCTAGAAGATATATACAAAAGTTTTAGCTGTTTGTTTGTAATATGACCGAAAGAAAAATTTAATGAACGCAACAGTAAACCAAAAGAAGCATTTACATAATTGAGGCGAAACTGAGGTGAAACTAAAGCAATTTGCGAAAACTCAAAAAGGACAACAGCAAACCACAACATCAAATTGCCTTTAGGACAGCAATATCAACTTACATTATTTGATGTCCAGCTTTGGTAGTAAATATGAAGCTTGTTGAATACTAGACAAAAAAAATAGGAAGTGACACATCCTCGGTGGTCCGAAGTCTCAAATACCCTTGCTTTTGTATATTAACACATAAATGAAACTAAAATCTTTAACCAATAAATACATTTAAAAGAATAAACTATATCATTCATAAGTGGATAATCTTTAAAATATGAAATTTTTATTTATTTTTGCTTCTACCAAAAGTCAAGGGTATAAAAAAATGATAAAAGTTTAAATAAACAAAAATATATATTGATATTCAACGACTTTTACCAAAAAACTTTTATTCATCAAATTTTAATACATTAAGAGCGGATAGAACAAATATATTCAATTCGAACGACCTAAATAAATTAAATAATCTTCGACTACATCTTAACATTTTTCAACAATTCTGGGTCGGACATCAACTTTATCCATTGGTCCACAAGGTATTAAGTCCTGTACTATATATAGTGAATATTCACCAACAATTTTCGCCTACTCGAAATTACAATCGAGAAATGAGTTTTGTGTGAGAGATGTGTTTTATTCTAGGAACTACACAGACGTAATGGTTGTATAAAGAAACCCAATACCAGCACCAGTAATAAATGCGGAAAATTCTTGAAAACTTACTGGACGTTTTAACCTGCTTGGATGGATACAAATCGGTGCTCATGAGACTGCGCTTTAGGCTTTCGACTGTTTTTCGGGCCACCAAACGATTGTATTTTGTTAGAAGTTCTACAAAGATATTCGGATTTTGGGGCGATTAGAAAAGCATATATATATAATAGAAATCGGTGAGTTTTCTTAGCTAAAAATTTGTATATTCATTATGACATATTTGTAATTAATACTGAAAGAGAAGACGACTAGAAAAGATATTGTTGCAGGTGCATTGTGCTTTGTTTTTTTCCAAGCTAGATGCTAGAGTTTTGGGTAACTGATTATAGTTTGCATTTGAAAAATATTAAACATTCTAAAATTTGTTTTAACAAAGTGTAAGAAAAAAACAATTATGAATCATATTACGCAAGCCAGTCACCCAAAACCCTTTCATCATCCCCCCATCTCTACTCCAAGCCATTTGCCTCCGCCAGTCGTCGGGCTATTTCATCAGCACTAAGGAAATCCGATGTATCTACTCCGCCTTCCGCTCCACCAACTGCTCCACCCTCACCGATCTCCCCGCCAAACGGTGGTTCCGGACTTTTAGTCGTATATAGAGCAAAATGTTCCGCCTCGGAGAGATCCACACTGGGATCCAATACCACCCCGTAGGCTCCCTCACACAGATTCTTGATACTCTGTCTGTCGGCAATGGCTATCAATTCCATATTGCCATCACTCAAGGGAATATCTGCTAGTTGCAGAGTGCTTAAGGTCTTTCGGTCCAGCGGTCGTCCGTAACTGAGGGTACTGGCATTTGAGTAGCTCTCCGGGCGTAGCAAACTATTCTCACTATCGCCGCCTTTTAGTGGTATGTGGATTACATCTGCATCCAAATGAGCAGGTCTTTTTCCCGAAACACTACTGGAACTTCGACCAACAGGCTTCCCATTTCTACCCTCGCTTTTGCCCAATGGTTGCATGGACCGTGTGGAGCTGCGATTGGGATCTCCTAGGGAAAAGTGCGCCACACTGGGCTCCCTACTGCCGGTGGGTGTAGTGGCCTTGGATCCACCAGATAATTGTTTATTGGGACTGCCGCCGGGTGTCAGAGATTCATCGTCATCGGCCCTGCTCTTTCGGCGGGAGAAGAATCTTGAAAAGAATCCCTGACGCTTTTTGGGCGAAGCACTTGGCGTGGGTTGCCTTTTAGTGGGACTCTGGTCAGGGGTTCGCATAATGATAATTGGAGATGGAGTGGTTCTATTGGAGCTCAAGCTGCCATTTCTCGAGCGACTAACAGAGATAGAATCACTAACTATACTCAGATCTTGAGAGTTTCTCTGGGGTTTCGGTGGCAAGGGAGGTAATCTTTGGTCCGAAACTGGTGAAGGAGTTCGAGGTGGCAACGGCAAGGGTGGTGAATGGGGAGGCGTGGCTGGGGTCTGAGCAGCATTCACTTTGATCTTGGGTGCTGGAGGATTTGTTAGTACCACCAACTCGGCATCATCCAACTGACCAAACGGATTGGTAGGTGGATAAGTTTGAACTGGCTTTCGGTTTTCTTTGGGTACTCCTATGTCTATGGGATTATTGAAAGCTATCTGCAGGCTAGTATACGTGGCTGTCTCATCGAAGTTCTCGTCTAAGTCCACAGAAGCCTGGGCACTGGCTGAAACCAATTCCGGTTCCTTTTCGTTTTCCGGCAAGTCTTTCACGGCGGGATTTTCAAGGGTATCCCTACGCGAACCATTAGCCACAAGACCGTGCCCTTCCTCATCCAACTGATTTGTTATCGTCGTATTGGCAGTCAAACTGCTGACATTGGTAAATGCAGTCTGAGCTGTGCTATTCGAAAGGGATTGGGTATCCCCATTTTCTACAGTCAAGCTATCCGTTCTCTCAAACTCGCTGCTCTTCATCCACTCGGTTATTTTGTCCACATTGCTTAAAGGACGCGATTGCAGTTGAGGATGCTGTAGGATCTCCTCCATGGGCGTGGATGTTTGGGTGCAGTCGTCCGCCAATTGGGGTAACAATTGCGGAACTTCTAGCTCAATTTCCATGTCCGGTTCGTTATCGTTATCCGTATACTCGGTGACAGTGCCACCATCCATTTCATGTGATTCACCCCGTTGACGCATTTGCAGCTTCTTGACTGCAATCTCAAATTCATTAAGAGTTCCGGAACTCTGTTGATCGTCCGATGAAACCGTATTATTATCCTCCTCGAGATCCATCGGTGGGCATGAGTACTTGGTGGCCGTGGTTTCGCTGTCGAGGGAAAGAATCTGCTGGAACACGTCCAGCTCTTGGCGGCGCTTTAGCTTTCGCTGCAACCGGGCAAAGGTTACCGTACCTGGATTTGGGTAATACTCGAACTTCAGCGGGGCACTCGTCGCTCCATCTGAAGGTCGTACCAGCTTCAGCTCCACCTGTTGAGGCGAAAATATAGGAAAATAAGTTAATACAAATTATAATTATATAAAATATTATTCTTAGTAATAAATAAATAAACTTACATTAACACTTTGAGTGATCTCGGTGTTCCTGTAGCGTGGTGTCTTAAAGGCTATGGCCATCTGCTTGTATACATCTGTGGGGTGAAACTCCGCATTGGCAAACCAGGTTTCCCGTCCGTCCCTGTCCGTCTCGTAGAATCGCACCTCGATGTCGTCCTTGGCGATCTTCTCGCACAGCATGATAATCTCCGCTCCGCCAGTCACCTGAGCCGAGCAGCTGCACAACCGGGAGATGGTCAGCTCGTTGCTTTTGCCGTAAATCGGAGAGGATACGATCGGATCCAATGGCACTTTAGCATTGCCCACTGTGATGAAGGCCTGGTAGCAGAGGCGAAGCTCATACCGGTTGATCTTGTCGATCTGGTCTTTGTGATCGAATTTGGCTAGAAAAGAGTTTAGGAAAAAAAGGGTTATATAAATAAAATTATGAAATTACAAAAGACCAATTTTTTAAATTTATATTTTAGCTATCTTTTAGTGGGATTTTTTTAAATTGACTCACCATTAAAGGGATCGACGTTCCTTTTCTCTCTTTCCACCAGTGAGTCGCGCATTTCCAGCTTCTTGGCGCACTGGATGCCCACTTTCTGCAGAACCAATCGCCGTTCCTCCGGAGGCAATCGCTTCGAGTAGACACCTGATTTACAGGCATCTGCCTCCTCCTTGCTGACCAACCAATGGGGATGTTGGCGATAGGGCTCGTCACTGGTAACACATGACACCACGATGATAACGGGACCGTCGTAGTTGCACACCTCGATGGTGGGAAAGGTTTTGCCTGTTTCCGAACTGGAAGTCATGCCAGGAATTGAACCGGCAGTACGACCCTCGCACTTATATCGAAATCGGATTATATGATTCGTGGGCTCCTCCACGATACGCAGGTAAGGTCCACTTCTAGCACTTGACGTGGGCACATTTTGATTCATATTCTGATTCTGGTTCAGAAGGTGAACCGGCAGGTGGGACGGCATTACCGGCAAGGAAGTCGACTGCGATAATATGTGCTGCGCGCCACCACCTCCTCCAACCACTCGGCCTCCTCCGTTGGCGCCACCGTTCAACTCCATGCTGGCATTGATAATTTCCTCTGGGGAAGGTAAGTATTACACAAAAATCAATAAGTCAGAGTGCCAGAAACAATTTAGCTTAGGTTAAAGGAAGGGGAACTAGGAAAAGAAGCTCAGAATACACTCCAAGATTAAATGGAGTACCCGCGCGTACCCATTTCCCCTGACAGTTATGGGAGTAGCCACACCCACCTCAAGAAAATGAAACGTGTGAGAAATATTAGAAAATATTTTCATTGAAATGAGAATAAAGCAAGAATATGTTTTAGATAAATACTTAAGAAAACCTTAGAACTTTTTGATATTTTCCCAAAAATGAAAGTCAATGCCTTACGAATGTTCAATCATCCATCAAACATTACATAATTCAGCCAGCTAAATGATGATGGAATAGTTCGTGTGCGTGAGTAATTTTGTATCCATCAGATACGCACTAACCAACATGCATATATGGAAGGCATTAGGTTGCCATTGTTTTTTGGCGAAAGAGTGAAGGGCTATAGGGCTGGAAGGCTTCCTCCTTCAATTCCATTTGAACTTTGTTATTGCCAGATGTCGACTATGCGACGAGTTCTGACGTCAAAAGTTACGCAGCCATTTGCCAGACTTATTATGCCACTTTGTTCCGATATATATATGCCGCTGGCATTTTGTTCAGATGGCAACAGCAACACCAACGTCTGTATAGCCAAATAGCCAGGGAAAGAGCAATAACAATGTACAATTAGCCACTAAAAATTCCCCCACACAAATCTGATGTTTTCTGGTCTGGCCTAATTAAGCGCATTGTCGATTGACTTATGCCCACAGATTACTCATTAACCAGAGCTCTATCTCTTTTTCCCACCAAGGAGTTGGATTATGGGGGGTTCTTTCAGTTTATGTTAATATTAATTGGGGTTAGTATGTGCCATAAATTGATGGCTGTTTATACGTACGTATATCGCCAAAAGCCTCCTCCTCAAACATTGGATTACACTGTTGATTGCCTGAAAATTAAACCAATGATAGATTGTCATTAACTTTTCAGATATATCTAGCTAATGTTAGGAGTGATAGATTATTATAGATAGATAAAGCTTTTTCCTTTGTATGTAGAACATAAGCATGATGGATTGTTTTCCATTTTATGTATTAAGTCTATTAGAAAAAATTTTTTCATATACTTTTAAAATTGATTACACTCGATTTTCCATATTGAAAAATATTTTACTTTGTTACACGATTTAAAATATTACAGGTAAGGGTATACATTGTTGATTATGAAATAACTACACTTATATTCTCGTTTATTTCTTTAATCATTTCAATTAATTTTAGGGCAAAGAAATGATTTAGTAAGCCTTTCCAGATTAAGTTCCTAATCTTAGTTCCGTTCATTCCCCCTACTTAATAAGTACTTATAGTTTATTGAGTTTGGTAAACTCCCACAAATTTCGCAAGAGCCCAAAGTACACTGGGATATTCGTAGCTCAATAATGATCTGATTTATAAAGTAGAAAATCCCATTTTCAATGCTCTTTGTAGGTGCTGTATTATCTTTGTGATTTTTTCTTTCCCAAAATGCTTGCTGATAGCAAAATCGAATGTGGCTTGGTGATAATCTAGGAAAGGTGGTACTGGGGAATCTCTTAGCATGGCATTGACTGCCATATTTATGATAGTGTTATCAATAGGTTTACACGTACATTTCCTAGAAAGTTAACAGAATGTTAGGTCTGCATTTCGGTTTTCATTAAAACAAACTCTTATTAAAATCTACGAAAGTAGATTATTAAGTAGTTTTTAATAAGTTTAATAAGTATTCATACTGCATAATAAAATAAATTAATTTAATATAAGAATTTATGTAATAGTTTTTAAAACTCCTTTATATTTATTGAACTCAATTACTTAACCCTTTTACATCATTATGCAAATATTTATATTGTCATCTGTTTTCCTTGGTGCCACTTTAAATTGATCAACTGCTGCTAATATTTGTATAGACCTTGTAAGAGTTCTTGGTTAGCAAACTGCCATTATTTTCTTGCGTTTTCCTTTTAATGATGGCAAACATATGGCTTAGCTCCTAACGATTTCCTTTTCCTCTGTCTTCATCCTTACCCTTGTTATTTTAGTATATATTCAAATAGCGACTACTGCCGCATCGATCAAGGTTATCGTGGTTAGTCGCTTGTAGGGGATAATAACAATGTCGGTGTAATGTGTATTTAATAGTCGTAGCCATAAAAAGGCCAAACAAGTCACTCTCTGAGACACATTTTCCCCGTATTTTGGTCTCTTTTCCGCAACTGCAGTAAGGCATATGCCGAAAGTATTTTGCATTTTCTGCACATAACTCAACTTTTCAACAAAAGAAGAGCACGAACACACACACCCGAGCACACTCTCTTGGACACTGAAAGATAAAATCCAGCAAGAAGTCACCGCTTAAGACAGCCTATTTGTCTAAATGCCAAACGTTGGCGTCAGACTCACAAAAACACAGAAACATTGCACAGGAAAAAAGATGTTTCAGTTTTTTAAGATATCTGTTTTTAAATTCTAAACCTAATCAACTTTTGGGGAAAATATAATTTGTCATTTTAGTTATTCATATTTTGGGTTTTTGACATATGTATGTCTGTTAGTTACAAAGTTTATATAATATTAAAAAAAATCTTTAAAAAGTCATAAGTAATTAATTATTATAAAACACAGGATTTGTACATTTCATAATATGAACCAATGAGGTTCATTAAATACAAATTTCTTTTAGAAACTTAAAAATTATCTTCAATCTGTGGTTATACGTCAGCAATTTAAATATTTTCTTTCTGTGCAGCCACCAATACAATCGCTTATACTGAGACATTCGCACACACGTGGGGGCTTAAAAAATTTGCATATGGTAATTTTGTTTACATTTATAGCCTTGCAAAAACAATTTGTCCGCCACTGGATATACTTTTGTTGTTGCGTGTTTTTTCTTTAGCAATTCACACCACTCGCTTGCACTCACACTTCCTCCTCAGTGAAGACAGATCCTACGGTTTTGTTTACGAACCGCATGACGCTTTATGTGTCCACCTCTCCACCTCCTCGAAACCCACTTTTCGTGTGTCGAACATCTGAGCTGTGTAATAAGCAAATATGGGTCGATGTGTTGGTAGCAGTAGCCACCGAAAAAAATGAAACAAAAAATGATGCAATGCATTATCTTTACAAAAAATGTCTAAATTTTATAAGTCCAGCACGAGTCGAGCCCAATTACACTGTAAGGGATTGAAATTTCACTTCAGAAATTATTATAAATAAGTTTGAATATAACACTTTTAAGGTTACACTTAAGATATTCGTTAAAACATTTTTTGTATGTCAACATCACAAAAGATTTTTTCTTTCAGTGTTCAATGCGACATGGGGCCAAATGACATCAGGAAACTTTTAAGTATTTGGCGCTAGCTGCGGCTTAACTGGCTCTGACAGCAGCAGCATCGCTTTTCCCTAACTCGCTAATCTCTCTTACACACAGAATTACACACACCCACACACACACAGTGGGCAAGAGGACGAGCATTAAGGATATCCCGGCAGTGGGGTGATGGGGGTCATTCCTGCGGCATCGTTTAAATTTTTATACAAAGGGGGTAGCAAAAAGTTGAACCCTATCGATTGTCCTGCTCATGGGCATAAATAATAAAGCAACTCAAGTGTAACACACACACACACGATATACAAGAACAATTGCTTAACTATGCAGGTTGCCAAGCAACTTTCAACTTTATTAAGTATTTCTTTAAATACTGAATTTTACTAATTTAAAGATATGTAGCTTTATATAAATCAAAATCATGACGAATACATTTATCTAAGCCCTTCCCACACTAGCTACTTGAAAATCATTAGTGCCCTGGAGGGTAAATCGTTCTTAAAATAGGAAACCAGACTAATGGCTTGGCTAATTGGCTTAGACCCTGTACAAATGATATAAATATAGAATTTTAAGTATGTCAATTAGCCCTTTTAACGAAATTTTGTCTAAAAGCCGTTTGTTTTCTTAGGGAAAAGGATATTCTAACCTTTTTCTAATGCAAACTTTGAAGGATTTGTCTTCTTATGTTTGGAAATTAATTTAATCAATAAAAATGTAAACATTTATAATAAAAATAAATTTTAAATGAAATTCGACTTGGAACAATTTTAAAAACATAGTTGCTTGAATAAAAATTTTAAAGATTAACTTCAAATCCCAATTGATTTTCCGGAAATTAAAATACTTAATTCCAAATATCAATATTCCAAACGCGTTTTGTCTGGCTTTTTGGATTATTTTTTTTAGATTTCATTAAGCGCGGCACACGCAAAGAGCTTTTCTAAAGCGCGTAATTGCTTGGTTCAACTCCAAAGGGTTCTCTCTTCTCTCTAGGACCTTCTCGTACCATTTTTCGTGTCTAGCCCGAAGTAACTTTACCTGCCGGAGCTCCTCGATTCGGGCAACACTTAAGCTCAATAATACTTTAAGACAGGCCGGGCTACCAACTCTTAAAACGAAAGAAAAAAAAGACGAAAAAACGCCACGCACAAAATTTAATTCGCATTTAGGCTTACGTTAGCAGGAGGGTTGGAAAAATTCTGGTGGCATAAATCAGAGCTACAAATTGATGCATAAATAAAGCAAACAAGAAAGGATGTCGTCGGCAGAATACAAAAAAATTGAGCTAGGTAAAAGAAAAATGTTAATTAAATGTTGTCAAAAATAGCATTGGCATCGGGAATGATGATGTTGGGTTTTGAATTACGCTCGAGTCCTATATCGTCTCTTTCTCTATATTGGAATGTAATGCCTAACATACATATTTCAGTAGCTAGAACCTTGTCACGTGCCCAATCGATTGGAAAATCGCGTTCTGAACCGAAAATAAACACACAGCTAAATAGGAGAAATAATGGTATGGGAAGGTGGAGATGGTGGATGGAATATGACGAGATGGGATGGCTAGAAGCCTGAAACGAACACACACCATTCACCCACTGATGGCCTAATCACACCCAGTCGCACACACAAAATTCTACATCAAACACAACAGACAACTGGCCCCAATCCATCCACACAATTTCCCATTTGGCACCTCAAGTGCTTAGGCTGACATGTGTGTGTGCGTGCCTGGTCCTGTCAATGTCCTGGTCCTAGTCCTGAGTGCCTTGCATTATATTCGGTATGTGCACAAAAAATTAAATTCAAATAAAAAGTTCTTTCCCAACAAAAATTTAGACTGTCGCCGAAAATGGAAAATGGGGATAAAAAACGTCCCCAGGAAAATCAATAAACGTTGGAAATTATGATTTTCTTCTAGTTCTTTGACAGTGTCCTTCACCATTCCATGACCCGCTGTCATTTGCAGGAAATCCATTTGGCTTTCTATATGCACTGCATATATAAATAACTAATGTTTGTTTACTCCTAGATCCGAAGTTTGCTGAGGTCACAATCGATAGAATTTGTTGCTAACACAAACAGAAAATATTGGTCGGGTTTTCTATTTATACTGCACTTATTTAGGTGTGTTTTTTAAGAAACTGTGAGATTTGGTAAGTTCAAAATAAGTCTTATCACTTACAGAGTTTTTAATAACTTTAAGTTATTGTTATTTCTAAGAAATTTTATTATTTAACTTAACCATTAAAGAAAATCAACTTTTTTAAGAAACATACAGATATCTTATTTCTCGGAAAAAATAAAATATTTTGTTTACTTTCTGTTCTTATATCTGCGAAGTTTCATTTATATTTAAGTAATCTCTACTTTTTTTGTTTCTCCGAATTAAATATTGAACATTTTTTGGTATACTGATAACTCAAATATATTTTACCAAAAAAATGTATATTTAACATCAATAAACAGCTGCTGAAGTGGGTTTTCCTTTGGCGATGTCACGTGCCAAAGTTACTAGGACGCTTTTGATAAGGTTTTATCAATGGTTAATCCCCAGCTAATGATGTCCGAGATTAAACAAAGTAACGAAGAGCTTTAGATGGGGCAAGAACTAGACTTGGTGTCACTTTAGGTAAACTTTGCTGTGTTGAGACACAATTCTGAGTCTGTATAACGACTGAAACCATAAACACGAAAAACAATTTCCGACAGTGTTTTTTTTTATAATGATGATCGTTAAAAGTTGTTTGATATTTTTTCTAGTACAATTATATATTGTGCTTTGGTGTGCCGTGCCACCTGAAAACTGTTAATGTGTACAACTAATTAAAAGGCAATTAATTCGGTTACATTTGGCGTGGCTTCGCTCATCAGTGACCATTACAGCTGGCAAAAGTTAAATTCTACAGCCAATCGATTTTGGTTGGCTTTCAAGCAAATCAAAGGAAGCATTTTTGCAGTCAAGTAAATAATGCCCGAGTAACCCAAAGCATTCCCAGAATGCCGAACCAGACCACATCACACCACATTGAACCACAGCGCACCAGACCTCATTTACCCAAGCGTTGAAGCAATTCCCATTCTAATGGCCAAGACAAAACGTTCGTTCGCACATTCATACAAACATACATTCGGTTTTGGCCAAGAAAAACGACCGACACGCGATGACCGAAAATTGGAAGAAAACCGCAGCATTTAATTATTTTGCTATAAAACTTTTCACGATTCAATCAATTCTGATTTCGTACAACATGGCGTATGCGTAATGGGATTCTGCTTTTTCTATTGTTTGTGAAAATTCGGAGGGGGTTGCTGTTGGTGTGAGTTCTTTGTGGAACTTGGCAATCGGATAGCGGTGTAAATGTGAATGACAGATCATTGTAAAGTTTAGTTGGTTTTTGTTCATGCGGAAAAACAGTATTTTTGCTGTTTTTTTATATATATGTTTATAGAATACAGATTCTTGAGAGGGGTTATCAGACTCGTAAAATATAAAGACCCCTGGGAATTTCTACTTGCTGATTAAAGTCGAAACCTAATCGGTTGATTGAAAAAATCTCAAAGCGAACTTATTTTAAATGCATTTGCAGTTTTAGTTTAGACTGTTAAGAAATGTTAATAATATGTTATATGTAATAACCAAAAAAATATACACTTTTAAAAGAATCAATGTTAGATTACTTACTATGTAATAGTCGATAGATATTTAAATTTCATTTTTTAAGAAATCACCTGTTCGCCGATATAATAATTCAACGAAAGTTAAAGTTTTGGGGTAAAAGTTGATTCTTTAAGAATTCAATAACAAAATGCGCTAACTAGAGCCGCACCCTTCCAAACAATGTTTACAGCTCTATGCCACACACCCACACTATGCTGAACGTACAACCTGTGACCTTCCATCTGCTTTTGGCATTTAATTTACAATAACTTTCAATTGGAAACATGTCTGCTTAATACAATTGGCAAAGTTATTGGTATATGCATGAGAGCGACTTTATATTTTGTGTAAGCAAACGCACATACATGGACCAAAAGGTGTGAAAAGTGTGGGTATTGTTTGTGTTTTGCTTTCAACAATTAACGAAAACAATTCCGTTGCCTTTTGGCCATCGGTTCATCGCCCAGTTTAACTTAGATAGCTTCTGGCTTCTGGGCCCTGAGATAAATCGATATTTAAGTAAGTTTTGACCATGACTGTTCCATTTTGTTCTATTTTTATGGGTTCCGAACTGCCCAATTGGCCAAATGGCCAACTGGCCGAATGTGTGTGCGTGCGGATAAAGCAAAAGTCTTTAAGATTTTATGGCATTTCGTGTCTTTCGATTGCAGTTCCAGTTGCCTGTCCAGGTTGTATATATTCCTTTGATTACAAATGAAATAAACGAAATATTCCAGATGCCGCCGCAAATTTTTATAAACTTTTTCCGTGCCGATTTCACTTGTAAAAATATTTACATTTCCTTAATATAAATATTTGCATTTGCTTTTGGTTTTTTTTTTTTTTTTTTAATGTTGAAATCTTCATTGTTGTAATTCCTGTTCCTAAGAAACATCCTCTTGAGCTGATCTGCATATCTGATAAGAACCTGAAGACAATCTAAGTAAACTGTTTCTCTGAATTTTGTTGCGCAGTGAATATTTATCGCTTGACAATTTATAAAAATAAAACATCCAAAGGCAATTAGCAAGAGTTTTATGTTTGCGATAAGCATTATAATGTTTGTAATTACATTCGAGAGGAAATATCTACTCTGGGGAGCAGTTCCGGCATATGTTCTGTACATATAAGAATGAAATCTGAACCAGTATGTAAATGATTTTGCGCAATCCACAAATCAAACGGGAAAGCAACACTTGGTTTACTAATAAATACCAACTAAGTATTATATTTTTTTTAATAAATCGCAGTCAAGTCGCCTTCATTGTTTTGAGTTTTATTAGCATATATTATACGTTTGCTGCACTAGTAGAACTGCAATTACACTAGCAAAAATATATACCCGCAAAACATAAAAAATAATTAGTATAGAATGACATTTTGGGCTCAAATAAAATGATTCATTTTCTATATATTCCAAATTAGCAGGATGTAAAAGCAATAAAAGATTTTGTGTCATCATAAGGTTGCTTAAGTTTGATAAGATTAATGGTTGCAGTATATATATATTTGATAATTGGGGTTAAAGTATTATTCTGGATTTTATTTAAACGAAGACCTTTTTGACACTTTCTTAAAATCAGCAGGAAGTTAAAATATTAAAACTAAGACTTAAATGAACAAGATTAAGAGTCTTTAATATATTTTCTTATTTGACCTTTAAGGTTAAAATATTATTCTTGATTTCACTTATATGCATCTTCCAATATATATTTCATATCAGCAGGAAGGGGAAGTTATTAAAATAAATTATTAAAAAAAAATGTTTAAGCATTGTTATTAATTAAAGTTTGTTCTCTATTTGTTGGCTTGGAGCACAGACTAGCGAACTCATTTGTTTCCTTTTTTGTTGTATTTTAGTTAAATATTAATAAATACAATTTTCATTACACGTGGCATTCAGAAAATGAATTGTCAGTATCTTAATAGTATATTTATTTATGTATCTGGGATTAAAATTTATGAATTCCGCTAAGCTGCTTGTTATTCATTTCTTGCAGTGTCATTGCAATAGAACTTGATACGGGAAGCTGCCTGTACCTAAGTTTTCAAAGACGACTCATAGATAGGCGGGACTTTACAAACTGCGCCTTAGACTAGCTGACTTTGTTTTTGATTTCAGTTAATATATTATTGCTAACCTTTTTGTGGAATGGTATGCTTTTAATTTGATTATTTTCTTGTTAAATTTTGTTTGTTTGATCCAAATGCACTTGACGAGACAATAATCGAATTATCTCTTTGTTGTGGCGACACGTGTAATTGATTAACTTTTTGTTTTTTATGATTCCCCGTTGTTGGTTTTTTTTTTATTTTGGTTTGTTTGTCTGACTTATCATGCGCGCGGTTCAACTCACAAAAGGCGCGCCAAAAAATGTTGAAGAAATTAAGTAGAAAACAAAAACAAAAGTTGCTCCAGCAAACGCCGTAGTTGCTTAGGTTTATATATATATTATATTTTGTATATTTTTGTTATTGGCACTGCAACCGCCTGTTAAAAGCGGACATTGATTTATACACACATTTGTAGTTCACTTCGTAGTTGTCGTGTTGCGTATAATTAACCAATACACAGTCATCTATATAGTCGCGTGCGACTTGCACAATATGAGTTTTATATGTATGTATTTGTATGTGTACATATGTGTATAGTAAAGTTTGCGGTTCACTCACGTCCGTCGCCGGCCAAGTTCAGATTGAAACTGAGCGGTACGCTTCACTCTCGATTGCAAGAGAGCTTCGGACTAGCTTCGATTGCTTAGGCTCTACGCTCAGCTGACCGCTCTTTGCGATCGCCTGCACTCGGTTCGTATACTTGATCCGTATACTTGATAAAAATTTTACTACCGCTGATATGACCGTCGATCGCCGATCGCTGCTGTGGGTAGCTCCCAATTTTGTTTTCCATTTCCATACCTACTTCACTTCACTTTTTCTTTTCTTTTCCTTTATTTTGTTTATTTTTATTTCCGTTGTGCGTACTCGGCGTTTTGTTTTCTTTTTTTCTTTTCAAGTGCGTTCCTATGACGTAACCGAGCGCAAAAAAATGGTTATAGATTTTTAAGTGGATTCGGAAAAGTGATGAGATTTTTATAACGCTTTGCAGGTGTTCGGATTTCGATTTTCGACTATAAATAAACATTGGTTCCTCTCAAAAAATGTGTGTTTTTTGCAGGGAGTGAAAATTTATTGAAATAAATAGTTTGAAAATCACATAAAAATTTAAAATCCCTGAAATGTTGTTTCACATGAACTCCATTTTCGTTAAAAGGCGTTTAAAGTACTATGATGGCTAAAAGTTAATCAAGATCAAAGAGATCCAGCAATAGAAAAGTCTTATTTCTGAATGATTCATTCGTGTTTCTAGGCGCAAAAGTCTGAAGAATAAACGCCAATTTTTCGCCAGATGCATAACAATAGATCTATTTATTAAATATAGATATGACAGCTGAATATTTTTATTGATTTTCCCTGGAATTGACAGACCTGAAACTAGCTCGACCTTAGTCAAATGTAAATTATAAAATCCATATAACGTTGCTAATTCACGCAAGCAAAATTCCCAAAAGAGACCGAAAAAAGCAACGTCTAAGGTCGAACTGAGTTATTAACTCAATTTTTGGCTTCTGTTCCATCGACAGATTTTAGTCATTTTAAATAAACACAAGTGCAGGCCAAACACGTAGACGGAAAATATTTGCAGTTAACATTGCCAATCGGGCAGAAATATTTCAATACTGTTGTGCTTGAATGAAAATAGTATATAATTTATTTCGTTTGGCCCACGAAATTCTGAACTAAAAACAAAGTTTGCATTCAGCGTGGGCCGCGCTGGTCTACGCTGGAAATGCATTTTTCGAGTCAATTTACCGGCTGTGATATATGTGCATAGTCTATATAGGATTATAACAAAAATAAGTAAACCTACAGATAAGTTTTATGTTTGCCCTGAAATACATGACATCCTTGACAAAAAAAAAAAATAGAAAAATTTTAGCTGTGATTTAATTCTTTAAAGATAAAAACCCATGACGTAGTGGGAATTTAAATAACAGTCACGACGTAAACTTTAAAGAAAGTTGCCAACCTAAGATATTCTTTACATTTTAGGAGCTAATTTTATTGTTTTTATGATACTTTTTACTTTATTTAAAAACCAGATCAAGATTAAGTTGTGATCAAATCCAAGGTAAATATCCCATGACGTAGTAACAAAGTTTAACAAAACATATCCAGACGTCACGAAAATCTCAAACTCTTTGTCAAGTTTGTTTTATGCGCTTGCAGAAGAAGAAGAAAAAGAGAAAGAAGGGGAGAAGTCAAAGACACAGCAGCTACATCCCGCTCTCCATCCTCTCTGCCCAAAATGAAGCCCCCCTGCAATTCTGGCACATGTGTGATTCAAGGTCACACGCGTAAGCGGGACAGTAACGAAGAGAAAGAGTAAGAGAGTGTGGGAAAGAGAGGGACTGCAGACAAACAAAGCCAGGCCCCAAAGAAATCGGGGCGGCAGGGCAGGGGCGTAACTGTGGAGCGCATAGTTAAGCAACCACTTGTTGTTGCTGCCGCTTTTATTGCTCCTCTTCAGTCAGCGCCAGTTTAAGGCCAACATTTGTGCACTGAGAGAAACAAATTATGCAAAACTTAAAAAAAAATGTTCCTTTAGGAATAACTTTTATAAAAATTCATTACACGAAAAAAAAGTTAAAACTAATTTAAATCTTATTTATTTTCAAGTCATACCAAAAAAAAATTTTCTTACTTAAAGTTTTTTAAAATCATCCGAGTATATGTCAGTCTGAAAGGTCGCCGCCGCCCTCAAAAGAGCCAAAGAAACAAAGACCGTAGAGCATTAACATGCAAGACAATCGGGCGGGGAAGTTGGTGATAAGAGAAGGCGACGGATGAAGGGGCAGCGTATCAATAACACGAGCAGTAATATTACCATCTCAAAATGTTTGTCCAGCGGAAAAAAAACATGATTAACAAATGACTCAACAAGCTACGTCAAATACATATCCCCTGCGACATTTACTTTATTCGTTTCCATGGGACTTAAGTGTATTCTAACATAAAGGAACAAAATATATAAACAAAATCAAAAAACAAAACGTCACAGCTCAAAGTTCGATATGTAAAAACATAAGAAACGATAAGGTACTCTGATAAAGTATTCTAAAGACTTCCTTCCATATATAGAAATTCAAAAACTATTTTTATCTGGTAGTATGATAACAAAAAAACAATTTATGTTTATATATTTCTTTATATATCAAAAAATATCAAAGAAAAATGTTTAAAATTGTCAACGAAAATGGTTTACTTATTGATTTACAATTCTATATCTTCGCTATATAACAATAATATATATATATAAATTAAAGTGTAGTTTCCTTTTAACTCATTAAGAAGTTGATAAACTTATCCAAGAGCTATGAAAATACTCTACGAATTGGCAAAACTTTGGCGTGACATACAAAAAGATAACGTAAAAGGTGAACCAAAAACCTGTCCGTCTGCCTTGTCTTGGTTTTTGGTTTTGCGGCACTTGATTGGCTTTTGGATTCCCCGAATCGCTGATGAATCATCACCTTGCACACATACGTATACGTAATTTCTGCGGCCCAACTAAACACAACACAATTGTATCCCCCGCACACCGTCACTTTCAATTGGGGCCTTACGGCGTTTGTGTATGTTTTAGTGTTTGCCCATGCGGAAATCTGCTGAGAGCAAAATGCTAAGAGAGATCTCTACGTGGATGATCAACTCCAGAGAGTGGGAAATTTTTGAGGACTTATTGGCCAGGGGGGTATGGTTGCCATTCCAGTTCCCAGTCACTTTGCCATGCCACATTACATAATTGGTAACTGCAGGAGTTGTTCGTAAATACGTTGGAGTTCCGCATGCAATGTGCAGCTTTTGTTACCGATGATGTGGCTGTAGTTTCTGTTGCATTTTATACACTGACAAAAACTGGGGATTAAACAAGTATTTTTAGACAAACAAATGTTTTTTAAACCAAACAACGCTTTTCTGAACAAAAGTTAAAAAATGAAAGAATTTGTCATAGAAAAATATAGTTCCATTTCAAATAACACAAAAAATAAAAGTACGAATTAAGTAACATTTATAAACATTTTATATAGTCGACTTTTTTAATATGGTAACTAAAACTTTCGTTCTCTCTGTATACAGTTTGTTTTTGTGACCATATCAAGGTTGTCTGATCCCAAAGTCTCGAAGACACTGACTCCATCATTTCACAAGTTAAGGTAACGAAGACACAAATGGAGATAGACGGCACTTTTGTTTTGCTTCAGCCTTTTAGAGGGAATCAAAAACAATATTGCCAAGCATCGCGAGCAGAAAAACAACAACTTTGTGCGCAAATATTCTTAATTAATTAATGTGTCAGCAATTTGTAAGGCAAAGATATGCAAGTGGGCGGTATGGGGATTAAAACTTATTGGCATTTCTCACTGGAAATGAAACTGGAACTGAATTCTCATGTGCAACTGCAATTGCAAAGTTTTACTATTATTTACATATTCTCCAGTCGAGGAATGTGAATTTATTGTTCAAAGGTCAAAGTGCCAATCTCTTCATGTGAATAACTTTCCATAATGAGCTTTATTTTGTGAATTTTGATCTGTGGAACTCTTTGAATCTTTTATAGTGTGATAGATACGAGAATTTCATTGATAAAAACAACATGGTAACACAATTACTATCAGAAACAGGTGGAAAAACCATACAAACCAACAAACCAACAATGACTGTTAAAACTAAAATAAGCAGAAGTGTTTTTCTAGGTGATGTTACTCTCAAACATAAATAATTCACTGCAGGCAAGCTGAATTAATCTACTAAACGATTTACATTTTAAACATGTTTCTTGGTAATATTATCTATTTATAGGATATTCGAATTCTAAATGTCATAACTGCAAGTTAAGTGGTTTACGTTTACTCTTTACCCCTTTATAATGCAGTTGCTTTCCTGGAATAATAACAGTTCTGAAAACATTACAAATTAATAGAAAGAATTCTCGGAAGGGGAGGCGCGCGCCGTTCCGATCATTTTGATTCCAGTTAACACGTCAGTACCTTTCGATTGGTAGTTATAACCGCAAAACAGGTCACTAGAAAATGACGTTGATTTGGTAAATGATCGAGAGATGATTTAATTTTTGTCTAATTAAGTAACTTTTTCCCCAAGACGTAAGAGCACCTGGGAACTGAGATCGAAAATGAGTAAGATCCCAAGAGACCTGTTTGGACCTTAATCGGTCTGCTGGGATAAACCCAATTTCATTGATGTTCTGGCTTACGCTTACGATGAATACGCTCTTAATTATTTATAAACAAATTGGAATTTTGTAATCGAACGGCCAGAGATTATTTATAGGCGGAGAACTCACCTAAATCAGAATTTCCAGCCGTGGCAATAATTTAATATGCTTTGTTTGATTTTCGATATTTAGTTTAAATTTTCGAATTTTTATGTTCGTTTGGAAAATTTTGTAATCACATACACTCGCACACACGCACACACTGAACGCTTTCGATTTAATTTTTTCAACTGGATTTATTTAGATTAATTATTTAAGGTTTTTATGAGCTCACACACTTCGATTTAAATTTACGTTACTTTTTCGATATCGTAATTTTGTTGTCGATTTTTGTTAGGTTGTTATTTCTGAGGAAGCGAAGAACCGTTTGCCAACAGCGACGAACCGTTAATGAAGCCACCGACGCCTTGGCCACCACGCAGAGTAGTCGTACCGCCCACCACCCTCTGCCATTAAACCACCCCAACACCACCCAAAACACCAAAAACAGCAGCAAATACAATGTTGTCGTAGGGTCGAAAGCTTTGACCACCTGCGCAGACTCCGCCAGTGTGGTGAGTTTTTTCCACAAAAAAGCTCCATGTGGTGAACTAGGTTCGAACGCACATTTGGCGCCCAATCTAGCGGAAATTTCTGCCCCAGGGAAAATGACCCGCAAAATAAGAAAAGCGGATGCCGCCACCGCATTATGTTACCCACAATGTGTGAGAACCGCACCGGATGTGCTAGCTAAGCGATTGTGGGACAGACATCTCAACAGGATATCTTGTTCCTTTGAACTCAAAGTTTATTTGCTGGACCGAAATTTTTCATGTGTCAATCGTTCTGATTTCTTTAAAATGTAAACTTAAGTTTGTAAAACAAACAGTTTAAAAAAAACTTTAAGGAATAACAAGAATAATGTACTTCAATAACAAGGTTAAGTATATTTATTTTGATTTAAAAAACATGTCTAAAGAGTAAGCCTTTTATTAGACTTCATTAGATGCTTGCTTGCTTCTACAACAGAAGTTCAGTTTTCTTGTTGATTTCTATACGTGTTAAGCAAAATAAAAAAGTTATTTTTACCTTTGTTTCCTTTCAAGTTGAATATATTATTTTTAATCAAAATGTTGCCCAAAAGTCCACGCATTCGTCAGGGAAACAAGTCTGGCTTGACCGGAATCCCTCAGAAGGGATCACCTAGAACCAGCTACTCCAAAACACTTATTGCCAGTCAGGCGAACAAACGTCGCCTTATGGAATATCGTAATTCGAAGAAGGAGAACGTGTGAGTTTAATGAAAGGGATTATACGACATTATTCTACATATTTTACATTTTTTTTAAATACATATTTTTTCGTATAATCCTCTAACAGCTTTGGTAACAAGAATAACCAACAACTGAACAAGATACCCAAAGCTGTGCTACTAACACCGTCTTCCTCGGACAACTCTGTGACCACAACGGTGTCCAGTTCTGGCCAACCGACCTACACAGTTATGCCAAAGACCAGTCTGCTTCGGGAGCCAACATCACTGACCCCATACTTGACCCTTAAACGTCAGCAAACGTCTACCTTGATTAATTTCAGTGTGCGCAAATCACTTTCTCAAATGGATTTTAAAGAGGCTCGACGCACAGGCAACTATCAGCTGGTGGCCCATGTTCCCTCGCCCTCGAAATCTATACAGCAAGAACCGCAGGAAGCAACTGAAGCCTTGGGGTTGGAGGGGAAAATGGCCAAATTGGTGTTGCAGGATAACGCTGTTATTGAAGGAAAGATGAGCTTTGTGGTTGGTCCAGATCAGGATGCCCGGGTGGCCAGCCTGAGAATCTTCAATACCGTTATGCTTCACGCTTGGCGCAAAAGGCGAGAGGAGGTTCGTAATCTCACTGACCAGGTGGAGGACTACAAGAGGAGTGTGAGTATCAAAAGTATCTTTATATATTTCGTCTTTTAAAAATCCAATTCCTATATCGACTATAACGAAAGTCCGTGAAGAATCGCAACCAGTTGCATGTCTACAATTCACTTTTTTGCGTTGAAAAGCGTCGCAACGAAACCTTGAACGATCAACTAAGGCAATCCTATCGAGATAATGCCCAGACAAAGCTATCTTACGAGGAGCTGAGCCTAAAACTAGTAGAGATCAGGACCGAAAAGGATAAACTGGTCGAGGAGTTAGGGATAAAAGACAAGACCATTGAAAATCTTCAAGAGGTGCAGCAATCACTCAAAGACGAACTTTTCCAGGTGAATAGCCAACAGAGAAAGCAGTTGGAACAGTTGACTCGCCTGCAACGCGATTACCTGGAGAGCCAGTCTGCTCAGGAAGAGCTGGTTCGCCAGTTGGATCTCCTCCAAATCGATCTGGCCCTGAAGCGTGACTTCATTGATCAACTGCGCGAGAACATGACCAAGCTGGAGGATCTTAAGCGGTGTTCCGATGAGGAGTACAGGTAAGGAAACCAGAATGTATAAATGGAGTTCAACTTAAATATATATAATCTAGCAAACTGCTTGAGCAAACTGTGAAGATGGAACGATCCATTGAGGAGAAGGAGGAAAAGCTGGTCACCCTCCAGAATTGCTTGGCTGCCACCTTAGGCCAGAGGATCCGTCAGTGCTTCGCCCAGAGCCAGGCTTACCAACAGGCCACCTATCGCATGTTACACTTCGTGGCCCACTATATGTTACCCGGTACTCCGCCACCGGCACCATCTCTTCCAGGGGCGGTTAATAGGCTGAAGGGCTTCTTTTCTCGGGGATCACACAGAGAACTAGAGTTTGAGTATGATGCTGATGATTTGAATAAGACCGATTACGGTGAAATTCCAGAAGCCCAAAACTAAGTTGCTTAACGTTCAATGTTTATTCACTTTAGTTGCTTTTATTGTTTAGACGTTCAATATTTTTCCTTATGGTTAAAATTGCTTCTTAAATCCTTGTTAATAAATAAAAAAATAATTTTATTAAATTCGATTCTTCAATGTTAAAGAAGAAACAAAAGTTAATAATTAAATCAACACCTTTTAAACCTTTAAAAAAGCAGAAAAATTACGTATACGAGAAGTGAAGCCGAACATTGGCCCGATTTATGCCGTTTGCCAACCAATTGCTATTGAATACATAATCTCCATCAGGTAAGGGTAAAAATCCGGTGAGTTGTTGGTTTACGAAATGAGTGGGCAGCTTATCAACAATAATATCATGCTAGAAATTGAATAGAAAATTAAACAAAGTAAACATTAAGGAGAGATTGCTTACGTCAAAGGGACATGAATGGTTGATGTTTGAGTAAGCTTTAATTAACCCAAAAAGAAATGAAATCAAGGGTTTACCCATATCTGCTACCATCCTGCAGCCATCAAAAGTAAGATTATAGCTAACCGGCATCAGTCCATTCGATCGCTTATTAATTGCTGCATTTAGCTAAAGGAAATCTATTTATTTAAGATCAGGTAAAACTTTCTCACTTTATAACAAACCGAAAATTGAGGTACCGGCATCTTATGGAGAAGAACCTTTAATGACAAATATTTATAAGTGCGATTTGCAGCTTTCAAGTAACAATACTCGAATTCGCTAAATTTCCTGTCCAGCGATGTACACTTTATGTTTGTAAACTCAATAAGACGACTTTCCATCTTAGAAAAAAAAAATTAATTGGATTTTGATATTAAGAATTGTACTTACCAAATGCATTTTATATATCAAAAATATTATACCAACCAATGCAGAATACCGTAAATTCATTATAGCCTTCGACTGTTATTTAACAACAAATACGATCTGTGATTTAACTACGACTGAAAGGTAAATATGACGTAGCATTAAATTCACATTAGCTTAAAAATCAATACACAAAATTAAAATTGATATAAAATTAAGCGCAAGCATTATAAATCAGATAAAGATAATGTCCAAATAATGGCATAGCTAGTCAAAAGAAATCAATTATATTTGTTCACTCTAGCAAAGTGGAAGCAGAGTTTTGTAAAAATATCAATTGTTTCGTTCCATTTACTACTAAAACGATTAATTTATTCATGTTTAAAAATCCTTAGTTCCTACAAAAACACACATGTTACATTTTGCCTTAAGACTAGTTATTACAGCACTAAAACAATCAATTAGACGACGACCAGGTCGATCAGTTTGAATTCTACATCATTATCATCATCTTACTGCCTCCTATGTTTTTTGCTCGGTTTTTTGAATTGGGTTTGATTTAATAAGGTATTACGTTGATATGGATAGATTTGATATCTGCAGATCTTCAGAGTTGAGGCGCAGTATCTGCTGATCCTCTGAGTTGATGTGCACCAACTGCCCGCTATCGAAGCTAAGCAGGTTGCTGATCGTTGGACCATTATCCGCTTGGTTGCCAGCGGTGTTATTATTATTGTTATTGTTGTTATTATTATTATTGTTGGTATTGCCATTATTGGGATTGTTGTTGCTGGACGCATTATTGTCGTACTGATGCATGGGCGGGGCATGTTGTTGCTGTAGCTGTTGCTGCTGATGGAGCGTATGCTGATTGTGCTACAATTAAATATTAAATATTTAGTAAATAAAATAAATAAAATAAAATAATAAGTTCACTCACCAGATGATTTGTGGTCAGGTTCCACTGCAGATTGCTGCCGTTCCCAGGACCTCCGCCGGATGTGAGCAGGTTGTGCATGGTGAAGGGATTGTTGAGATTGCTGAGATTATTGCTGTTACCGTTGGCAGGTGTTGCTCCTGTCGCGGTTGCTGCTGCTGCTACTGTAACAGCTGTCGCGGAGAATTTGCTTTCCCAGTTGTTACCTCCGGGATTACCGAATGGATTGGCATGAAATTGCAAGGCCTGTTGCTGCTGCTGCTGATGTTGTTGCTGCTGTTGTTGATGTTGCTGTTGCTGGTGTTGCTGCTGTGCAACAACCTGCTGGGCAAACGGATTGTAGTTGTTGCCCATATCTGTTGCTGCTACATATTGCTGCTGTTGCTGCTGTGGGTGGTTGGGCGACATCAGTTGCTGCTGGCCGTTGGTAGGCGTGACCGAAGAGGCCATGTTGTAGGGCGAGGGCGTGCTGTTGTGGTTGTAGTTGCTCGAAGGCGACAACGGCTGGGGCGAGGGGGTAAGCTCAGGAGGCGCTCGATAAGCGAGTCCAAAGGGCTGTGGTGAGGTATCTAATAGAAATTGGTATAATATAGAAATATTAAACAATTTTAAATATATTAAAATTCGAAATAGAAACGTACCTCGTGGTTCCGTTTTGATGGGCGGTATACTTTGTGCATTCCAACAGTTCATGTTAGTTTGTCCTAAAAAAGCAAAAATCAATCGTAAATTGTTAAGCAAATAAAAAAAAATATATATTTGAACATGAACGAAAACAGCAAACAATAAACAACAAAACACCAGACAATACAAACGAGATTAGTATTAAAAATGGTTAATGAAGAATAATGGCCCAACAATAAAATTAAATTGAATCAAACTTGTAAGGAAAACATGCAAAAAACATTTCTATATAAAATAAAAAAATAGCAAACTTGAAAACCAAATGAACTATTTTAAATTCCAATAAAAACTTACTCAGAACTGTCAAAAACTTCTTCAAAGTATGCAATCATAGAGCAAAACTTACTTCAACCTAAAAACAGTTCCTTTTGAATTAAACAGCCTTTTCTTAAATTTTGTTTTTTTTTTAATTTAAACTTTTTTTTTCTGTTTTATTAAGCTACATTATTTTATATAAAATATTTTTACCAAACTTGTAATTTTCATTATATAAAAATATCAAATATTCTTCGCATGTAAACGAATAGAAAAGCGACAAAAATTGCTTATTGATTTCAAATCAATCTCTTTCATCCTTGACTATATAATTTCGACTATAGATGTAAATCAATATATAAATATATAGTAGGGACTTCCTTCCCTGTACATAGTTCACTTTTTCTCCTGGTGTTCATTGGTGAGTGTGTGTGCATTGAGTGAGTGCTTTCTAATAGTTGCTAAGAGTCTATTCGATTAATACATCATCAGAGCCGATGACTTGTTAAGTTAAGTCTTTGGTATACCGAAAGATATTATCAAATATATAAAAATATTTGACTAGGTAGGATTCACTTAGATGGCCAAAGGCATCTCAAAACAAATTATGTACCCAAGTGGAACCAAAACCATGGGACAAAATCGAATCAAAGCCGATAGAGACACACAATAGGAGGATAGGATAGAAAAGACCGACACCAGTTTATGGAAAATCTGAACAGTCAACTTACTGCCATCCTGGTGGTCATTCTGCAATTGCTGTTTCTGCTGCTGTTGGAGCAGCAGGTGCATGGGATCACCGCCAGTCTTCTGACGTTTCCGCCTCAAGTGCGCTGGATCTATAAGACAAAATATACACACCATGTTGTACATATAATCGGGTTTTTCGGTTTCAATTTAAACAATATATATATTCGATTCCATATTCTTGAAATCTTACTCTACTCTGAAAATTGAGTGATTTCGCTTAAATACAACAGTTAGGTTGGCCCCTTAAATGGGCCAAACCTGGACAATAACAAATCTGATTTGACCTCGGTTTGGGGTCAGTTGCCTGGTATCGCTTACAAAATATTCGGGGATACTTTTAGCACAATTAGCAAATATAAAACAAATACAATTTCTTGAAGGTTCTGAAGAGCTTTTCCCTTCAGATTCCCTTTGACAAGTGGACAATTTGTGGCGCCAGAGATAATGGAAATAGTTTTCGGGGAAATACAATTTCCTCTGGCTTGAAGCCAACTTGCTTCGTTTTTTTTTTTGGGTTTCGTTGGAGGATTTCCTTTGGTTCGTTTTTCCTATAAACAACAGTTCCAAGAAATTTAAAGACCATTTGCCGCCGCTAATCGCTTGGCCACCTCGTCAGGAGTTAAGATCTCTCCTGCATCCACGGGAGCATAGTAGGCGGAGGTCTCATCGAATTCACTGGCCGCCGCAAGTGGCGGAATACTCGTGTACAGGGCAAAGTGCTCGGCCTCAGTTAGATCCAGATTGGGATCCAGCTGGACATTGAAGTGCCCCTCGATGGAGCTAACCAAATTATGCAGACTCTGGCGATCGGCAATGGCCACCAGTTCCATTCCACCTTCGCTAATTGGTATGTCAGCCAGCTGTAAAGCAGATGCAGTGCGTCTATCCAATCCCGCTCCCACCGAAATTGTACTAGACTGGGAATAGCCTTCGTTTCTTTGCTGCTGGGGCAAACTGTTTGGCACTATCACCCTTCAGGGGTATGTGCACCACGTCGGCATTCAAGTAGGCGGGTCTCTTTCCAGAGACACTGCTCACACTCCTGCCCACAGGCTTGGTCAACTTTGATCCTGGTTTCTTGGCCTTTACAGGACTGGATTTTGCAGGTGGGGAACTAGAGATTAAAGGCGCTGCTGACTTGGAGGAGCGGAGGGATGCCCTCAACGGATCCTGCAGGCTAAAATGACCTATGCTGGGCTCCCGACTATTCGCTTTGGAATCTAACAGAGAGCTGTTCTCCTGTCCCTGGGCCAAATCTGGTTTGCTCTTTCGTCGGGAGAAGAGTTTTGAAAAGAATCCCTGGTTTCTTCTGCCTGGGCAGGGTATTAAAGTTCGGATTCTTTGGTGCTGGAGGAAGTTTCTTATTAAGAGGAGATTCAGCTGTGGATGGCCTGGCCTGAACGGTGTTGGCCTCGATGGAACGATTCTCCACATTGCTGTCCTGCTTTCGAATCCTTTTCGGTGGCAAGGGCGGCAGTTTCTCCTCCTCTGGTGGAAATGGTACCGTTATAATTGCAGGCGGCGCCGGAGGAACTGGACGGGGTGGAGTCTCTGGCTGTTTAGCCTGTGAGTTCACCTCTATGGGATCGTAATGCTGATGGGCATCTTCGGGAGCGCATTGTGACATGGGCGGTGTTGGGGGCATTATATCATCCAAGGGTATAAGAACGGGATTCTTGAAAGCAATTTGCAGGCTGGTGTAGGTGGCAGCATCATCGAAGCTATCTTCCACCTGCAGCGGGGCCCGCCCCTGAATTCCAGCCAACTCATTTTGGATGGTATTATTGTAGGTATCGCGCTGGACTTTGAAGTCCGTGTAAATCTCATCCAGTTCGGCCACTGTCTCAAGGAGTTCATCAAGGGTTTTGTCTGCCTTCGAAATCTCAATGGCCGAGTCCAAAGCATCTGCTTCCGCAGTGGGACTCGGGTCATGGTCTTGCTGTTCAATCTCACTAGACTTCATCCACTCGGTGATCTTGTCATTGGCCGTCAAGGGACGTGGCTCCAAGTGCTGACCCAGCTCAAGTTGCTCCAGTTCCCTCACTTTCTCATCAATAATGGTGTCAATCTCTTTTTCCTGCTCAGATCGCAAGCGATGAGCCTCGGCTTCTGCCTGTGCATCAGCCGCCTCCATATCCTCGGGAATATGATCCGAGGTGTGATCGGTCAAATGGTCTCGGATTTCATTCAAAGATTGCTGTACTGGCTGTTCCTGATGCACAGATTGATCCTGCTGCATCGGTTCCTCCAGCTGAAAAGATTGTTCCTGTTGCAGGGACGTTTCCTGTTCCTGCTGCAAATATTGCTCTGATTGATATTGTTTTTGTTGTAAGGATGGTTCCTGGTCAAAAGCTGACTCTTCTGGCTGAGATTCCTCTTGATTAAAGTCCACATTCAATGGTAATTTATGTTGCACCTCTAATTTCGGTGTATCCAAATCAATGACCTCAATAGTCGGCGCCTGCACTTCCCGCTTGGCGTCCAACCTGAGGATCTGCTGAAAGAGATCTTCGTCGGGCTTCCGCTTGAGGTGCCGATGAAGATTCCAGAACGTATGTTTACCTGAATCCATTGGCACGTACTCGAAGGGCAGGGCCTCACTGGTGACTCCGTCCGAGGGACGTCGCAGTTGGATGAAAACCTACATGGAAAATTGTATCCTTTTTAGAGCAGCTCTAAACTCTTACTAACTACTCCCTCACCTTGGCGGGCTCTGTGATTTCCAGGGTATGATAGCGCGGCGTCTTAAAGGTAATGGCAGTCTGTTTATGGACATCGGTATGCTGAAATTCACCAAAGGCCTCCCAAACGCTCTGGCCGTTCTTCTCCTCGAAGAAACGCACGGAGATGTCCTCCTTGGCCACCTTCTCACAGAGCAGGATTATTTGGGTATTACCAAGAACGGTGGCCGAACAGCTGCAAAGCCGACAAATGACCAGGTCGGACATGGCCTTCTTGTCGAAGATGGGCTCGGATATAACCGGTGGCAGGGGCGAAGTGAATCGACCCTTCTGCTCGCTCTCCATGAATACTTGAAAGCACAATCGCACCGAGTTCAAATCGATGCTCGAGGGCTGGAAACGATGCGAGAAGCCAGCTGAGGATAGGAAAAACGTAAAATTTAGTCAAAGTTAATTATATCAAGTAAATAAACTTACTCTTAAATGGATCCACACGGATCTCCTCTCGCGCCTTGAGCGCCGCCTCAATGTCCTTCTTCTTGACACACTGAATGCCCAGATTACTGAACACGGCTCTCATTGTCTCACTATTAATTTCCAGTGTACAGACGCCCTTCTTGCAACCCTCCTTGCCCACCAGATTGTGAGGATGGGGACTGATATAAAATTATATTTTATTAATTATTTATTCAAATTTATTATGTAATAAAATAAAGAATAGAGAAAAAAAATTTACTCACCGATACGGCATATCCTTGGTAACACAGGAGACGACAACCACGGCGCGGCCCTTGTATCCAACAATCTCGATTGTCGGATAGGTCTTGCTTTCCGGCGTGGAATTTACGCCCGGAATGGAACCCGCCGAGCGACCTTCGCATTCGTAGCGGAATCGTAGAGCCTTTCCCGCCGGCTGCTCAGTGATCTTGACATACGGTTTCTTTCGCACATTTTTGGTGGACTGTGGCAACTGCTGCTGCTGTGGCTGCTGCTGGCCGGGCAGTCCGTTGTAGTTGAGGCTTTGTTGGCCATCAGCCGCTGGACCCGGCCCAGAAGCGGCCAAGTTGTTCTGGTTGGGAAACATTACGTGGCCAAAATATTAACTGAAAGATAAGAGAGAAACCAAGTTGAGATAATTCTTAATAGAGATACATATTGTATGTTTAATTTACAATTTACAACAATTTAGTTTTCATTCCAAGTCCTAGTATATTTTCATACCAACAAAAACTTAATAATCATAAGGTTTTCTCTGTAATTCACTCTCAAGTTGAGATAATTCACTAAAATAGAATCTTTTGTTACATTTTTTGATTTTCCGCACCTTTTTCTGGTTTAAAGTTATGGCCAATGGCAAAAGAGAAACAATTCCTTGGCAAGCAAATCGAAGGCCCCCAGACAACGCCAGACGATGACGATATTGATCGAAAATAAATCCTCAGACTCGTGCAGTGATCCACTAAATGAGTAAGATTCTCCTGACCACCATATAACTATGACGAACCGAACAGTAAAACGTCTGGCGGAAAACTGAAAAGGTGGAAAACTCTCTCTCTCGCAGACCGATCGCAATCATAAAATTCAGCGTCTTATATCTGAGTGGGTGGGTTTTTGTATACGATGGACGGCATTAATTGCACTATTTAGGGGTCATTAGGAAAAATGTATATTTTCATAATACTGGTCAGAGAATCTAAGGCAGCTGGGTGCAGTGGATGCGTTTCTGTGCTGTTTTTCCTTTTGGCCGGGTCCGGCTCCGAGTCCGGCCCCGGTCTGGTCCGGTATAGTCCGGCTAAAGCTCCGGACGCGTTGTTTAAAAATAACATTTTGCGTAACGCGGCCACAAAGCGACAAAAACTCTGCCTCCCCATATATCAGGTGGTATATGTATATAGGTTGGACCAAATCCATATATATAGATCGCCTCGCAGACTGGCCTCCCCGGAGATGCGAGAGCTTTTTATTTTGGTTTTTTGTTTTTGGCCAATTTGGAGCAATCCAAACAAAACATTTTATCAATGATTTCAGCAAATTGTCAACGTGTTTCGTTCGCCGATCTTAGAAATACGTACTCAAGATATAAGATACAGACAAAGACTAAGTAGCTATATGACCTCAGAGTTTATTCTCTGATCATGTCTAGACATCGGTCTGCCGTGGGTAAAATACGTCAATGGCTGACAAAACTAATGCCCATACATTGGTCTGATCCCAACCGATCTGATCGGTGGGGGTAAAAAAAAACAGGGAAACTAGAGAAAACGTGTGCCAATTTTGTGTTTTATAAGACATGTAAATATCGGCAAGTTGAAGATATAGATAAATCTATAAAGTTGAATAAAGGCAGAATTATTTTCATAAACTATAATTATCTTAATAAGTAAGCAGTTTTCTTAGAACGCTGCCATGTCTCATAATTATCTTTAATTCAATACTCATTTGTTTTTTCATCATAAATATATATATTAATATTCAGTAAGACAAGAAAATGAAAAATATGACTGATAACTGCGATTCTTTTAATTAATATCAGACTGTAAAAGGGGTGAATGAACTTCGGGAAACGGGACAAAATTAATTTTAACTAAAGGTTTTATTTACATTTTACAGTAATAACATTATTGAAGGTCATTTTCTTAGAAAATCGTGATATTATTTTCCTAAACACTTGTTTTAGCTTATCAAAATATATATACAAAAGACATCTGTTTTTCTTCTATAGGAATTCGATTTCCCGATCAAAGTTTTCGCAGCTGCCAAATGCTTTTTGTGCGTCAACTAAAAATATTTCGATTATAAATCATGTCCAATGGGACAATGTTCAAAATTTAATATATAAATTCTAAGTTATAGAACAAAAAATCAATTGCGAAAGAAGTCCGATAACCTTAAAAGCAACCGAAATAAATAATAAATCAAAAGACATTCCCACGTGCTGTCATTCTATAATATCTTTAAAAGAAATTGTGATTTGAAGAACAATTGTTGGGACCAAAAACCGATCAGCATGCACAGAATATTGCGAATGAATTACGTCATAAAATAATTTGATTTTGGCAAGTATGAATAGCCAATTGGACAAAAGCCAACAAATGTAATATAAAGGCAACTTATTTACTACATATTTTACACATACGTATTTATCTTGACAGGGAATTGAACGATAAATCACCTTTCACTTATCACGGCCAAACTTTGGTGGAAAATGCTTCACCACACACAGATAGAATTCGAAGATTTTTTCGATATTAAAAAGGTTTTATTATTTAATCAATTATTATATTGACAAAAATATTTCAATATATTTTTAAATATACATATTTATATTTCCAGTTCAGTAATATGGTTTTTATTTTGCAATAATCACACACTTTTCTGTACTTTGTCGCTTTGGTCTTGAACCGAGTATCTATATATTTTGAATCTATAGGTATTATCGAGAGAAATATTTCTCTAGAGGACGGAACCGACAAAAGCACACTCGGAAAACGTCTTGAGTACTCGCCAAATGTCTGAACACTGAACCGAGCAAAATGTTTTTGAGAAAAAACATAGAATTCTTAATGCACGCCTGCCCAGCGAAAAGTTTTGTCGCTGAGCTTTCTGCTATTTTTATTTATCTTAATATTTTAAAAATGTATTCCGCTTAAATGTTTGGCTTGTAGGTACAATGTACATTTGCTTTTATATATTTGTATCTTGTCATGTATTTATTGCTGTTGCTTTCAAGGAATTTTCTCATTCTCCGAGGCAGTTGTCCCAATTTTTCACGAAAAATCGCAGATATACATATATATATATATATGTTTTTAATTTCCTTTATTCATAGCCGTGTATCATAACAATTGAAATGAAAACTTAATTTCCGATGTCAATAAACTTTTGCTGACGGTTGTGTAAACAAATAGAATTGATTGAGTTCGTACACGACTTTTATTGATTTATAAGCGATTAATTCTAATAAAAAAGGTTATTTTCTATTAGAATGTAATGAATTTTGAATAGAATAGAACTAGATTATTTGCTAAATAGGGATTACTTTTTTAAAAAGTTTTATGAATACTTTTATGCCTTAAAACTGTTAAAGTATTGTCAATCAAATTTAAAAGTAAACCTAAAACTAACGGAAAAATATTTAAACAGGAAAAGACTTTACATGTCAAACTCTTCAAAAATTAGTCACCTTTCAATTTCATTGAGGGAAAAAACCAAATCGCACAAAATGCGCCTAATCTAAGCAAAAGATGCAAAGGTATCTACAAATTATCATAAAATGCATCAACAGAGGATTGTTTGCTTTTGCAGTGAATCTAAACACATTATTCAAGTACATTTGTTTGTATCGAATATATAAAGTAGGCATATGGCTGTAGGCTTTGGGCTTTATTGGCATTTCCGTTTCAGAATACACAGCAAAAAAAGAAGAAAAAGTCGCCACTTGTCACCGTTCAATCTGCCTTGAGTCTTTGGCGCCAGTTCAGAAAGCTCTTAAATGAGTTTGCTCGAACCCAATTATACGATCTATGCTGAGGATATATACTTTTTGGCAAAATGAATGGGGGATGCATTCTTATATCCGTAGCAAAAGATTTTTAATAACAAAATATCTGGCCCATGAATTTCCACGAAATACAATGAGTCACAAAACAAATTTCTCGCTATTGCCAAAGCTGTTTATATAGATTGAAATATGTCAGGAATTTGCTCGAGTGCCACCCACTTTTGGCAGAAATCATTCACCAAACTGCGTGACTTTCCCCCTGGCAAAGAATAGGTCAGTTACCCTGAAAGATACAATCTCCTTATTTGAGGATATCAAAATATGGGAAATTCCCACAATTTCAATCGATTAACCAATTGAAAATGTCACTCAGAGGTAAAGTACAGAACCGAATTTAATTGCCATATAGGTACGGACACCATTTCCCATTATTTCTTCATCATCCGCAGGTTCACAGATATTATTACCATTTTCTGCCAACCAAATTGGCTACTGTTTATGCCCATCAGATAGAATTCGCAAAGCGGTAACATTCAGACTGATAATGCTCAGGTGGCTGGCGTATAAATATCGAAAACAATACACCCGATAAGCAGAAATAAGATTAGAAATATAAAAATAAAACTGAACGGCGGTAGACTGAGGATTTGTTAATAGTTTGTCTACCTGTTCTACAGGGTAATAATATTGGATATCATTTTTATGAATTAAGACTTACTTTAGATTTCCTCAAAAGGTCAATCAAGCTATACATATCTTAAAAACTAAACCAAATATTAATTTAATTATTTTGTAGCCTTTTAATTATCTCAAAAATAGTTATTCAAAACCATAAAATTGATTAATAAAAGAACGTTTGGCTATCTTTCAGTTATTACTTCTTTTGGCGAAAAATAAAAAGGTAAATAAACAAAATAAAATAAAAATATTTCGTTTCGATCATTTAATATGCTAATTTTATGCAATTTCCAATAGCTAAGACACACAGAAAAAGTTCTATTGGCGCCAGCATCACAAATTAAGATTAGGATCAACATCAAAGTAGCAGAAGCAGCCAAAAATTCCTCAGAGGAACGGGTTTCGCATAAAAAAACCTCCAGACAGACAGAATGTTTTTTAACGATCGTTGGCGTCAAGCAATTTACAGCTCAAATAAAAATAAATAACCGATATGCTGACAAATCGATGGAACTAGTTCCAAATAGTTATGAAATACAGGAAGATATTATAATTTTTTTTTTTTTATTATTTATGAAGGACCACTTTTAAAATCGCAAAAGCTTTTATTTTTTGCATGTACACAATGGATTATATTTTGAGGATTATTAGACACATGTGACTCCATCCTTCACATATCTTATCCATCAGTTCACTTATATCAGTCATGCTTCCATATCATATGGCTTAAATGATATCTCGTATAGAAACAGAATCCCTATTGATTGATGATTTGCATACAGGGCCTTACCCACAGCCAGATCGTATCAATCATGACTTGGATTTAGCATGCGGGGAAACTACCACTAGATATACGGAATATCATCTATTGACTTGGCCTTAGATCTCTGTTAGCACACAAAAATCTCCACTCGAGCTTTGTATATCGCCGATGACTTGCTGAAAAACTTGCGATTTTAGCGTTTTGTTTTCCTTTTGGCACGACACTCTCGATGATATGAGTCAGCAGCCGGTTTGCAGTTAACTTGGACTGCAGTTTTCGAAATTAAACCGTATTATCTAAAAGGCCTTTTTTCATAATTACCTGCGAATTAAACCAAGGACCAGTTAGCACACATGACTAACTTATTTCGTTTATTTCTTTTCGGCCACAAACACACAACACACACAATAACCGTTCTTTGTTGTTTGAAAATTGTATTTTTCAAAATTTTACTAGTTTCTAACACGAAAGAAACAAATAAATATATACCGAGCAGTAGAAATAGTTAAAAAATATAAATAAAATTAAAAGAATTTTAGCGCGAACACGACCGCAGGCGCATCGAGTCGATCTTAGAATGAAACAATTGAAAACCTCTCCGGCGTATTTGAGTGGCCGCAAAAAAAACTGGGAAAAAACAAATGCAAGTGGCAAAAGCTTTTCACCCACCACCACCCCCCATTGTCGCACCACCCCCTTTGCCGCCCACGTGCTCGTAAGAAACTTTCATTTATGGCGACGTCGAAAAAAGCCAATGCGACTGCGCTGCCATGTACACAGGTGTTTTGGTTATATTATTTAAGTTTATCGTTTGCATTCACCGTAGATTATTTAATACGCAGATGGATAATTGCCACCCAAAAAAGGAAGAAAACTTGCGATTACACTGTAAAAGTCAATGGATCCAAAAGTATAGGTTCCTTTCAAAGGTAAATTTATTATATTTATGATCAATAGAAAATCTTTCAAGGATAAGTCTAACTTGATTTGAAAACTAATACATGTTGTAATAAGGAAGTTGTCAATATAAGGTTATGTTTAAAGAATACGGAAAAACATGCAATGCGTCAAATGCTTATTAATAAAAGAAAAACCCAGATATTTATATTAGCAATTATCCTACAAAACAGCATAATTAAGATAGTTAAATGACCAGTTATAATGCTATGCTTTCTTGTCAAAGTGTAAAAGTGTGAATCATCGTTTAAAAATCTTAAATCTTCTTACAGCTAATTATGATAAAGTTTTGAATGACTCCAACTTCTGACTCTATAAAGCAAGTAATTGTTTCCTTTACTGACAAAAGTTAAATATTCTACCCTTTAAACTTTCCATTGCATATAACTGAAAATACAAAACACAGAGACCCTTCTCGAAGATCTGAGCCATTAGGATTTTCCATTGCATTTATTAAGCCCTTACTATCAAAGTTCACAATCAATAAATAAAAAAGTCTAGGCTCTATTGGGGACTCACCTAAATGAAGGAGTGAACTGAATATTTGCTATATGCATTGATCACTCGGCTTGCAAATAATAACAGGTGCCTGAAAATTAACACGAATCAATAAATACACTTTTTATTTTTTTACGTTTTTAATTTGTTTTGTATTATTTGGAAAATGGTGCCGTTATGTAAATTTGTTTAATGCAAAGCGAGCGAAATAAGTCATTTATTTATAGTGGAAAATATGGCTTTTTTAATGTTAATTTTCACACACACACACAGCAACGAACTATGAGAGAAACCGGTTTACTTATTATTTATATATGTGAATATATATTATATATATATATAAGTAATGTTTTCTTCTCTTTCTTTCGGATTCTTTTATATATATTTTTTTTTTTAATTTTTGCGCGCGCACAAAGCGGGTGCCATAATATCGATAATAACAACAAGAACAACGGATGGTAGAGAACAGAAACTAATGAAAAGTTAAGAAATCGAAGACCGACGAAAGAGAGAGTGGGCAGAGCGAGAAAAAAAGACAGGGGAAGAGAGAGAGAGAGAGAGCGAGAGTGACGTCGTATTCCTCTAGGGAATTCCGGGCTTTATGCTTATGCGATCATCGGTTAGCTTTTGTTTTTGTTATTCAATTTATAATTTAAGTAATTTGTTATCGCGCTCTGACTCTCTATTTTTACCTAATTTTCTTTCTTTATATTTTTTCGGTTTTTGGCTATTCTCGCAATGTCTCTGGTTGAATTGTCGATGTGCTGTGTGTAATCTAATCGGTAAAGCGTTCATTTTTAATCGAAATTATCAATACGTGCGCCATGTTATAAAGGTAAGTCTGTTTCTTTTTTTTATTTTTGTCACTCGCGATACAAAAAAGCAAGTGAAACTTGCTTAGCTCAATTGAATTTATGCGTTTTTATGCAGCTCTTTTACTTTTCGTTTTATTTTTATCTACTGGTAATTGTAACAACCTGCCTTCGAACTTTGGAAGAGCGAACGTGCCAAAGAGAGCGAGAGCTTAAAGCACGGCGAGAAAAAGGTAAATAATAATAAGATAAAACACGGAGTGAAGGTCTGCGATACAACCCACAACCGATCTCGACGCCCGCGTTTTAAAGACTAACCCATGTAACTTTGCCCGCCAAGAAGCAGAAGACCAGCTGCTAAACTTTCAATACCGTAGACGCCATTGAAAGTACCGCAAAAGTTTACGATCGTCGAGCTTTCGTTGGAGTTAAGTTGTCAAACGCAAGCTTTGCGAAGATTCAAGTTAAGCTCAGAAGAAGAGAAGAATTCAGAGAGTCAGCTTAGCGAAGAATTTGAGATCAGCTGAGCTGAGTCATGTACAATACAATCGTTCAATCAAAGTTTTCCACTAACTCTAGCTAACTGAGGTCTCCTGGTAATACAGTTTCTGCGAAGGCATCTTTAAGTGTAATTTAGTGATAAATTACATAAAGTTTGTGTTTAAAATGCATATGAATATATTTTTATATTAATCACACTTTATTTAAGATATTTTAGTTACTGTAACTACTAAGAAATTTGAACTTAAGTTAAATTAATTAAATTAAAATGTAGTTATACATTTAAGCTTCTTTTATTATATTTCTTAATTTCAATTTACATAATTTAGAAAAGTAATTATAGATTTTTAAACAAACTTCTTGGTAATAAACGTTCTAAGAAATAATTTATTTCCTTTTGCAATCAGAATTAAATTGAAACAGAATTGTCTTAAATTCTTAGTAAATATTATCAAAATTTTGAAGCTCAGTTCTACGAAAGACAAAAAATTAGCAAAAATAGTTTCCAAAATCTTTAAGGTTTTTGCTGCTTATTAAGCTTAAAAAATATATATTGCATACATAAATACGTCAAGTAAATAATTAAAATATAAAATAAAATCTTTGTTTTTGTAACAAAAAAACATTTTTTATTTAACATAAAAAATCCTGTGGCAAATTTGTATGTCCTGTGATTTTTATAACAGTTTAACCAATAATAAATAAATAATTTTGAATTATTAAGATAAATTTGTTAATATTATATAAACATTATTTTAATGATTTAGTTTTTCTTTTATACTCAACCGTATGTCAAAATCTCTAGTGTCTTCTTGATTTTTTTTTCAGTGAGCTTTAACAATGAGTCATATTTGTCGACGAACGAAAAAGCTTTTTCAGCTTTTATGAATGAATTCACGAGCCAGATACTATCTGCGTGTATATGGCTTTGACCCATCCATTTTTGAGCCCACCGCCATCTCCTTGGCCGGCCTGAATCAGCGTACGATTCCTGGAAAAAGGATATTATCCTGCGACGGCATTTGTTGTGGCATTAATTTTTCACTTCGACAGAGTCCCAATGCCGTGACTCAGCATTCCGGGGCAGCTTTCACTTTCCGGGCGGACGAACTTTGACATTCAAGATGGCAGTTTCCGTAGAATTTGATAATGATTCTGATTCACTGGAGCAAATGTTAACAATGTGGCATGCAAGGGAATTTGTGTTTGATAACTCAATGTGTCATTGAGGCTGGCCGGACTGATAAAGATTTTTATAGTTTGGGTTTTTACTTGTTGTATGAAGGTTAAATGTTAAATATGATTATTAGATGCTTAAAAAACTAGGCAGCAATAAAGCTTATCGATGTCGGTCATGAACTAGAAAATATTATTATAGTTAATAATAAATAATATTAAGAATTGGCTGTTTTTCGGAATTTTTTTAAATTAAAAATGTCACATAAATAAGAGCCAGTACCGGATGAGGAGTTTTGGGTTTTCTTAAGGTTCACAGTTTAATTATTTTAAAAGTTCTGTTCGATTTAAATTTAATACGAATTAAATACTTTTAATATAATTATTTCCTTTAAAAGCATATGACAATCAAATCTATAATCCAATCTTATAAATAATCTTATAAATTCAGGAAATGACTATTGATACTTGAATAACAAATTGCTGAAAATTTCCCACCATTATAGTATATAGTTATCGACGATCACATAAAAGCTGCACGAAAGTCATGCAAGGACCTGGTAAATGCCAAACTCTTACCCTCAGATTAAACATAAATTCACATGAGCTAAGCACAAATAATAGGAATTATGTCAAATTCTAGTATTGAAATACCACAACAATTGCCATCCGAAAAAAATGGAATGGGATTTGTGGGACTAAGTCAACTCACAATGTCTTGATAGCACGAACGAAAAACAACAAGCCAGGTTAATGGAGTCCAGACATCGATCAAACAGAGGTCTCACTCTCTAGAAAGCCAACAGCCAATTGCAGAGGGTTTTCCATGAAAATCACGCGATTATCGCCCAGTCCCGTGTGGTATTCTGATTTGAATGGAAATGGTGAAATCCTACCCCCTTATAAGCTGACACGTGCTGAGGCACTTGTTTTCATGTACCCTGGTGTATAGGACATTATTGATTATTCCGGTTGTTGGGCTTTCGCCTTAAACTCTTTGAACTTCCTGCGACACGTGTCCTTGACAGCGTTAGGGCAACTAAGCCAACAAAGTTGGAGCCCCGTTCAATGTGAAGGTGACTACTGGGCATATCGCGATTGAATATGCACTAGCATACTAGTATTTCAGCAAGGCTTAAGTCCCAGTAAGCTCCCTTTTTTGTATTGAGCTAACCACGCCTCTGCGTCAAGGACCTTGTACAACTTTTCGTAGTAAGAAAGTCTTAGATTTCAGTGAAAGTTAGTCAGTAACGACTTTCCACTACGGTTCCCAGGAAGTGATAAATACATTATTTCTAGTACAAAATTTTACAAAGCCAATTGACATAAATATTTTCCCAATTAAAAATATTGATAAGGAGCACTTCTTGTTATTATTATTGTTATTTTAAACGTAAAATAATTGTACAAGCAACGCATGTCAGCCTTATCTGAAATGAAGTTAAATACAATTTTGTAATAAGAAAATCATTATCAGTTAATGCAGTTCAAAAATTTCTTACTTTTAAATATTGAAAGTGATAGAGAAAATAGAAGGGTATTTTACAGTCGTTAATAGATTTCCTAACCAAAAACCTTGAGATCAAGGTGTGCGTGCAAATCGCCTGTTAACCCCCGATGACCTTGGCCAATTCCGGGTATTTATTGCAAAATAACCAAGAAAGGCGAAAGATTTAATTTTGATATACTACGGTGGCATTGATTTAAACTTCATGCTAGCCCAGACATTTTTTTACATTTCCAAAATACACAGTAGTCAGTTTTTAAGTTTTTTTTAAATTTAAGAGTTTTTTGTACACTTTAAGACATTTTTGGAAGAAATGGAGGGCCATGAAAAGGACCCATGCCAAATGAGAACCTTTCTAAACAGTGATCCTTCAGAGGATCAGCAACAGATGGTGCTGTCTAAACCGGAAATCTGGAAAAAGCAGAAGAGTGAGGCCAGTATGAGACTATTCACATCGATGATGCTACACACGTGGCGCCAACGGCGTAAGGAAGTTCGTGAACTCCAGGAAGTGGTGCAGAAACTTCAATATAGAGTTAGTTGTTCCGATGCCTATGAATTACATCTGTATAACTTTATATTTATATCCCATTTAATTTTAAAGTACATGAAGTCCAAGAATGAGTTGCACGTCTATGGCACATTGATGCGAGTGGAGCAAAAAAGGAACAGGGAACTGCAAATGCAGTTAAAAGAATCAACTATGAGTATCGGCCGAATTCGAACCTCATGCGAATCCCTTGCCTCTTCGGTCCGCAATCTCACAACCGAGAAAATTCAATTGCAAACGGACCTGGACCAACGCTCACAGGAGGTCAGTTTGGCTAATAGCCACTAGACAGAGCTATATTTATATGATATTTTTTATTTACAGTACAATCATCTCGAGGAGATGTCTGGCCAAACCAAAAAGTTACTTTTCACTGCCAACATGAAATATTCTAACCTGCAGAGACAACTGACTGCCGAGCAGCGTACCAGTCAACACCTGAAGCACCAAAATGACCAGCTGATAAAGGAAGTTTTCCTGGCGGAGAGCAAAAAGGCCAAGTACAACCAGGTCAGGGACTGGTATCACCGCCAACTAGCTCAAAAGGAAGAAAGAATTAGTGCCCTAAATGGAGATATCATAACCTTAGAGAAGAAACTGCAAACCATCAGCGAGTAAGACTTTTACTAAAATATAATACTTCAATATGATTATATTTACAAAATATATTTAGCGACAGATAACCACAGACGTACGATAACTCGTATACTCTATTAGTTGATGTAAAGAAACTACAAAATTTCAAATATTTATAAGCATTAAATCAATTCTGATAACCTTATATTTTTACTTTATATCGGCTATCAGTTTTATATACATTTTTTTATAGTTCATCACTGCAAGATGTAAGAAATTCCATTTTTATTTTTATTTTAAGAGTAATTTAGTAATTTAGCATTTATTCATATATTTACTAGAATTAAACAAAAAATAAATTATTGAAAACCAAAAACTGTTTGGCCATTAAAATGTTATTGACAAATAACATAAGGAATATTATGATTGTTAGTAGAGTAATGCCGAACTTCCATTCCTGTAATTGAACGGCAGCATATTCTCTTCAATCCAATAAGTAAACATACTGACATCTGTATAAGTTGCCGGTACGTCTTTCATTCCACACTCCACGCCCCAGTTAACAACTCCAGCCAGTTCGTACAAACCAGAATGGTTCCCTCCGATTGAGCAGAACAAGGCAGATCCGCCATCGCCGGTGCAGGCATCCTGACCCATCTCTCCTCCAGCGCAAATTAGACTTTCATGGAGGCTATAGTTAAAGCCCAATCGTGTTTTCCTTAACTGTTGTTGGCACAAGTTTCTATCCACCATAGGTACCTCAACTTTCTTCAGAATGCTAGAAAAACTTTGGTCGTGAAACTTTATCTTTCCCCATCCGGCAACCATGCATCGACGTCCACCAAAAGACTTTTGAGGCTTAGGCAAACAGATAGTTCTGATGTGATCTGACAGTTTTATCGGTGTTTTTAGGAAGAGGAGGGCCAAGTTGTTGGCACCTAAAGTAAAGTTAAATTCTTCATGGATAATGATCCTTTCCACATCGCGCTGTTCAGCGTTAAAGGGCTCCCTTTCGTTTTTCAAGTCCCAGTCGCCAGCTCTGATGAAAAGATTGGTTGTTAACTTGTCCACCATTCGGTGAGCAACAGTCAGGACAACGCCAGGGGCGATCAAGGATCCGCCGGCCAAGTATGAAGTTTTGTGGAATATAGCCACGGCCCAGGGGAACTGACCAGGCTTTGCGTTATCCTCGGTAATTCCTTGAACACGTACTAAGCCGTTCGGATTGCTCATACCGCATTGTGTATTGTCGGCTTCTCCATTGGGATAATTTGGCGATGTTTGACTACCATTGTAGACAGGTTTCGATGGATCCTTTCTTAAAGTCTCATTTGAATTTAAACGGTGGCCTTCCTGAACACTTTTTTGTTTTAGACTTTCACAACAGACTTTAGGGAAAACACACTGCTTTGACTGAAAAGTGAACACAGGTGCCTCTACTAAACATTGGTCTTTAGATACGCAAGAATATTTGCAGGCGCTTCCGGTATTCTCACTTGGCCGATTTTCACCCGAAACTCCACCTGCCCAGGGCGCACCATAGTTGTTGTTTGGTGTTTCATCCCATCTGGTGTTTTGGTTGTTATTTCCAATGGGGTGTCTGGCCGGGTCTATGTTTTTGGTATTTTCAGCTGGACGATTTCCGCCAGATACTCCGATTGCTGGAAGATTTGGATTGTCCACGAAGTTTCCCCCGTGTCCAGTTGGGTTTATTTTTCCAGATCCATTTGGCCTACGGGTTGATGGAATACCTCCATGGATGTTTTGATCATTTGGACTTAAGCGATTGTCTCCCGAAAAACTTTCTTGTGTCTTAATTAGTGCACAGCAAATTTTAGAGAAACCACACTGATTCGAGCGATAATTGAATAGGGGTGCCTTTTCTAAACATTGGTCTTTAGCAACACAAAAATGTTTACAGGCGTTGTCCCCATCAAAGTTGCTTCCGGTATTATCACTTGGCTGATTTACACCCGAAACTCCACCTGCCCAGGGCGAACCATAGTTGTTGTTGTTTGGTGTTTCATACCATTCGGTGTTCTGGTTGTTATTTCCAATGGGGTGTTTTCTTGCTGGGTCAAATATGTTTTCGGTATTTTCTGCTGGACGATTCCCGCCGAAAACTTCGGTTGCTGGAACATTTGAATTTCCAACGTGGTTTGCTGGCTTTATTTTTTTACACTTCTTGTCACCAGGAAAATGTTCTTTAGGTCCATTAGGTTGAACTGATGATACACCCGAAACTCCACCTGCCCAGGGCGAACCATAGTTGTTGTTGTTTGGTGTTTCATACCATTTGGTGTTCTGGTTGTTATTTCCAATGGGGTGTTTTCTTTGGGTCAAATATGTTTTCGGTATTTTCTGCTGGACGATTCCCGCCGGAAACTCCGGTTGCTGGAACATTTGAATTTCCAACGTGGTTTGCTGGCTTTACACTTGCACCAGGAAAATGTTCTTTAGGTCCATTAGGTTGAACTGATACTGGTCCATTTGGTTTAACTGACACGGGTCCATTTGGCCTTTGATTTATCGGGATACCATCATTGACGGTTAGACTAAAGGTTTTTTGTTCATCCGAGTTCTTCTTTAAAGTATTCTGCGGTTTATGCAAAACAAAATACTATTAATCTGTTATATATATAACCGATATGAATAAACTCACCTCCTGCATAAAAGCACAGCAGATTTCATTGCGTTGGCATGGGACTGAACGATAATCGAAATCGGGTGCCACTTGTAAACATTGATCTTTAGAAACACACTTATAGTTACAGGCATTAATCATTAGGACGGCGCCTAAGAGTAGAACTCCGTTTGCCCAGTATCGTCCCATGTTCGCTTGAGAAGTTGGAATGAGCAGCAGCCGAGAGTGTGACGCCTCTTTAAACCTCAGATCTGAAAGCTTTAGCCTTATCAATGAAATGGTTACATATGTATATTGTATATAAAACATCTATTTCAATATTTCCAAAGAACACATAATACACTAACATTATGACAGAAATGAATTGATAACGAAGTATATTATTTATATTTTATTTGTAAGGTTTTTTTTGTTGGGGAAATTTCTGTGATACCACTCTGGTATGCAGGAAAGCGCACTCAGCGAAAATATTTTTTAGGCGACATGGCACTCAAAAACATTTAACATTTAACTTTAACATTAGTTTTCAGATAGCACAAGATAGATAAAAATACAGCGACAGAAATGAATTGATAACGAAGTTTATTATTTTTATTTTATTTGTAAGGTTTTTTTGTTGGGGAAATTTCTCGGATACCACTCTGGAATGCAGGAAAGCACACTCAGCGAAAATATTTTTTAGGCGACGTGGCACTCAAAAATGGGTTTTAAAACAATTAGTTATTTGAATATCTATAAGGGAAAGAACACTTCAACATTACATTTGAGATATCACAAGATAGATAGAAATCTTAAAAAATGGTCTGATGGGATACAGTGGTATAACACAATATATACTTTGCAAACAGATTGAACCCTTCTTTAACTATAAAAGTCCAATCGTCAGTTTAATTTATTGCGGAACAAAAATTACAATTGGAATAACAATTTTGTTTGATTATTATTACTTTTACTTTTAAAGTGAGCACCGTCCATTATTGGTGTACTAAGCTTATATTGGTTTAATTTCCAAACTTGTACTCAAATGGCATAGAGTTTTTATCTATCCAATCTTTGAACATAGCCACATTGGTGTAGGTTCCAGGGAACATCCTATTCCCATTGTAAATCCCCCAGTTCACGATGCCAACCTGCTCGTAGGTATTCGGAATTCCGCCTTCAATGGAGCAGAACAAGGCAGATCCTCCATCACCTGGAGTGGTATCCGAACCAGGCTCACCTTCCGCGCAAATTAGGCTCCGAGGCAGCTGATATTGCCAGCCCAATTTAGTTGTTCTCAATTTTTCCTGACATATATTTCTCTCCACGATTGCTAACTCAGTTTTCCTTAGAATATTTGAATGTTTGCTAAACCTGGTCAAAGTACCCCAACCCGCAACAGTGCAGCGTCGTCCCTCGAACGACTTTTGTGGAGTTGCCAATCCAATTGTTCTTATGTACTCTTTTAATTCGAATGGCATTTTTAGGATAAGGAGCGCCAAGTTGCTGTCACCTGTCGAAAAATCAAAATCTTTATGCATCACGATGTCCTTAACATCCCGCACTTCATAATGATAGCGTTCAATTTCGGAGCTTAGATCCCATTCGCCAGCTCTAACCATAATTTCATCGGGGGTCTTATATCTTAAGGCGTAAGCTCCTGTCAAGACAACATTTGGGTAAATCAAGGATCCGCCGGCTAAGAATTCTCCTTGGCAAAACAGAGCCACTACCCAGGGATATTGACCAGGCTTCGATTGCCCATACCGGTCATTTTTCGTGCGATCTAACCCATCGGGGTTGCTCAAGCCCACTACTTGGCCAGGTTTGGTTGGGATAAATGGATTCGTATCCACCAATGGCCAATTAATTATAGTTTCGTCATATTTAGTTGAATCCTGCAAAGAAAAGTTAGTTATTAATCTGTTGGAAGACAAATTTAATCATAGACTTACTCCCGGATTACAATTGTTTCCATTGCTTAGTCCCGATGTGGTAGTCTACAAATAATTAAATTGAATTTACTTTTATTCTGTGTACATTTTTGTTTATACCTCCTTCACCTCATAACGATCTTCGCAGCAGACTTCAAAAGAAGAACAATATTCTGAAGACTCTGGTGATATTGTTTTACACTTTTCCGGTGAAACACAGTCAGTACAGGCATCTCCTAAAAGGACGCAGACCGAAAGAAAGACTGCGGTTGCCCAGAGCATGTTTGATCAGAATGAAAGATCTTTACTAACTAGCTGCCAGAGCACGCTCAGCTTCGGGCTTATCAGCTTATATACGAAATGTTTTTAAAAGTCTGGATGATTATACCCGTTACTCGTAGAGTAAAAGGGTATACTAGATTCGTTGAAAAGTATGTAACAGATAGAAGGAAGCTTTTGCGACCCTATAAAGTATATATATTCTTGATCAGGATCAATAGCGAAGTCGATTGAGCCATGTCCGTCCGTCCGTCCGTCCGTCCGTCCGTCCGTCCGTCCGTCCGTCCGTCCGTCCGTCCGTCCGTCCGTCCGTCCGTCCGTCCGTCCGTCCGTCCGTATGAACGCTGAGATCTCAGGAACTATAGCAGATACAAATCTGAGATTAAGCATGAAGATTCTTGAGGTCCCGGGATAGCGCAAGTTTGTTACAGCATCCTGCCACGCCCACTCTAACGCCCACAAATCAAAACTAAAATTGCTGAAATCTCAGGAACTATTGCAGTTAGAAAGTTTAAATTCAAAAGTATAATCTTTAAATGGCAGCGCATCTTATAGTGGTACTACTATCCGGCCACACCCTCCATACGCCCCAAGGCTCAAAAGACGGTTTTCGGTTTTCTAGAAAGCTGATATCTCGGTAACTATAAGAGATAGAAAGTTCGGATCAAGCATGTATGTTTCTATGATGCTCCCAATGAGAACTGTTTTTTCCGATCACGCCACGCCCACTCTAACGCCCACAAAACCCGAAAAACCAAAAATGCAAAAATCTCGAAAACTATAAAAGCTACACAATTTTGCTTAGGAACACGTATTTAAGAGATGCCTCTGCAACTTGCCACGAAGTTGCATCCGGCCACGCCCACTCTAACGCCCACAAACCGCGGAAAACTGTGGAGTCTATAATATTATTATGAATGCCTTCGTTTGACCTTGCGTAACTTATTTCTATTAATATCTATCGATTTACAAAAGATTTTTCAAATCGGAACATTATTTCGCTATTTATGAAGAAATTAAGGTTATAAGGCTCCACATGGGCAGTGACGTCACAATAAGGATACTCAACATACTCCCTCTGACAATAGGTGGCGCCTTGTGAATTTCCACTAGCAAAATAATATTTTAAAATTTTGTAAAACAGTAACGGGTATCTTATAGTCGCGGCACTCGACTATAGCGTTTCCTCTTGTTTTTTGTTGGGGTCAACGAATTTTTCTATTTATATTTTGTAAAAGCAAGCTTGTTTGGTTGTGAGAGAGGTAATATGTGTTTTGAGGGTTCGCCATTTTTTATATGAATTGAAATTTGCTTAAAGAATGATGAGAAATTTGCTCACTGCGAAAAAAGTGGACATTATTTTTAAACACAATTCGCAATTGTTTTTTTATTCCGGAACCATAAACATTTTTTTTTTACTTAACAAATTAAGCTTAGTATACAATGGTAAACTTAAAATTAGTTTAGGGAGCACTGGCTGTTGTGACCTTCGACGCTTTTTTTATGTTGAATAGTCTTTTCTCCAGCTTAAATTTAACCTTGACAACAAACTAAATATAAGCTCTTATCTATTTCAAACATAGGCAAACCGATGAGATGGAACAATTGCGGGAGAGCGCCAAACGTATGTCGGCTGAAATCACGGAATTGCGCGGAGCGTCTCGAGCAAGTAGCCGGCTGAGCTTCAGCCGTATCCAAAGCCATTGGATTGCCTCTTTTCAAGAAAGCCAAATGTGGATGAGGTTACGACGGTATTCGTCTACCGTAATGTATATGTTCTGTTTGTACCTGCTGCCCGGAATACCTTTGACCCCTCGCCGCCAGAAATAGTTTTACGAAAGTGAACAAAATTTAATTAGCATTATATAAATATATAAATATATATATAATATATATGTTACATATTCATTTCAATATTTTACGTTTTGTATAACATTAAGTAGCCAAAACAACATAACATTATCTGGATTTTATCAATTTGTATCAAATGTATTTACGAAATTTTAAAGCAAGCCAAAGGTATGCTGCCAAATCCAATCCCTATATATTGCCAAATCTGTATAGATAGCTGGGATATTCTCTCGTCCACATTCGATGCCCCAATTAACTATGCCAGCCTGTTCGTAGATATCCGAGTCCTTCCCTCCGATTGAGCAGAATAGGGCAGATCCGCCATCGCCGATACAGGCATCCTGGTTAGGTTCACCTCCGGCGCAAATTATCTTCTCAGGAAGCTGATAGTCAAAGCCCATACTGGTTTTCCTCAACTGTTGCTGACACATATTTCTGTCCACCATGGGTACCTCAACTTTCTTCAAAATGCTAGAAAAACTTTGATCTTGAAACTTTATCTTTCCCCATCCGGCAACCATGCATCGACGTCCACCGAAAGACTTTTGAGGGTCAGGCAAACAGATAGTTCTGATGGGATCTGACAATTTTATCGGTGTTTGCAGGAAGAGAAGGGCCAAGTTGTTGGCACCTAACGAAAAGTTAAATCCTTCATGGATCGTGATCCTTTCCACATCGCGCTGCTCAGCGTTAAATGGCTCCCTGACGTTGTTTAAGTCCCAGTCGCCAGCTCTGATGAAAAGATTGGTCGTTAACTTGTCCACCATTCGGTGAGCAACAGTCAGGACAACGCCAGGGGCGATCAAGGATCCGCCGGCCAAGTATGAAGTTTTGTGGAATATAGCCACGGCCCAGGGGAACTGACCAGGCTTTGCGTTATCCTCGGTAATTCCTTGAACACGTACTAAGCCGTTCGGATTGCTCATACCGCATTGTGTATTGTTGGCCTCTCCATTGGGATAATTTGGCGATGTTTGACTACCATTGTAGACAGGTTTCGATGGATCCTTTCTTAAAGTCTCATTTGAATTTAAATGGTTGCCTTCCTGAACACTTTTTTGTTTTAGACTTTCACAACAGACTTTAGGGAAATCACACGGCATTAAGCGATAATCGAATAGGGGTGCCTGTTGTAAACATTGGTTTTCAGCAACACAAGAGTATCTACAGGCTTCCCCCATAAGAATGCAGCTAAAAAGAACAGTTGGAATTGTCCAGAGTAGTCCCATGTTTACTTGGGAAGATGAAGATTGACTGACGGCGACAGAGCGATGTGTTCTGTTATATGTATATTGCTCCAAACTCAATCTTATTACTGTTCACACAAGTAAGCTTTATACTATAAAGTTTATAGTATTTATAATATTTTCGCAGAACAAGTAAATATATACATAAACAAGAATATAAGCTTTTTACTGATATAGAACTATATATACTTAAGAAAAATGTATGAATCAGGGATAATTAGTATAAGAAATAGGTTGAAAATAATTTATCATTTGGTTTAAAACAAGAAATATTAAAGCAAACATTTTTATATAATTTGCAAATATAATAAATCTAAACAATTCATTTTGAAATCAGTATTAATATATAAGAGGAAAATAATAAAAATCTTTTTTATGTAACTACCTCCCTTAATAAAATTACAAATTAGGCTGCAAATATGAGATTTGCTAATTTGTTTATTTTCACATAATTTGCAATAAGTATTTTGTATAATTTATATTTAATTCTGGGTTATCCCTTGCACACTCGGTTGCATTTCTTTTTCATATGTCCACAGATACCACTTGCAAATTTATTGCATTTTGCCGGCAATTTATCATAAAACTTACATTAAATATCCTTCAAATCTTAAACTCAATTGCTTTACTCTTACATTCTTTTGTTTGTTTTTATTTGGGAAATAGAAAACTATTTGCTTTTTGTTTTGCTTCCATTTTATTCTGTTTGGTTATCAATAATCTCTAATTGAAGTATTCTAGTCTCGAGTTATTTTATGATTTATGTACTCATATGTAGTATGCATATTTGCTATCAATATTTTGGCTTGTTGGATCGATGTATGAGTTGGATGTAATCTTGGACTTTTGCTTGGACACGAAACTTAAAGTGAATTGTTTAATTCGTTCGTTATTGGTTCATTGAGTTGCGTAAATAGACTTTGTATTATTTTTGTTCGTTCGCAAAAAGGGACGGTAAAAATTACAATAAAATCATTTTGAAATATGTATGCAATTGGTTTTTTCTTCGCTTGTTTAACATTCGAAATATCTACTAACTTCAAATGTGTTTATAAATATATTTACAATTAATTTGAGTGCTTCTCCTTGCTGTTCTGGCATATTTCATAATTTCTATAGGCAACTCCAACGAGTTAATATGTGAATGCATGAATGGACGTTGTGTGTATCAGCATGTGTGTCTCTGTGTTTTTTTTTTTTTTTTTTTTTAAATATAAATTCAATTTAATGGCTCGGTAATTTAGACAATATACGATCTTGTATATATAAATTTCATGTAGAATATCAACCTCTTCCGATTGACAACGAAAACATCAAGAACCCAAAAAGAAGCAACCAGGTTTTAGAGTTTCTGTTCTTTAAAAGGTTCCAAGTTGGAGTTATTTTAATACTACTACAGAAAGTGCTCTGGCTGTTGTCACTACTTTCGTGTTCAATTAACTACGATAATAATATCTATTTAAACTTTAACGCTTTGTCTTGCTATTTGTATGTTGGTTAAGCTGCTGGTAATCACCATAGTGTTTAATTTTTTATTTAAATAATAAGATGATTCAAGGCTGTTTGTTTGACCTAGGCAAAACAAAATGGTTTTAATGCTAACGAGATAAGAAAGCTTTCAAAGCCATTTTAAGGGAATTCCCGTTCAATTTATTTTAATGATAACCACTTCCTCTCACTGGGAATATTTTTTGACTCATTTAAAAGGGTCTTTGTTCTTCATTATTTAAAAAATTAACGGAATTCCACATTTTAATCATAAGAAATAAAAAGTAGTAAAAATGTTCACTTCATTAATATTTTTTGTGTTGCAATTTATTAATTATATTAAATAATAATGCACAAATCATAAGTTATGTCTGAATTAATGCTAAAAAAAACACAAAAACTTAGTTTTCTTTCTCCTTTGCAAATTATAATTCATTTCCTATAATTTCTTCATTTCGAGGCGGGAAAATGCCGCTCAATAAATACAAAAGTCATCATCGTTTAGAAAATCGTCTTTAAGACGTAGCCTTTTGCTACTCTAAGTTCAATAGCTGCAGGACCATCGGTAATATACATTTCGGCCACATATCTGGCCACTTGATCTTTACGTACATTTAGGGGCCACTTTGCCTAAACTGGGCCATGAAAAAATACTCTCGGTTATCGGGCTGGCCAATTAATACATGGTTCATTTGCCAATATCAATATCTTTTGTTCAACATCAACTTATTTATCATCGTTTTGTTTATCAATTTCTTTTCGCTTGCGCACAGCGTTGTTAACAAAAATTAAATAATCAACGCGAAAGATAACAAAACTCAAATCGAACAAAATTTAGACGCCTTTAAAGATAGTTACGTCATATGTATATAGAAAAATACATTTCGTTACGTTATTAATTAATCTTTTTCCTTAATGTTTGTTTTTAATTAAATTAATTGGACGTTTAAGTAACTAACCGTTAATAACCGTTTGCTGCTTCCTTGTCTAACACAAAACTTTCATCTAACTAAACTTTCAATAAATACAAATACAATACAAACATAGTTATAGTAGTTGGATAGAGCATGGATATAGCTTCGTTCTCAAAAACGCTTGCAGTATATCTTGTGATTGTGGGAATATCTTTCCGCAGGAACTCCAACGAATTTACAACTTAAGCAAAGTATAAACCAAAGCTAGAAGTTTACGCTGCACGCTGATCTTATGTTAGAATGGGTTGGCGTTGCTGCTCGCTGGATTCCTGCTCGATGGCCTCGTGCTGAATGAGGACTTGCCGCTAGTGCCACGCTGGGCGGGCATCGGGCGACGGACGTGTCGCATTTCGCTGTCGGGAGTGAATATAAAATATTTGTTAGTTGGAAATACACATTTAATCGAATCATATTAATTTATTGATCAGCGCTCAGCGGTTTCTTATGAGGTTAGGCGGATTCCAGCAGCAGGTTAGCAGGCAGGCGAGCATGCAACAAATCGTATGTCACTTCACTTGCAAGGGCTTACCAATTGCTGGATTCTCAAAGGGATTTCAGGGACAAGGCAAGGATAGGTGGAACCCTAATCGTAAGAGGGATGAATGTATGTTTGTTTGTGGCTGGGGATGGTAATGCAGCTGACTTTCAACGACCCAAGTGCACCCACCGATCCATTTCCATCTCTTCGAGTCTCTGGGTTAGTGCCAGCTTCTGCTGGACGGCCAAGCGCAGCAGCTGGTTTAGAGTCTTCTTCTCCTCCTCGGCTGCCTCCAGCTGGCGGTTGAGATCATCCACCTGGGTCACATACTCCTCGCAGCGAGCGGCAAACATAGCACGCAGGCCTAACAATTAAAAAATAAGTTTTTAGAATCTTTCTTGTAGATCTGCAAAGCTCATCTTGTTGAGATATTTACTGGAGAAAGTGGCTGCATCCTCCTTAAGAAGCCTGAGCTCATTACGCAGCTTGGACATGGTATCGCTGACAATGATTTTCTCGTTCTCGTATTTGGATTTGAGATTGGTAAGGGCCACTTCGGCGGTTTGTTTGTTTGACTTAAGAACGTTGCGCAGAGTTCCGATCTGTTCGCGCTTTACGGACAGCAGGCTCTTTAACTTGACTATCTGCTCCTGCAGTTCCTCCATCTCCTCAGTGTTGACCTTCTCTAGTGCTGAAACTAATCATGGTTAATATTGGTTACCACTGCCTTATGACACTAACTTACCATCGCCACCTTCGGAGCGCACTTTGTGTTTGTTAAGATCGATTGTATGCTCTACAGCTGTTTTCAGATACTTGATCTGATCGCTGACTGTATCGACGTATTTCTTGATCTCCACGGAATCCGCTAAACCTTGCAGATCCTCGACGATCTGGGGTTTGGCAATAAAGACATCCGATTTGAATTGTGACTGGATGGCGGTCAGGGAATCGTTTTCGAAACTATAATGGTTAAACAAGAAATTTAATATTCAATTAGTGAGTAACAAGAAAAAGGATCACTTACCTCATATCATCGCTCTTGTGATCCAGTAGGACACGCGTTGGAGTTTCTCCGTTGACAGTGCAAACAAGGTGATACAGCTGGGCTAGATCGTCGCTCAAAGCCACCAAAGTACTGCGGGCTGAGCCCAAACTTTGTCCAGCGTTCTGCGAGATATGTGTGAGGGTTTGCACGTCGCTCTGCAAATCCAGCGACTTCTGCTCCGTGGCCAGGAGTTTGTTCTTCAGATTGGTCACCTCGTTGCGCAGCGTAGTTGTGGCGTCTGTGTAGTTGAGTCCCTTTTGCAACTCGGCTATATCAGTCTTAAGGCCATCAATCTCCTTGGCGGAGAGGGTGAACCAGTTGGCATACTGCGAGATCAAAGATCGCAACTGCTGCTCTAGCTCATCCTTCTTCTGGCCATTATCCTTGCCGTGCTCTTTCACGTCGATCTGCTTCTTTAGCTGAACTAAAGCATCTACATGAGCAGCAAGGAGAGCAAGCCGTGACATGAAGTTTTGCAGTTCGTTTTGTGACTTGTCCAAGCTCGTCTGTGCCTCCCGTAAATTGGCCGTCAGATGCGTCTTCTCACTCTCCATGCTCTCCAACTGTTTCTCCAGTTTCTTTAATTCGTTTAAATGAATCTCCGAGAAGAGATCGCACTTGGTGCCATCTGGGGATTTTAGTTCGGTGCTCAGGTCAGCCTCTAAGCGCTTCAGGGCCAGATTCTCTTCCTCACCGTCCGAGTTGTTGCTGGCATTGTCCTCCATGTTGCTACGTATACTGTAAGCCAGGTTGCTGATGTGGTACATAGACTCGCGGTTTAAGTGACCATCAAGCTCCTTCTTCAACGCATACTTCGCCTCGCGTTCACCCTGTCAGAAAAATTAATTTAGATGAATTTAATTACTAAGATTAACATATTTACCTGCAGGGCCTCAAGCGCCTCCTCCATTTGCTTCTCAGCAATCTTCTTGAGATTCGCCAGCTCATCAACCTGTTGATTCAAAATCTCAACTTCTTCGGTGAGACGACGGATCTCGTGTTTGGCACCTTCAAATTCCACCTGCAAAATTATAACAAAATGTTTAGAAAAAAAGGCATTTTTGAGAAACCATTTTTTAAACTGACCTGCGAGCTGCGTAGGTTTGAGACCTGCTTCTGCAGCGATATGTTCTCTTCCTCCAGCTCCGAGTACTCGCTGAGCATTCGCGTTTCGCGAAACTTTAGATCCTTTAGCTCGGACTTGAGGCGCAGGCGGTCCGCCTCGTTGTCGCTCTTGTCCCGTCCGAAATCCGAGTTTTCCTGCAACATCCTGTCGCGCTCGTTGCGAACCCTTTCCAACTCATGGCGTAACTGTTTGAGCTCGTTTTCCAGATCAAAGATCTGGAGATTGAGCGATGTCTCCCTAGCAGCCGATTCATTCAGAAGGGCATCTTCCTGCTCGATGCCCGTTTTGTTGGTCACTTTCTGTGAGGTTTGGAATTTCGTCAGCGCCTGAAAAAATCGAGAGAGGGAGAGAAAGAAAGGACGTACATGAATAAGTGTGCGGAAAGCAAAGTAATCATAAAAGTTTCCTGCCTGCCCACCAAATACCGACAATTTTATTGCATTCATTTGCATGTCCCACCACCCAAGGGAGCGTACTTGGGGGCGTTGGCCACTCGGGAGCTGTTTGCTGTCCGCCCTGCTGATTACACCCACTGCATTTTACTCGGTTTTATTTTTTATGAAATTCTTTATCAGAGATGCTCTACGAAAGAGTATAATATTTTTCCTTTCACTTTTGTACAATTAAGTCTAGGGTATATTCTTCTCCCTAGTTCCTACACTATTTAAATATCTTCCTCAAATACTTACATATTTCTTTGTATTTTTATAATACTTTTTAAAAATCAGAACAGAGTGTTTTTTAGTCTTTTTCGACTAGCAACTTAGTTTCATGGTTTCTCCGTTCAGAGGCCCCTTTGGCCAAGATGCACCAATGGGAATTAAAGATGCGTTGGTCTGCAATTATTGGATTTTGTTAATTGCGACTGTCTCTCTGTTGGTCGTGTTAAAACCGCCCAAGAGCACGTAAAGGTTAGCGACGGCCAGGACACACCCAGGATTAAAAGCCACCAGCTACCAGAGGTAAACACGAATACCGAATGTTTATGGGACCGGACCAAGCCCTTAACTGGGCGCTAGAGACCCTATGTCCATATGGACAGTCAGTTGGAGTGGATGGTAAGTATGGGAGAAGGTTTAATATGAGGGGTATATAATCCTGTGGCGGCTTTAATTGAAATCTCAACCCCGTAACGATGGCGCTCGTCTGGCATTTTTTGAATGGGGCCATTTGGAGTACGTGCTTCACAAGTTCCACCAACATCATCATCATCATCATCGTCGTCGTCCTCGTCATCAAAACTGTTTGCCCAAAAAAAAAATCTCAAGTAGTAAAATGGAATGACCACGATTCTGGGATTTGGCCAAACGGAAACTGCATTAAGTTCTGTGAGAAACTTTCCTTTGGCGCGTTTCCCTTAAATGCCGTGTAATTAGCAGGCAGCAAACAAATGAGTCTCAGATTCTTTGCCGCATCCTTAACCCCTTGATAAGCTTTCACAGCTCTAGTGTTCCTTGCCCTTTTCCCCCTTCCTTAGCCGTCACTCTTTTCATTCCTAGCTTTTTCCATCCATATAATTATAGTTGGGCGACGTCAGCCGCCGTTCTTGTTGTTTTTGCAATCTCAATTTGACAATCACACACCCACAAAGTAAACCCAAAAAGAACCCCCACCATCCAGCCCACTTTAAGCCAAGTGCATTTCGTTAATTAGTGTAATCCAAAGCAGAAGAAGAAGAGCTAGGAGGTGAAGGGGTGTACTAAAAGAGAAAGCAAACAAAAGGCCAAGGCGGGTCCAAAGTCTCGGATGGAATTTCAGCTGCCTAATGCTGTCACACATTCATGCAACTAAATTGCAAGGCGCCTCTTAAATTAGAAAGAGACAAGCACAAAGGGCTGAGAGAGAAAGAGGAGAGGTAGACGGGCGGAAGAGGAAAAATCAGTGTGAGATAATCTTAAAACAAAGGTTCTACAATGGGGGCAGCTTATAAAAGCATTCCAAATCTGTTATCGTAGCTATTCTGTTATAATCAGATTTTAATTAAATTAAACCGATTTTTTGTGAAGTGATTTCTCATGTTATGGGGACATCAATTTTACAAAGCTAACCTATATTACTTAATTTTGAACACCAATAAATAACATAAATATTTCTTAAGAAAAGAAATCAACCTAAGTTTCATATTTATAACTAACAAAAAAAATTAACTGAAACTATATTTTTCTCTCAGTACCATAGTTTGCTCAGTGACGCCATCTATGGGGCAACAGGCCGAAAACAAATGACGGCATAAACTTTATGCAAATTAGAAAAGATTTTTAATTAACTTGGGTAAATATTAACACAGTTAACAGAGGCCAGACAAGAGCAGAGCAACCACAGTACACTTGGCTTAGGCCAGACACCGGGTCTATCTCCCTCTCAAACCACTCACTTTGTATCTGGTGGATTGCTTGAGGGAGAGTGGGAGGTAAAGTTCCCTTCTAAATGGCCTAAACAGAATGGGTGATAAAGGAGAGGTGCTCAAGTACACTCAGATAAAATATTAGATGTTTTAGGTATTTGTAAAATCATTGAAGATATTTTATAAAACAAAATGTTAAAAATTTTAAACACATGTTGAACGTTCTGGGTTAATAATTCAAATTTGTAAAATTAAATAAAATCAACAATTAGCACAGACTATGTTTAGTCTTTCATCCCAGTGTCCAGTCAAATATGGGTGGACTCCTAGCACAGCAACGGCAGCTGTTGCCATCAGTTCTCCGGATGACTGCAATGAAACTCCTCCTGGTCGGGGCCACTAAAAATAGAGCAGATTGCCCACATTATGACGCCGATGAGCAGAATTTTGGAGCGCACTTTGTGTTTGTGAGAGTGACCACTAAGGTGGCAAAACCACAGAATATACAACAACAACAACTACTACGATAACAACAACAACAAGGAGCGACTATAACAATTTCCTTCTCCTGGTCACAAAAGTGGGTGGCCAAGTGGGTGGTTTGGTCTGGGTTCCCGCTGGTTACTCCCCAATGCTGATAAAGTATGCCATGAATGACTGAACAGATTGTACCGACCGAGTGCGAGGGCGAAGGCAAAGGCGACACCACGCCCAGTTCGTTAACTGGCAGCGTCACTCTCATGGAACGCAGGCAAATTTAAATGTGAAACAGCCTGCAAATGCAATAATAACCAGATGCACTGGAAAAAATTGTATAGAACTAAGATTTGTATATTCTTTTATGGAATTCTTGAATCGTTTCGAAAAATATATATATACAAAATTTAACTTAGCATAAGAATACCATTTTTAAGATTTCAAACTTCTAAATTCGGATATTTTAAATACCTGAAGAATAATATCAATTTTTTAAGTGTACCCCCTTCGTAGGCTGTGCACAATTCTTAACCAAAACGCACATACGAACAATGAGAGCCAAAAAGAGAAAATAGGAAATGGAAAATGTGAGAACGGCACATTTGTGGCCATCATGTCAATGCACGAGCTTGACACTCGCTCTGAATTTGAAATGTCGCCTAAAACGACAAAAGAAAAAACGGCGACCAGAAAAGCGACTAAAACTGCAGGCGGAAAACTGAGGGAAAACCTGTGTGCGTGCAAATGTTGACGCTGCGGAAATTTTTACCATGGAAGCATGGACACAAAGGGACTCAAATTACGCTCTTAACGCAATGGGAATCCACCGAATGTGCCGGCTGCACGGTCAAAATACAAAAAAAAAATAAAGGAATACTCTTTGTATTTTGTACTAAAAGGATACGACAAAAATCTAGTTAAAAATAACCGCACCCACGAGTGTCCTAACAATGAGAATGAATTTTAAAAGGTGGGTTTAATACAGCATCTTAGGGATATTTCTTTAAACTATTTCATCTGCACAAAATCTTTTTAAATAAAAAAAGTTATTTAGTTAAATATAACATTCATTTCTCTACGATATTCCAAAATAATATTTAATATTTTCCTCATATTTGATGGAAAAGAAATAATCCACATTCAGTAATATCTCTCTGAAGTTTTTCGATAAAAAAAATAAACAAGCTTCATAATAACGCTCAAGAGCATCGTCAGGAAATGCGAAATGGACGCAGCGGGCCATGAGAAATCCTTGAAAGCGCGGAACTATAAACAGAAATAATAACCATTTGCTCCTGCTGCGAATGTCCGTGGATGTGTTGCATAATGCATCGTTCACATATACGTATCCTGGGCAAATATCTCAAGCGCATTTAACAGCCAATAGTCATGTAGCGTTTTCCAGGACGTGTTGATGGTGGGGGTTCATCCTTTTGCAAGCTCATTGCATCTGGCTGTGTTCCAAATTCTCCAGAGAGACTTTGGCTGAGGCTGGGGCCAAAAAGTTTACGCAAATAAATTGCACCGTCATTATGCAGGACGGCAGAGTTTTCTCCTCCTCTCCGCTGGAAAACTGCAATTGTCACAACAGCTTCTGCCCTTGTGTATCCTTGCCCAGATTTCTGTCTCCCATCATTGTCATACAAAAAATACAAGTCTGTGTGCATTTACATTTTCATTGCTGGCAATTCATTGGGGAAAATCCGGGGAGGAGGAATATAGCGGAAAAGCGGGCGGAGATGGCTTCAGTTGGCGGGAAATACAACACTTTTTTTCCTACTCATTTCCTTTTCAGTCAGGCCAGACAGCGACGGAAACATGTTTTGTCAGTGCTCAAGCGCTGCATTTAACCCTTGCCAACAGCCCGAGTGCCGAGCCGGCACTCTTAACCCACCCAATGGCCCCACTTCACCCATTGTGGCTGTTGCAGTTGCTCCTGTCCTGTTCCTCCTGCTCCTGCTGCCACTTTGATTGCCATAGAATTGCAATTTGCGCCAAAAGAACAGAACATCAGTGTCAAATCATTATAATTTTTTTCCCTTCAACCTTCTCCTGATGCATCCTTTGGCTGCGGCTTTGATGTTGCTGCTGTTGTTATTCTAATTGCAATTGTCTGGCTCGGATTTGGATTTGGAAAGGTTAAACATTTGGCAGTATTAAATGGCCCATAAATAAAGGAAACATTTAGGCCAAGTATTGGGGCATTTAGATTATTGCTTTGATTATCTTAAATTATATAAGAATTAGTTTTGGCAATTTATAGTCAATATTACCAATAGCGGAGTCACTAAATTGAGCTAACACATATTTGTATTTAAGATTTACAGTTTCTAACAACAACTATACGTTTTTCTCTTTAGATGTCGTTAGTGAAATTTATTTCTTATTTAATTATAAACTCTGTTATCCAGAACCTTTTTCCGCAAACAAAAAGCCATGACATATAATGTCATTAATTATTAAATTTGTGTTAAAAACTTTTTGGGGCGGAAAGTAGCAAAGTCAGGCAGCCGCAGAATACCAAACTACGCAGGACATGGGAATGTGACCACCGGACGACGGGATGTCCTTGGTGGTGGCAATGCCGCGATGGCAGCCATGATATATGGCCACCACCCGCACCAAAAACCGATTCACATGTTGGGGACAATACAGGACGTACATGTGTTGTTCCACTGCGTCCATCGTTCGTTTTATGGCCCTTGTTTCGGGGCCTTTTAATTGCCGCAGTTACAATCGTCGAAACAACAACGTGTTTTCCTGCCCCTGCCTTGCCACCCATTGTTGCACTAACTCTGATTCCAGCTAACTGAATAAATTGCCAAATGCGGCTGACAGTTTCGAACGCCTGACGTCCCGAAAACTGGGTAAATATTTGTTTTGCGGTCCTGCAGTTGCCAATTTGCAGTCACAGTGACAGAACCAAAATTAGCACACTTTGAATGGGATTTAATGAAAGTTAGTAGACTTATTTTTAATTGAATAAAAGTTTTCAATCCAATAATTGAATCAAAAACTTAAAGAACTAAGTGCTTCAATGTGTTTTTCCACTTTTAATTTGATTAAAATTATTCGATAAAAGTACATGCTGGATAACCCGTGACTAAGTAGTACTTTTAAACTTTTTTAATAATCTAATTTAACTACCGCTTCTAGAATTTCCAGGAATTAAGCCTCTGGCCTGTCCCAAGCATAATCGAAATTCGATTGCATTAAAGTTCAGTCGATGGGAAAATTTCTAGCGCCTCGGGTTCTTTGGAAAATATCCGATTAATTTCAGTAAGCTAATTTCCCAACCGAAGACGGAAACTTTGCCCTCTTTTCCTAGCGTCCCCGTTGATTTATGTCATTTTATGCTGGGCTCGCCCACGGCTGATATCTTGATTACAAGTGGAAATATGTCCCCCCTGTCATTCCGTTTCCCCATCCCCTTTTTTACACTGGTTGCTGAGCTGCAGTTTGCAGAGGGGACATAAAATGCCCGCAGTGACGTTGTAGTCGACGTTGCGAATTTTCTTTTTTTTTTTTTTAATTTTAAGCATCCATTTAAAATGTGTGTGTGTGTGCTGTGTGTGTTGTGTGGGTGGGTGGATGGAGTGTTCTTTTGGTCTCGCACTCTTTTTTGTGTTCTCGTAAAAGTTCAGTTGAGTTCAAATCCAACAAGCTGGAAACTATTAAGCGGGGCACAAGTGCACCGCCACCTGTCCAACAATTAATTGGCAGGCTTTTTGTTTTTTATATGCATAGAAATGCATGAGTTATATACGTAATGTACGTATGCGTAATTGTAAAAAGGTGTTTCCGGTTGGGTGTCTGTATATGTATGTGTGCAGGTGTTAACGCCCTCGCTGGTTTTAATTCCAGAACTTTCAACCCTATGTGTTATGAATTTTTAATCTAAGGCGTAATTACTCTGGTTAATCCGTTGGGAAATAATTAAAAGAATGGATTATGTCTATTTTATATATAGCTCAATAAAAATTAATATTTAAATTACAAAACATTAATAATAACTTCTGACTTATTCATAACCAAAATATTATCAACTGTTTATTCAAAACTCTTTGTGAATAGATTACATTTATGACTTCAGCTCAATTTTTCGTTATAATAAAATATTCTCAAACAATTTCACCCATTTGCTTTATTAACCCTCCTTTGTCAAAAAAAAGTTGCCTAAACCAACAGCAACTTTAGCAACGTTTTAATTACCAACAAAACAAAGCAACAAGAAGTTGGTAAACAATAAAAAAAAGCCCGAACAAGAAATGATAATAGACGGCAGAATGATTATGGACTGTTTCTTCCCCCATTTGATTTTCACCCAGGATAGGACAAAACTTTTCCCTTTCGTCTGGCAATGCAGGTGGAGCTCAGGAATCCACAGCCGTTGGAAATTCCAGCGGAAATGCCAGCCGATTGAAAGAACTAATTGGCAAGGAAGGGTAGTAAAAAAAAAAGGGCAAGGGGCGCTGCCAGTGGGCGAAAACGGATGGTGCCTGTGACGCTAGATTAAGGTGCACAATGAAATGGCAAAAGTAGATTGGCCGTGGTGCAATTGGCCAGCTGTAAGCTGCGGAGCTTTTCAGCCAAAACAATGTTTTGTTTAGGCCAAAGACAAATTGAGCGAGATCGTTGGGGGTAAGAGAAAAAAGAAAGAATGAAGAGAACAAAGGAAGAGGAAAAAGAGTACTAAAAACTAAAAAATAAAGGGAATACAAAATATATGATTACAGGTAGCAATGATTAACATTTATTTAAGATTTAAGATATTTATATATTGGATCATTGACAGCTGGTGACTTATATGGTTTTCACTGTATTCATATCTAAAAAAACAGCACGTGACCATATGGTCAGTATCCAATTCCACGATCAGGGAGTAGATCGTAATTATTTCTGCTAGACCAGACCAGACTTTGTCCAGAGCGGAAGAGACGCTGAAAGAGAGCCATTCTGACCGAACTGGCCAACAGGTGAGCGAGTTAATTTGCCAGCAAGACAAATTGATGGCGATTGTGGAAAGGTTTTCTTTGTCTAGGTGTATGTGTGTCCAAAGGTGTGTGAGTAAGTGTGCGGGCTAGTTGGGCGATAAGCGGCGAATGCTTGGAAACAGATCAGAAAACTTAGCCACAGTAAAGCTCAATTAAAGACGATTATGGATGTTCATGAATGAAAACCATATTGGTAAAAAAAAGATTAAATCTTGTTTGCTTGTAAACTTTTAAAAGATTTAATCCAAGAAAGTAATCTTTTTTTTAGGGAAGACGCAAGACCCAAAGGTAACATTAATGTACCTGAAACTTAAATTTAAATAAATCAGAAAAAGCTTTAAAAAATCTATACATTTCCCAATTTCCTTAAAGTAAATAATATCCTTATGGGCACTCACCTCTTGTGTGATGTCCAGTTCGTGGCGCGTGTTGTCGTAGAGGGTCTCCAGTTCCTCGCACTTTTGCTGCAGGGCGGACTTCTCCTCCAGCAGGGACAGACCATACTGTGCAGACTGGGCGCTGGCGGAGGAAACCTGGTCCAGTTCGCGGGTAAGCCTCTCCACCTCCATTTGCAGATCCTGCACAGATTGGCCATTATCCGTGTTGCTGGGACTGGACATGATGGATGATGGATATCCTTTATAGTACGGGGAATGGGGGCTGGTGGTGGTAGTGGACGGTACAGCTGCCCGTGGGCGTGGCAGGTGATTTTGCTCGTTGTTTTGTCCTGGGCGGAATCTTTTCGATACTTTTTTATTTTTTGGAGGGAAATCGATAAGTCGATTTGTTTATGCCGGACTTTATTTTGTTGTATTTTTTGTGGATTTTTTTTTATCGAAACCCCACTCACACAACTCCACTCGCGGTGTGCTTTTTATGGTGTGCGTGCGTTTCACCTTTTCTCTTTTTCGCGTGTGTGTGTGTGTGTGGAATGGTATTTCTGTGGTTTTTCTTCTCTTTTTTACTGCCCTCACCCCGCTAAATTACTAAATTAAATAGCACTTAATGGCCAATTAACCGTGTGCTTTTAACGGCAAATAATTTTACACAATATATATTTATCTATGTAGATCACACACACACACTAGCGCACTCCCGCACACGCACACAGTGGCGCTTAAAAAGCAGTTGGCAGCAGAAAATCAAAAGCAGCACAGGAAGTTGTTTCAATTAACTCGAAAAGAAACAGTCAAAATGACATCACACGATTTCCCCTTTCCTTTCGTTCGCTCGCGGAGTGGGAGTTGTGTCCATTTTCCCACTGCACTCCGTTTTTGCCCAGCTGTTTTATGTATTTTCGTTGCACAATTGCGGCGTAGACGGCTAAATTATTCCATTTAATCGATGTTTGATAGTGGCGAAATTTCCAAGCAAGTGCAAAAACAAAAATTTTAATCCGCAATCACGTCGATTCTTGGCAATGTTTGTGACGGAATTTCAGTGCGACCGTACATGAAAGTTTTCAAAAACCTCTAATGATACCTATTTGAAAGTCCAAAAAATGCCAGAACCTCGGACTCAAACCTTGGGAGGGATTTTATAAATGGTCTCCACTGGATCTTATCTCTGGAGTTTTTAAGAATTGAAGAAAAATATATTTATATATTTGGGGATTTGTTTGGTTATTCATTCATCTTGAATTTTAAATTATGTAGTTATTTTAAACACTTCCTAAACTCAAAAATAAAGTAAATTATTTTTAGAGCATCATCAAGAATAAGATGAATTAGAAATCATACTTAACATTATTATAAATATCAAAAATGTCATTTTTAAGGTTTCGTTGAGAAGAGCAATAACGTTATTGAAATTATAAACCGATAAGAAATATCAAAATACATCTTCCGATAGACGCCCCGCTGTGGTCACACCATCTATTTTTGACAGCTATATTTCACATTCACATTTCGCTTAATCACATTTACTTTTTAATTTTACTGTAACCAGAGCCAAAATGCCGGACGCAGTGCAGCAAAGTTTCGTGCGGAGCTTCATCGACTACCTGAAAAAGCAGGTGGACGTGATGTCACCGGACCAGAGTGAAAGCATTGAGGTGGCTATCCAGTGTCTTCAGGCGGCCTTTGACGTGGGCGATGATGTGGAGGCGGTGCAGGATTCCGCCAGCCAGGATCAGGCCACCACACAGAGCAGCACTTCGTGTGCCCCCAGTGGTGATGCGCTTCCCAGCGGAAGTGCCGCCGTCGCTCCCAAAAACATTGATATGTTCGAGCTCTTCCAGTCGCTGTATATCGAACGCAACCCGGAATCTTTGGCCCTGGCCGATTCTATCAAGAACGAGGGCAATCGTCTCATGAAGGAGTGCAAGTACAACGAGGCCCTGCTGCAGTACAACAGAGCCATTACCTTTGATCCCAAGAACCCGATATTCTACTGCAACCGGGCTGCGGCTCACATCCGACTGGGCGATAACGATCGTGCCGTTACCGATTGCAAGTCCGCCCTGCTGTACAACACCAACTACAGTAAGGCATACGGCCGCTTGGGAGTGGCCTACTCGAATATGGGCAAGTTCGCGGAGGCAGAGCAGGCTTACACCAAGGCTATTGAATTGGAACCGGACAATCCGGACTACAGGAGAAATCTGGAGGTGGCCAGGAATGCCAGGAATCAGCCACCGCAGCTGTCGCATCTAACGGATGGTCTAAATGCTATGCTGTCGAATCCCTTAGTGAGGAACCTATTTGGCAGTGCCGAGATTGATATGGAGCAACTGCGGTCGATGGCCCAGAATCCAATGGTTATGAATACAGTTGATCAGCTAATTGCCAACATTGGTCAACCAAATGCCGGTGCAGGAGGAGCTGCTCCTGGCGGTGGTGGTGCTCCGCCACAGATTCCGCCAATGCCTAACGATATGCTGCAGCTGTTCCAGACGTTCGCCAATCAACTGGCGGGAGTTCGGCAGCAGGACGGTCAGCCCAACCCGAATGCCAATCCGGGCAACGAGCAACAGCCGGGTAATCAACCTCCACCGAGCATCTAGTGGTAGATTACAGCCTGGATCGGCCACAACAACATAGACACAGATTAAGTTTTTAAGCTGAAACTATAATTACTATATTTTATGCTTATATTACGCTATACATAAATATATTTTTATTAATGGTAATAAATATATACAAAGAAAACGCTGCGAGGCCTTGCAAGTTTAATATTTCATTGTTCTAATCTAATTTTCCATCGGCATACAATGTTGTTACATAATATTCTATATTGGAGAAAAATAAGTCCTCTTTCGTTTTTTGATTTTGAAGAACAATCCATTGAGCACCCTCTATCCATTTTCCTTTTGCCTGAACTCCTCGTTACCAATTAATAAATAAAACAAAAATTTCATGCAGTTTAATGTCGCTTTTATTGAATTCAAGAAATGTAAGTGATTTTTGCTGACTTGCATCTTTACGTGCTACAATTGTTGATTTGATTACATGTTAAATAAAATCTAATAGGTTTCAAAACAAAAACTCGATTTAACAAACATTTCATTTGTTTGCAAATCATTTTCTTCAAATCGGGAAACTAATTTTTCCACAGACTTGGAACTTTCTTTTATAGATTAATATTGAAGAGCTTGTTCAACTGGTTATCGTTATAATCTTATATTTATGCATTTGACAGAATCGAAAGTGGAACGTGATCTAAATTCAAAACGATGCCAAAGCCCCCCATCTTTTTTAGGAAACGAATGGAGGCGTGGCGTAGTTTCGAGAATTTCACGGAAAAACATTTTTCACGAAAATAATAAAAGCAATGACGTGAGTGTATGAGAATAATGTTTGTTGTAATAATTGCATTTACTTTCCATGAGAATAAATTGCGCTGAAAAGGGACGAAAGGGAGAATGTTAATTTGAAATCGGAAGTCGTACTTACCCATCAGCTTCTGGGAACGTTCTTGTTTATGTTAAAATGTTTACATGCTTTGTTGCAGCATGCTTTCAGTATTGTTTATTCTGCACGTATCCAATCTCTGGTTGTTTTTTTATGTTTACGGACTAGGGACAAACCATTCAAGTGAAGTACTCGCTGCTGCTACTCTTCCTCTCTTATTGTTTACTTAGTATTTGTTGAAGCGACGATTCCTGTAGCCTCCTCCTCCTCCACCGCCGCCGCCACCACCACCACCTCGTTGTATCGTCCGATTGTTTTTGCCGTAGTTTTGGTTCACCTTGTTTGAGTATTTTCCAGATGGTGGCGAGTAGAACTTTTGTTCGTTGGAAGCCCGCGCCTTCTTCTCTGGCTCCTGATCCTTTTTTTCCTTCCCATTGGCAGCAGCTTTTTCCCCAAAAGTGATGGGTGCATGGCGCTTGCCAAGCTTTGTCTAAATGTTTAAAGTTGTTTAAGAGGTTTTTTGGTTAACATGTTAATATAAACAGCCTTACATTTTTTGGCACAATCCAGGACAGCACAATATCATGTTTGAATATGGGCGGTGAGTGGAATAAATCACGTATTAATACGTTGATGTTCGATGTAGTCTTCAGCGCTGTCTGCTTTAATTGGTTCTCCTCCGTCTTTAACTCCTCCCCAGTCTTGCCCTTCAGCGCCTCCTCCAACTTTTTAATATATCTGCATTACATTATTATATTTAGTTATAAAGAAGTGATTTAATGCATTCAAAACATACCCCTGTGTTCCCCTGGCTAGATATTGCAATCTAGCTCGAAAGTCTTTTAGCTTCTCTGCATCCTCGACAAAACTTAAACTATTTGGATGATTCTTTCCTAGCGTGTGCAGAGCGTACAGAAGACATTCCGCGTGTGAAAATTGAAATGAGGGCGGGGTATCTCCCAGATCCTCAACGCTCAGCTTCGGCAAAGGCATGTATTCCTGGAAAATAAATATATTGTCTGTCTTAATCTAGTTTCGTTTATGATTTGTCAAATAATCCTACCAGTAATACATGATAAACTGCATTAATACGTTCGCTGGCATTCTCCAGCTTGTCTGTGTAGGTTATCATCTCGGCGAATACTTTCAGTAATCTAAGTTGAATTTGATCTTGCGACACTGCAGTGGCGATCATGTTCCAGGTCTTGATGGGCAGCAGTTTATCGCAAACGTGAGCCACAAAGGCTGTCGATTTAATGGTTTTCTACATAAATGGCAACAGATTAGATTTATTTTTATAGGAAAGTAGCAAAGAAATATATAAAACTTACCGAAAAGTAAGGTGCCGCTGCAGTGGCGCACTGTATAAATCGCTCAACGACCTCATCATCGACGGCAATTATGTCAGTATCTGTGTTATTGAGCTCCGCCTGCTCCGTTGCCAGCTTAACGAGCTCAGCGTGTCCGGTGATGGTGCTGCCTAGTTTGGTCGCACCCAGAATCGTCATGCATAGATGAAACTCATCAGCAGTGACGTCCTGCAGCGCCTTTTTGATCTCCTCCACGACGTAGTCCTCGATTTCCTTGGTTATAACTGTGGGACCCATGGTCAGCAACTTGGTTGCAATGAACTTGAGGCAGCGCTCCCTTGTCGTCTCATCCCCAGTGGCTATTTGTTGAAACAATCCAGTGATAGAGCTCTTTGTATCCAATTTAATTATAGCCAATAGCGAGTTATTGACCTGCTGCAGTTCCATAGCATCGTCGAGAGTCAGAAGCTGGGCCAGAGTGTCGCCCACTCGGATGGTGGCGTCAGCGTTTCCCTGGCAAAGTTTTGGTAAATCTTTGATGGCCTGGCGTCGGATCTAAAGGGATGAAAGAAGGTTAATGTAAGCGAGTGGGTATTATTCAATGTGAAAATATCAAAATGAAATTAATGGATAGATTGAGGTAAAACTATGTAACTTATTATTTCTTAGAGTTAAGCCTAAAGGTATAACAGGGCTCTACCCACCTGTGTGTCGTCATCTTCGCATAAATCAAACTGTGCATCGATAGCTGTGTCGGCCAAATCCGGAAAGTGTTTGAAGAAGTTCCCGATGAACTGAGACGCCAAGCGCTTTTCCTTCGATGATCCCTTTACGGCTTTAAGTATCTCTTTATATTCATCCACATGCTGCAAGAAAATGAAATATATATAAAAATATAAATATATATGATATACCGTTTTTTTTTCCGGCACGTTTTGCAATGGCGGCTTACCTCTGATATTTTATCGCCCGCCTCCGACAGAATCTCATAGCATTTGTATAATCGCTCTATGTTGTCCATATTCGTGGTCGATATTCTCTATTTTGCAGCGTTTCGAAGCGTCCTGAGTTAGTTTTGCAACTTTTTATATTAGGTTTAAAAGATTGACGTTCGTTTCTCTATAGTTTTCACGTTGCAAACAAAATGGAGAGCTGTAGAGTGACCAAATCTGACGACTCTAAAAATCCACTTACTGTCAACGCAATCGGTAGCTATCGATATATTACCTTTTAAAAATTGAATTATATTAAGCGATTAATATGTAGAGAAAATATTTAGTTAGAAATAATTGAAACTAAAAATTCGTTAACCGCAATTTTTTAAATTTTGTAGAATTGTTTATTGTTAATTGAAACTAATTTTTGTAAATATAAATTGATTTTTTTTTTCGTCAAATTGAAAATCTTGGACTTGTTATGTATATTATAAATAAAGTAAAACTTTTACATAGTTCTAGTTAGAAATAAAATTTAATATTTATGGAATTGCCTTTAAGGCCTGTTCGAAATACTCCACCATCATGGGATACACTTCGTCGTATTGCTGGATATTCTTACGTCTGGCATTATCCCGATACCGCTGCAATGCCCCCGAGATCAGCTCCAGCTTTTCGCGTTCCGCCGTGTGTCCATCCAGCCATTCAATCAGACGTTCGTTGGACCAGTTTGCCGTGGTATGTGGTGACTGCAGGTCCGCTCCAGCGTGTCCAAAGAGCAGCAGCAACACAATATAACTGGGTACAAGGGAATCCTCCCCGATCGTCTGCTTAACCAGCTCTTGGGCCGTTTGAACGATCAGCAGGGACATGGCCCTTAGCAGACGAGAAGGCTTGCCAAGCTCGGCGAGATTGGGACAAAGAGGTTTCAAAGCTTGCTCCATGTGTTGGCAGTCCTGCTTCAAACGCTGTCTTCCCGCAGCACTCAATGGACGCAGTATGCAGACGTTGTGAAGGAACAACTCGATACATCGCTTTGCTAGCTCGTGACCACATTTCGTAGTCATCTGTTTGTCATCAAACAGAGCTATGTGATGCGACCAGGACCGATTGACAAACTCCTGAGAGATGAATAATAATAATGGCAATGCCTAACGATGCGAAATTCCACTCACCTGCAGTTCCTTCATGTACATCGAGGGACCCGTCGTGGAGAGCCTTTCTGTGTTCAATCCTGGCTCCCTGTGCATACTCAATATGATGATGCTAATGGTCGTAATGATCGACTCCATGATTTGTTGCAGAATAGTTCCAATCAGCAGATCAGCCTGCTCCAGGGAGCGAGATATACACTCCCTAGCTGTTCCCGGAGTTTTCTCAAACTGCACTTGAAGATCGCTGAGCATGCGACGCACTGAATCCTTATAGTAGTAAAGGACATTCGCCAACTGTGTGTTTTGCTGCTGCTGCAAGTTGGGCAGATCCACAACTTGCTTGGAATCAGCTCCCAGTTTAATTTGAGCCTCTAGTTTTGTACACAATTCCTTTCCACAAGCAACGAAAACATTCGCTATGGAATTGGTGAGACGTGAGTCGATCAAAGCAGCGCTCAATTCGGTGGAAGCTACACGAATAAAGTTATCCACGGTTTCGTTGCCAGGCAAATCCACTCCCGCCAAACAAGCCTTGAAGTTGGCAGCACACTTGCTAACGTAACCCACTTCCAGAGGAGCGAATAGCTCATTGTCAAATTGAAACTCGCCATTCAGGCGCTGTTCCAAGCCACGAGCGGATGTGAGAAGCTTCGATAGCCCTTCTTGGAGCGTCTGAGTTACATGCTGGGGACATTCGTCAAAGGACTTCCGGAGAAGCTGCTGAACTTGCTGCCAAAAACGCTGTGGGATACACTGATCCGATGACTCTGATGTATAACCAAATTGGTTGATGTGTTCCAGAGCCGTCTTAAGCAGCTTGATCTGTGTGCACGTCTCGAAGAGTTCATCATAAAGCAGCCAGTCCACAGATTTCCAGAACTTGGCTCGAAAATTCTGGGTGGTTGTCAACTGGGGAGTTTTCCCTGGTCCCCTCGAGGGAGTTGGTTTGCTGACGTTATGCGTGGGTGACTTGTTTAGCACGGAGATGTCATTGCCGGCAAAACACTCCTTGAGCGATTGGTCCATGTCGGCGATAAAGGTCGCGAGTAGGTTCTCTAGGGATTTTTCCAGGGTATTGAAGTTCATGAAGATCTGTATGGTTACTATTTTAGTTTCGTGCTCTATTAAATGCTATATTAACCCACCTTCAAAGCATTAACTACTTGGTTTTGATTGCGCTCCTGGAGGCCAGTTACCAGCTGCATCTGCGTGAGATTTCTTATTTTCTGACCCGAACTCATGACATAAGCACGATCTTGCTGAATAAATTCAATGTCCTTGAGCTCCTTGTCCTCGATGAGTTGTCCCAGCTCAAAGTGCAGTTCTGCCTGCCGCAGGACATCCTTGGTCCCCTTCAACTTGGCCGTTAGGGTCAGCAGTGTTCCAGCCGAGCGAAGAAGGTGGCTGACATCATGCAAGCGACCGAGCACCTGCGTTTGGTTCTCCACCTGCTGGTATTGCGAGTCCACCTGGCTCTTCAGCCGATGACCCGTCTCCCTAACTCGTTGCACATCCTCAGCCAGCGTATTTAGAGCTGCATCGAAGCGTCCTGCGTGGGTGGCCTGCTGAAGAAGTGCCCCGTGTTTATCCCGCACCTGCTGGTGCAGTTCCTCTTTGGTATTCTGCAGTTGCTTTGACAACTCCTGGATCTGCTGGCCAATGGTTAGGTGCGACATGGATGCGGTGTAATCGTCATCATCTGAAGCCGCCGTATTTGGGGGTTTTACAGCACCCGGATCACCAGTTACCATGGTTGAAAAGGGTTTTATCTATTGGAATAAGAACTGAAAACTTCTATAACTTTTCTATTTCAACTAAATCAAGCTATTTTATTACAAACAAAAGGTTTTTATCCACGCAACCAAAAGCGACTTCCAATCGATAACTTATGTAGAGGCGTGGGTGGAAATTATTTGGGGGTTTGTTATTGTCTGTTATACAATTTAAACCCCTTGAAACCACGTCTTTGTAATGTGCACTTATCGATAACTTAATCAGCTGTTGCTCAGTTTGTTTTGTGTAAATAATTGGATGTGGAGGAAAAACTTAATTATATTGTCCTCTGTTTCCTCTGTTTTAACACTTCCTCACGATCTCCATGTCGGACGACATCAAGAAGTATTTGGATGGCTTGTTGCAAAAGTATATAAGGCATTAAAAAGAGTTTTCCGGATATTATTGGTTGCTTTTTCTTAAAAAGGGTCAGCGGCCTATACGTGATTCAGATAACGGATCGTGATGGAGTACCCCTCCTTCGGGTCAGTCAGGAAAAGAACGTGGACTTCGCCCTGATGCCCTCATTTATACCCACATTCACCACTGCCTGCGACCAGGCGAGCAAACTGGGTTTGGGCAGGAACAAGACCATCATCTCCATGTACTCCAATTACCAGGTGGTCCAGATGAACAAATTGCCATTAATTCTGACCTTTGTGGGTGCCGAGAACTGTAATACGGGTCACATCCTCGCTTTGGAGCACCAGGTGGATGGCTATTTGGAGGACATAAAGCTCGCTGTTACCGAGGCATAGAATTAATATATACTGTAATTTGCATATTTTTAAAGATTACTAAATGTTTATACCCTATTGAAAACTAAATGAATAATACTTTATATAACTAAACATTTTAAGAAAGTGGAATAGTGTATAATAATCTAGAAATTTTTACTATTTCAGCGCCCCATATTATCGACTGTTTCAAAAACAAATTTCAAAAGTACGAAACATTGATACTTTATTCAAAATGAATTGCAAATTTCAGTTTAATTCCTGCTTATAGAGAAGATTGTAGGATCAACATTGTCGCCATTCATTTACCATTTATCTATACGTTTTTTTCATTACAATTTCAAAATTTTTTGTGCTTTAAAACAATAATATCGGGTAACAGAATGATTCTAGCATATTAATACTTGTTCCACAAATTTAGGAATGTCTTTAACAAAAGTATGACATTTACTAAAACACATACCAGAACTTTCATTCGCTTGGACAATCAATATGCTCTTCTATATATTTTTTTTTAAATACTAGGTGTTTATTCAGAATGAAACTTCATGTACTTTTTGCTTAAATGCATACACTGAATTAATTTGCTACAATTCTTCTTGATGATTTTCCTGCTGCAGTTTGGGAATGATCTCGACAAAAATTAATATTCTCCTTTAAGACTAAAATACAATCCCCAAATCTCTCATCTTCGTATGCCTAGCACACACATTTTTCTTCGGCTCATCCTTGATTGATTGATGTTTTCAGAGTTCGTCGTGTAGGTTTTCTGACTCTGCCTGGAAAGCTTCGCTATCGCAGGCGGCGGGTGTCTCGAACTCAAAGTAATATTCACAGCGATTTGGTTCGCTGACGGCAGTGATCTTGGGTTCCAGAGCGCAACTTATGTTTATAATGGCTGAACGACTCGGACCATTCCAACAGCCGGCTCCGTTGCTGTACTTTTGCTGCGAATACTTCTTAGGCTCTCCAATCCATTTATCCCAACGACCCAGTGTTGTTTCGGGTCCTCCACTTCGTGACTTCTGAGAAGCACGATCGAAGGGGCACAGGGTGTAGACATACTCCCGATCCTCAAAGTTGTAGCACTGACCGTCATGCACAGCCCACTCCTCGGTCAGACCGTAACCCTTGCTATTCTGGTCGTCAATTTCCTTAACCTCCTGCTCAATCTCGCGCAGACTGCGTTCAACTTCCTCGAGAGCATTTCGGGCCTCGTTGGCTTGTTGGATCAAGCGCTGCGTTTCAGGGTCGTAATTTGGAGGTGGCACGTCCTCTACATCCGGAGAAGCCTCGCCTACGCCCACATCGGGTTCCTCGTCGTCGTATTGATCTTCTTCGCCCTCTTCGTCAGCTTCGATATCTTCCTCACCAGCGAGATCAGCTTGTTCTGTACGATAAATAAAATTTGAATTTAGAAACCATAACCTTTTTTGAAAAGCCATTCTAACCTCCGCTTAGCTGTGGCGGTGTTGGCTCGATAGCTTCAGTGGAAGGCTCCGCCTGTTCAACTTTTGGTTCTGGGACAATTTCCTCCGGCTGTGGCGGCTGGAATAGACCGTCGGCCAGCATAGCCAGGGGTTTTATTTTTGGCCAAGCTAGAGTGACGAACGCATCCAAATCTACACGCTCGCGCTCATCTAGGAAATATTTGGCCTCCTCCACAGTAACCACACCGTTGCGATCTCTATCCAGGTTCATGTCCACCATTAATTCGGTGACCTCAACGAAGCCATCCTTGTTAGTGTCAAAGCGTGTGAAGCTGAGAGAAGCCTCATGGCGCATCTGTTGTGGCTCTTGCTCCGCCTGTGCAGTCTCTGCGTCCAACTCCCGTTGCTGTTCCCTAAAGATTTCAATGGCCTCCGATTCTAGAGCCTCGGCGTTTTTCTTAAGTTGCTCCTTTTCGGAGCGCAGGATCTCCTGTTCCTTGCGTCGTTGGTCTAGCTCAAGTCGACGAGATTCCCTTTCAGCCTTCATCTGCTTGCCGCGGGTTATCATCTCCTGGCGTCGTTCCGCTCCTCGTTTGTGTAGCTCGGCCGTATTTCGTCTTTGGACAGCAGCCGCTGCTCCAAGTTCCAGGCATGTATTTGGGCATCCAACCACCTGTGACTCATCGCTGCCGTCGCAGCAGTCACAGATACCGTCCTGCACCCGGGAGCTGGGTATATCCAGAGGCTGGTGGCCCTTGTTCAAGCAATGGAACTGACCATTTCGACAAGCGGAGGTACCTGGTTCATCGCTTCCGTCCGCACAATCGCAGTAGTCGTCGTTGATTTGTGAGAAGGGAATGGTCCGGCTGCCATCTAAGCAAGTCCAGCTATTGTCTCCAGGCTGCGGATGGTACAGTGAAGCCTTGGCCAGTGAAACTCCCAAAGGACGTGGAACTTCACTAGCAGAAATTGCATTCAGGAATAGTAAGGCCACTACAACCGGTATTAGCACCATTTGGCTCAGTCCCAAGCCTTGCATTTTATCTGTGATTATTGCTACTCTTAATTAATCTCCTAATTTCAGGCGGTCTCCGTTTTCTGTAAATCTTACGTGGAATTTGCTATGGTTTTTTACGAGTCGTAAAATGCCGGTGCAGCACTATCGATGGCAGTAAAGACATCTATCGATAACAGAACACAGAGGCGCATTAAAAAATTATAAAGGGGGTCATCGTATCTAGAATATTTAGTAATATTATCTCAATATATATCTCAAAATAATTTTGAAAAAAAAATCCATTTTAATTTTTAATTTTGATAAGTTAATTTAGCTTTGTTCTGTGAAAATTCGATTTCCTGAGTTGAAGCACCTGTAACCCTCTGAAACGCAAATAAGTTCGAATAGGTGTGGCAACGCTGCAAAATCAGCTGCCGGTTTGTTATTTAACATAAGTAAAGGAGCAAAAAACCCATAAAAACATGGAATTTCTGACTAAAGTGTGGGCCAAAGAGGCAACAACGCCTGTTGAACTGGAAGCTGCCATCGGCACAGCGCAGAATAAGACAAATACACAGCCAGAAAAAGCGCCGGCAAATAAGGAATCCTCTAAAGAAACAATTACTACTACTCCAAAGGATTGGGGTTATGACTTATATCCGGAACGGAGGGGTGAAACCTTCAAGCCCAAGTGGACGAAGGTATTGTTTGGGATGGAAGGCCAAGAGAACATTGATCGCTTCAAGTGCGAAGAAAATGTCTATTGGTGTGTTAAAAACGGCCCGCTAGTAAAATTAATGATGGGAGCCCTGAAAAGTTCCGGTTGTCCCATTGATCTGCGCCGACACATCTCCTGTGAGGTTTGTGATCCCTCCGTCACCGGTGGTTACGATCCCAAGCTCAACCAGATCGTTGTCTGCCAAAATATGGCCAAAAATAAGAGCATGGTCCATGGAGTGCTTACCCACGAAATGATTCACATGTTCGATTATTGCAATAACGATATGGACTTCCGGAACGTTGACCACCTGGCCTGCACGGAAATCAGAGCGGCAAATCTGGCTCATTGCTCCTTTTTGAGTGCCATGTTCCAAGGAGATGCGTCGCCGTTTAATGTTAAAGAAGCACATCAGGTGGGTTTTATATATATCCCCTATATACCTATATTTAATATTTTGAATTTTATTCCAGAACTGCGTCAAATCCAAAGCGCTGGCCTCAGTGCTAGCTGTACGTAATATAAGCAAAGCAGATGCCATTGCAGCGGTGGAAAGAGTTTTCCCCAAATGCTATGCTGATTTGGAGCCCATTGGTCGGAGAATCCGACGCAATTCCACAGATCAGCAGAAAGCCTACATGGAGGCACCCATGTACGGCTATGATGTTTATTAAATTGTTATAAATGATTTTGTTTTTTAGGTACTTTTACAAAAAAGTTAAATAAAACTATGTTTTAAGCTCTGCACATTTTGAATGTCAATCTGCCAGACGGTTTTATATTAATAGTTAAATTGTTTGTTATTAATTAAATTATGCACGATTAGCCATGAAAATGTTTCATGTTCGTAAGTTAATTTTATTAGCTATATCACTGACTAAATCGTATATAAAACGGACGATAAAGTCGAATGTTTTTAGTGTATGTTTTAAGAGCGAAAGAGCCTAAATCATGGAGGATTGTGAAATCATAGGAATGATTTTTGAAATGATTGGAGATATGCTGTTCGGCTGTAAGTTGGAGGATATAGGATATATATATAGTGGAATTGGATAAGTAATATAAAAAAAAAGGATTTCAATTACTACTCAAAAAAATAAAAAGGAAAAACCTTTTAAAATCGAAATTACTTTTGCAGCTGACAGCTCTTCTGATGATGACTACGACTCTTCGAGCACTTAAAATGCATACCTAAAATTACCAGGATATTTATAAACCATAAACTTAATTCAAGTAATAAAATTAATACAGCTGAATAATAATAATTAACCTTCAAAATAAAAGCTATAAATACAAGCAAATTTGTTAAAGAACTAAAGTTAAATATGGACTGCTGTGAGCTGCCGGAAATATTTTTAAGTTTCCTCAACGACCTCTTCTTCTCGGACATAAGTACAACGTTTTTATATAATATATAATAAGTAAATATAATATCATTCTCTTTTTGTTTGTTAAGCTGACGAGGAATACTTCGGTAATTACTACGATAACTGAAATTGATAAATAATCCGGCATTCGTGATGTAACAAAGTAAATAAATTAGATATGAGCATTTACCTTTAAAAGCTTTTCAATAGGCATATAAAATATTTCCTGTATTGTTTTGACCCAAATCATGCAATCGTTTTTGACTCGAATTAAGTTCGAATTGGTCGACCGTTTTGGTCATGGCTCATTAAAGGGTGTTCGGGTCAAAACCGCTCTCGATCGACATTGCTATTGTATTTGGTTACAAAACGTTAAGCACACCGGATCAAATATGTTTTGGGATCTGCTCGGTGGAATTTTTGAGTTCATTTTCGGACTTTTATTTCCCAGTAAGTTTTTTAACAACAGAATATTTTATTGGTTTTGATTTATTTTGTTGTTTAGGTTCTGGGAGCGGAGACGAGCCAGATTCTGAGGAGGTGGAAACCACATAAAGAACAAAAAAATAATTTTTATACGTGTTTTTAATTGTAAAAGTTCCATGTTTTCGCTTTATTATGTCTACGTGTGTTTATATTTAACATAAATTGCTTCAACAGCTACTATTTCTTTATAGTATTCTTAAAAAGTGAGGATTATGTACAGTGCGCTCTCATTATGCGCATTTTAACAAGTTGCGAAGCTTAAAACAATTTGAACTGTTTTTTCAGCTCCATTTTCTTCCATTTGGGCAGCTCGTCAAATTCATAAAATGACATTTTAAAAACAGATACAAAATCATCATGAGTGAGATGAACCTATAGTGAAAAGATCGTAATTAGTAATTATATTATATATAGAAATTAATGTTTGATAGACCAACCTCTCTCTTTAGGGGATTTATTTCTGGTGGCAGCATGTCCATCTCCTGGATGAGAACTGTCAGTGGATACTTTTTATGACCATCAAAGTCCTTCTGTCTGTTGTTTAGAATCAGTGCTGATCCGTCATTTGCTGGGCTACATGTAGTGGGGACTTCGTTTCCCAGATCCTTACGCATTTTCTCGTAGGAAAGGAAGTTCTGAAATTATAAAAAATTTATATAATTAAAATTTTTTTTAATTTTAAAAAGTTGTATCTGCACACATACCTTTCCATATTCGTTTTGCCAGCACTCGAAGAATCCTTTAAAGACATTTGGTTCCTGGAACTGTCTGACCACGGCCAATGCTGTAGCCGACCTGCGACCGAATGGAGCATTCTGCACATAACTCTGGGCAATGGCTGTGTAGCGCTCTTGGTTTAGAGCCTGTGATCCCAACCAGACGTAGGTGAGGGTTCCAGTGTCCAGAATATACGTGCAATCCGAACTGAGATCCTGCTGATCGAAACCAAGAATTTCCTCGTACCGCAAGGAACTCTGTTGCCACCAGACCATAAAAAGCTGAACAGGAGGTCTCGGCTTACACGGAACACTGGTGTTCAAGTAACAATTGTTGCTCAGAGTGGGCGATAGGTTTCCACCATTGGAGCTACCATTGCACATACTACCAGCCCCACTGCTGCTGCTTGTGCTACTGGAGCACGAGTTCCCATTTCCATTGATCACTAGAGTTTGATTGAAGTACATTGCCACCGATTGCCAAAACTCCTTGCTTTCCTTGCCTTCGAGGACCAGTGAGCTCTCCCCCAGCAGAGCTCCCACCGATTTGGCCATCTCGCGAGCGTCTCCCGTGCTACTTTGACCACACCATACCCAAACATGATTTGTTTTGATCACATAGCAATCTTTGGAACTGATCGACGAAAGGGGAGTCTCCTCCACAGCCTTAGCATTGTAACTAGCATCTCCGTAAACCTTAAGCAGAAACGTATCCAGTAACACATTACTTTTCAGGTCACCCAAACTTGAGCTCCCATTATAAAGCATGTCGCTGCGCTGACCTCGCATAATAATTAGTTTCCCCTCGAAGATCTGAAGGAAGTGCGGCGGCTCATCGAACTCATAAAGCTGGACGAACATCCCTGGCTCCTTGAGAGCATCAAAACTGGCCTTGGCAAACTTGTCCGCCCGGGAAATTGATTCCGCCGAAGCCTCCGAGCCATTCCATTGATAAATGATGGTTTTAATACCAACAGAAGCCAAGTCCGCAGGAACTACAGTGGCGCACTACAGGATAGAGGAAGAAAAAGTTAATTTTAAAATAATACAAAAAGTAATTCATTATCATTCTTACCTGCACACTGTACTTGACCACATAGCTTGCATTGGTGGTGAAAACCACCGTCTTAGAAATGGGAACCTCTTGCACCTGATCTCCCCAGATGCGATATACTATCCTTTCACCCCTGCCATCATCGACGAGCTGTGTATCAGCAGCCATCTTAGGACGTTCACATAGAGAATGGGCATCCAGCTTTCCGAACTTCGTGGACACTGGTTTGTGGCCCCTAGTATTCTCCTGCCACACGTTTAACCAATTGGCAAAGAGACGCTTGAACTCGACTGGCTCGTGACCTTCCAAAACCCGCACCACCAGAGTGTTATCCGGATACTTCTTTTTCTTTACAAAAGCCCGCCCATTTCCCATCGCAGAAAGGGCATCTGCTTGCGGAGCTTGAGCGCCCACCCACATCCAAATGCTCTGACCGTAATTATCCAGCAGGTACACACCATGGGCATCACTCAGATCATCTTTTGCTGGCATGCCGACATCCAATTGATCCAGATGCAATCTTCCCCGTTGGTTGCACTTGTAGATTCGGAATTTATTGCTGTTGTAGTCGGCGTATTCGCTGACCAACTGGCTGGCCTGGCAGACAATACGTTTCTTTAGTGGAAGCAGGGAGTTCCACAGCTCTTTATTCTGCTGTGACATGGCCTGTTCGTAACCATCGTCTACAATGGTGATAGGAGATCCTGAACAGTGCTTTTGAACCCAGGCCAGGGCACTTCGACGCTCAATTCCAGAACTAGAGCGACCAATCCACACAAAGATCAGGCTTTCCGTTTGCAGGACCATTATATAATCCGAGTTGAAGTGAGACCAATCAATGGTGGCCAACTCAATGGATCGCAACCATTTGCGGGCGTGCAGTTGAAAGAGTCGTGGCCTCAAAGCAGCGTTTATCAGGGCTCCGGATCGAACGCTATAAAGATTACTTGATTATTATCATTCTTATATCTTTAAATATACCTTAAAAACTTACTCGTAGCCCTTTTTGAAGTAAGAAAGAAATCTGGCACTCTCCAGACTCTGAGTCTCCCGATATATAGAAGATACATTTGCCAGATACGAGTCCAGCTCCTGGATTTTGTGCACCACATTGGAACGATTCTGTTCGCTGACATTCTTTCCCAACCAATAGTGAATATATCGCTCCAGAACCACATTTGGCTTCTGTTCGCGTGTCTATAAGAATGCAAATAGTCATTAGCAATTTAGTTTTACACGTTAATTAAGGTACCTACGATAGTTTCGTGATTGGCGTAATGTCCAGACAAACTAGCTGCGTAGATAATGTAGGCACAGTTATCGTAGAAGGTTCCATACAGCGATCTGGGTACAGCCTCCAGACGATCTTCGTCAATTTTCCAAATGGCAAAGGTTATTGCATTTTTAGCCACCTTGCGAAAAGTGGCATCCACTTTAAGGTCTGGAATGGTGTTGGGACGGACTTCCTGAAATTTGTTAGTAATTATAAGATTAAAGTTTTCTAAAACATATATATATATAATATATTTAAATTAAGTATATGTAAGTAAAACAAGTTACTTGTACATTTTGAAGCAAATGAACTAAGCCCCCCTGGAGATTCAGGAGTTCATGCGGTAAGCATGTATCGTAATTCCAACAAATCGAAAATTTCAGGTTTTATTAAATGAAATTTTATCCGCAATTATCATTCCGTGTTCCCATTTTCCCTGGCTGGTGACAATGGCAGTTTGTTCGAACAGCATTTGGCAGGACATTAAACACCTTTCAAACGATCGCCAATTGTTGCTGTCATGAGACAATTTTCAAACCCCAAGGATAAACGCAAAAATTTTACAAAAAAAATACATTTTTTATTAGCAGGAGAAAAAATGAAAAAGCGAAACCTGTCTGGAGAAGTGCTCTGCATCCAATTGGAGGCACAAGTGATAGTGAAAACCAAAAGTGAACAGAGGCGGGCGTGAACCACATCTAACCACATCGGTGTGGTGCAGCCAGTTTTTTGTTGCCTGCTGTCGAACATTAAGTTTTTATTTATTTATGGAACGCAGCAAGGTGGAAAGTGGTTGCCAACCATTGGGTGCATATACATATATATATTGAGATATATGTACTGCATCTTCATCTCGATCTTGGCTAACGGTTTGGGGTCATTAGGCTGCCGTTGGCTAATTAATGTTTTGACTCTAGAGCCATTTCATTTGGACGCCGTGTGTAATCATACACTGGCGTGCTCAGTGACCAAAAACAAGTTCATGCTTCGCCTGGCAATGCTTTGTGTTACTCCCACAAAATGACATTTTCATGGAAATCACAATAATAATGACTGGCTTTTTCTGAGCCCAACTCATAAATAAGCAATGCATAAAATGCGCTGCACACATAACATGAAAACATTTTAATTGTCGCCTGCAAATGGCGAAATAACTCGGATTACTTTAACTCGAGTTGAGTTAACCAGGTTTTTCCTCTGTCTCTCCTCTGGCATTATGATTGATTGATCTTCATTGTTGACAAGCGAACTACATTTGTCATGGGTCTCACCAATATCAAAATAAAACTGGCACAAGTAAATTTCTTTTGCCAACCGCAAAAGTAAATATAAGTTTATAGCGAAAATTATAGTAAGCCTTTGTTTTTTTGAGTTAATGGCCCCCAAGAGACTTTCACAGCTGCCAATTAGCGACATTAATCTAAGCGAAAGCTGATTGATGAAATGTTCTGAATAGAATGTCAAAAATAAATTTAGATAACCATCTATCTTAAGTGAAGCTTGGCGCGAAAATCAAACGACAGCTTTATTGTGGTAAATTTATAGTTTTCTTTGGGTAAAGCAATTAACTTGATGGATGAAGCTGAAAAGTTTAATTGTTGTCCATCGATTTCAGCTTCGGTAAATTTAGAGCAAAGTTTTACCACAAAAGTCTATTTCAAAAGCCATAAAAGAAAGTGTTTTGACATTAAGTTGCCCTTAACAGTTAAATGGAAGTCTGGACTCGTAACTCAAGTTTTAAATGCAGGTCGTTTTAAAAAGAGTTAACGATAGTACTTCTTTTTAAATTTAACTAAATTATTCCTCTACAAGCTTAAGGATTAAATATTTTCAAATCATAAACATTTTTAAAAATTTAATCATCTTAGCAGGATTTACTAAAGATAGTATTTCTTTATAACAGCAACTAATTTATTTCTTTACCAGCTTTAAGATTTTTAATTCATAAACATTTTTGAAAATTGAATCATCTTAGCAGGATTTAATTTTTAGGAAATTCATACATAATTGCATGTGAAATTTCCTTGAGAAAATCTATATTCATTTTTCCACTAACAAATTTCAACAAATTTTTACAAGACCTGGGCAGACACCATCATCAGAAACCAAATTGATTGTAATTGATAAACAAATAATCGTCAGCTCGTAATTAACAGCTGAAACTGGCTAAATAAACTTGTCCAGGCCGAAGATCGCGGGAAGATTCAGGTAAATATAAGAGAACTGATTGGAGAGATTCGCGGTTTGAATAATGAAAAGCCTGAAATTACCGTTTCTTTTGGTGACAGCGATAGCTCCATGTTGTTCGGTTAGGAGGGGGGGCTCAATAAGCCGCGGATGTATCTGTATCTGAAAGATACTGCAAAGCTGCCTTGAACTAGTTTTGTTTCTTCTTTCAAATTGATGGCAATTCCAATGGAAGCCGGCAAAAGCGCGGCTCAAAGTGAAATCCTTGCGAGTTTTTCCAGTGCTTTTGAAAAGCGAATGTCGCCGCACACTCACTTCATACACACACGCAGCGAAATTGAAAGCGAAGCGATGGATCTTTTGATCAAAAATAATTTTTAAAATTTAGAATGGGAATATATGCATATCCCAAAAAACTGATCCGAAATAAAGTACAAATTGAAAGTAAAGCCAAATGTTAGGCTGGATTCGATTCGATAAGGTTTCGGATTCGGTTTCCCGACTCTCGCAACTCGAGTTTTTCCTTTGATATTTTTCCGAGACTATTGCGACGCGTCTTTGCCACCAGAAAGCCAACTGCAGACTGGTTGCCACGAAATGCTGCGCTCCAAGTTTATGGCCAGGCCAGCATCGAGCATCGGGCCAAGAGCTCCGAGCCAAAAGAGCAAGTGGGAAGCACTGACTGTGACTCAGAAATGAATGAAAATTATCAGTTAGATTGTCGGTTTTTCTCTCCAACCTTTTCCAAGCGAACTGCCTGAGAAAAAGCAGAAAGCGCAGCGCGTTTTGTTGCGGTTTCTTTGCCGTTTCTTGGTCTGGGTCTTGGGCCAACGGAACCTGGCTCTAGGCAAAAGGCCAAGAGGAAATGCTGGCAAAAAGGTCTTAACAAATTCTTTCGGGGTGTTTGCTAATTCTTTTCATTAGCTCTCTGCGGGTTAGTATTTACTTTGAAGTTGGTATTAGGGTTCTATTAGCTGAGTGAGAAAGTTAGTTTGTCTGAGGTAATTTTGAAATTTGGGTAATATTCCTTCATAAAGTTGCAAATTTATCAGGTTATCAGTAACCTAGTTTAGTCTCCAGCAAAAAATATTTATTTTTCAAATTGTCAATTTCAGAATAAATAAATGTACCTGGATCTATATATAGTTCTTGAAACAATATAAAAGGTATATATACAGAATATATATTAAAATTTCTAAGCAATCGAAAGAGCATAGAATCTTCGCTTCTTGTCTAGCCAATGACTCTTTCCCCGCTGACTCCACACTTTTCTGCACTGACATTCTCCACAGGCAATCAAGCACAAACAGAGGAGCAAGGTAAGACGAAAGAGACATCTATATCGGTGTTGTATATACTCCATCGATTTGCATCTCTCGGGTTTCCTACGGCTTTTGTCAACCGAACTGACGCGCTCGACTGGCTTGAGTCTTCACTTTTATGATTTATGCTTAGAGACTGACAGACGGGCATTGGCCATAATCATTAACAGCCATAGTAGGATTTGGTAGACTCAGAGATTGAGGATGAGAAGTCATGACTAAAGACAGCAAACACCCCCGGGTTCGAGCGAGGAAAGTGGTCAAATTATTTCGGGGGAATAATTTGGCAGCGATTTGTTTAACAATTCAGAGCCGCCAAGTTTCGGCTCAATTAAGTCAAAAATGTTTTGTGTATGACTCGGTAATGAGTCGAAATGGTTTTCCAGTGTGTTCCAAAGCGTGAAAGAAACTAATGGGTCTGGCCCAGAGAACCGTGTATCTTTGTATCTGGGTATCCACGTATCCGCATCTTGGCAAGACAATACTTTGCCTTTCAAAACACAACTCTCTTTGTTGTCCAAGTTTCATGTTTCCTCCATGTTTTTCCCCCCAACTCTGGCCAACTCAAAACTCTGACAAGTTCAATCAACCGTTGAGGTTGAGGCGTGAACTGGGGAAATGGCGAACGAAAATATCAAAAAACTAAAAAATGAAAGCAATTGTAAATGAAAATGTAAATTGTAAATGTACATAGATGCGAAATGCAAAGCATTTTTCCAGCTGAAAATGTGCGACTTTTAGCATGATGAAAAATGCAATTTACGATTTATGATAATTACACACGTCAACCCGCAACAAGACAAACGACTAGGCAATTGACTTTTCCTTTTTAAACCCAAAAAAAAATAACAATAACAACATAAAGTGCAGCAAACAATTTGATTGTTTGCCTTTTGTTGCGGTTCGAAAACGCCAAACACATTAAGACCATTTTGTGGCCACACGCGACATTTACGTAAAGTCTGGAAAAACGTCTGAAAAGCCCACGATAATGCAACATCGTCTTGTGGCATTTTCATTTTCCGCAACTGCCAACGGGAAACGGGCCGGCAAATGTACCGCTTTGGACGTTTTTTCTTCTGTTTTTCTTCTTTTATTGTTTTAGTTTTCCTCTAGCAGTGGTTGCGACGATGTATCTTTGCTCTTTTCCAGGCTTTTCATTAGACACAACTGAAGATGGACAAGGAATTCTGCAGCTTCTTAGTGTCTTCGGGCTAAAAACAGGCCACATTAATTGCCAATCGATCCAGATCCAGACCAAACAGCCAGCTGACGCCTCTTAATGGGAGCCCACTGCTCTTCTGGCAGTTTTGGCAATGATCGATTTATGGCTACGTTTGCAAAAAGCAGAGGTGTTATAAAAATGGGAGCCTGCACTTTACTTTGAAAAGCACTTGATGAAAAATCACGAACAGTTTAACATGCTTCACAGCTGATAAAGTCATAAAAGAAACCATTAAAATGGTTTACTATTTTTCACAAATTTGGCTTGACTTTTACATAACTGGTTTTTGGACGACTAAACAGTTAAGTAATAAAGCTATAAAAGTTACAACATCCTAAAGCTAAGCAATGTCTTTTTCGTTCTAAATGTCTAAATGACATCTAAGAAACATTTGGGTTTATGTATTTATATTATGAATTGGTATTATCAAAACTATGTTAATAGAACGATTTGACTATATAAGATATACTTTTATAATAAATCTAATTAAAAATAGACACCTTAAGTTAAGCAAATGATTTTGTTAGATTTTAAATGAAAGTAATATTAAATAATTCATGCACTGAATGAAACACTAAAATTTGAATACAAAAGAAATATTCTTCCATTATAATAATTTTAAATTACATTCTTAATAGAACACCGTATAAAATTAAAATAAAATAAAAAAGAAATAAAATAATTTATTACATTTTACAAAAAGTTTTTCCATTTGTAATTGTTGTAAAAGAAGGTCATTTAATCTTCGCTCTTTAAATTGCATTTTTTCCAAAAAGAAAGCCAGCCTTTTATGAGGCCAAATAACGAAGGCAGTTCGATTGGTAAAAGCTAAATATCAATAACAATAACAGGTGTTTTGGCTGGCAGTGCTTTTGATTTAGCATTAATAAATGGTTAATTACCCGAGATAGGCGGGAACAAAGCTGGAGACTACAAATCATAATAGTTTTGAAAGGCGTTCAATCTTTGAATTGAAAATCGAATTGGATTTTCCTCCGGTGCAATTGATTTGCTGCAAATTTCACGAAGTTGCTACCGCAGATGTTGTTTTCCTTTATTTTTTCTGCGGTTTTTCTTTTTTCTTTTCTTTTGTTTCTAATAGTAATAACAATTTGGTATTGTAAGCTTCCCACGCCAAAAAAAATAGAAAACCAAAAGCCAAAAGCTAGAGTGTGGGTGAATTTAACACGAAGAGTTCGAAATAATTTCTTCATTGAATTCGGAGGGAGTGAAAAGTTGGACAACAATTGCGATGGAAGCTGAGCATTTGGGAGTTATAAACAAGCAAGCAAACGCCGCCTAACGGTTATTTAACCGTTACTTAACATGCAATTAACCCGGCGTTAAATACTTAAAACAAAAAACTGAATAATGCAAATACATACATATAACCAGATTTCGTTCGGGTTCAGCTGCGCTGAGATAATCTCAAACGCAGATGTGCTGCAATATAATAACTTTCTAACTAAGGGGTCATTCGTCTTAATTATCACACGGACTTGGGAAAAAGCATTTGCTTGGAAATTCATTAGGCAGGCCCTTAAAAGATAGTCGGGCTTAATCATATAGCCTCTGAAACACTGTCCATTGACCCATTTGCATTTGGCCAAGTCCAAGATCCAACTGAAATTAGTGGGGGAAAAGGCATATAAACATAAAGAAAGCTGCGGATGGGCTTGAACTAAGAGTGTTGCGGAGAAATTATTCCCACCTTTATGGGTTTGTTTGTTATTCCCTTTCATGGGCTTCGTGTTTATGCGTAGTTCTCCCAAGATCTTGTTTCTGACATTTAATCGCCGGAAGCCATCTTCAAGCATCTCCAGAAGTCTGCTTAATTACGGCTAATCTCTTTTGGGTCACCATTTCTTAGGGATCTCCAGCTGGGCTTCTGATTCACATTCAAAAAGATAAATCCATTTGCGTTGTGCATTTCATTAGTTTTGGTTCGAGTCCGTTCAAATTGGTTTACCATTTCCCGTATTATAATTTATTTTTGTTTTGAATTTGCCAATTAGACACGTCTCTTGTCTGCCGCTTGTCTTCCACAGATGTGGTAAATTGGAGCCACCATTATGTTAGATTGTGTGGAACGGGAAACTCTACTATCTTTGGCTACTCTGATTCATTTGTTTGTCATAAAGCTCATTGTTATTCTCGGAAGAGTAGTGATATTATAATTAATTGATTTCCAGATACAAGGTCGAAGGTATTGTTTTGTTATCGAGAAGATACCTTGATAAATTTGATAATACTTAATTAACTATTGATATTGAGGGAACTATATACATAAGTGAATCATATGGTTTAATAGGTAAATGGTAACCGAATTTAAAGGATATATGTATTATTGTTAAACATACTTTTTAATTTGAATATAGTTTTGAGCACAAACAACTGTTTTAAAAATTCGCAACTGAATTGTGGTATCGATTAGGAAACATCTATGACTTTCGTTATCGAAATCTGCATCAATTGAAATTTCCAAATGTATCTGCAATCGAAAGCTCCGATTTCCAAAGTCACTTACCGCATAAACGCTTAATTAATTACTTCGCGCCATAAAACGTGTATAAACCATTAATTAATTTGCACTCACCTGCTTGATGAAATTAAACGGCGGCATTTTGTGGTCCAATTTGCGGCTGCTGCAATGCAAATTTATTTATTTGTTCCTATTCGCTGTGTGCGAGTTTCGAAAAGTGCAGCAATTGCAGTTGTTGTTGCAACTCCAAAGTTAAGCAATTTAATTAACTTTTTCGCACTTGGGCGACTATTTGTTGAGTTTATTGCTGTCACCTCTTTGGCATTCGCTTTATTTGGCCGCCTTTTTTATTTGCAATTTGCTTTCGCGCGCCTCTTCGCGCAATTTACCGTTAGTGGAGGAAAAAGAGAGCGCCTGAAAAGTGATAACGCGTTTTTTGGCACTGTTTCTTTTCTTATTTTTGCGCACTTTCAAAACATATTAACCCGAATTAACGCCAAGCGGAAGCAAAACAAAAGGATATATTCGTATTCGGTCGCTGATCTGTCGCTTTAACGCTAAACTTAACCCGTGAAAAGTCGGCTTACGACTGAACGTGAAAAACTTCAATTGTAGCGGTCCGATCGTACGTACATATTTACATACATATATTTATGTTTGCTTTATATACTTACTACATGAGTTTTGTATGTATGTTTCTCTGCCGGCGTCAGTGAATGTGACCCTTTCAAGTTCCACTTTGACCATGGCCAACTTTTATTTGGAGTATGCTCGACCATTGGACAGTTAGGATAATTACGCTTACTTAGTTAACAATTACAAGTGTTTGTTCGCAAACTTACTAAAAAAATCGTGGGTAATTGTAAAGCATTAGCATTTGTTGGGAATTCAAGATGTGGAAAATGAGACAGATTTTAGAAGGTATGTTATGTATGTACATATGTATCTATATATATATATTTTTTAAAATATTTTATACTTAATACTTAATGCAATAATGAATGACATTAATGAAAAAAACCATTTACAGGGTAGACCCATAACACATCACATTACCAATCTTCTGGCGGACAAGTTTCTCGCTCGGCTGCTCGCTAGTGTCAAAATGCCGGCCATTCTGCTGCAGACATCACCATCACCATAGACATAGTATTTGTCTATTCCAAACCCATCGCCCCACCATCATAGTCGTACTCATAAACACGGAGGGTTCCCAGAACTCTCCGATGGATTTTGTTGTTCTCGTTTTTTTTGTTCTCGTGTTTTATTATTATTCCCGTCGAGGTGTCATTAACAATGCGGAGATGGATAACCCCATATGAAGTCACTCATTGGTGGTGGTGTCCTGGTTTTCATTACTCTCTAGTTGACGATCCTTCTCTAGGAGCAATAGACACTCATGCACTCTAATCCTGGCTTGGGAAATGTCCCGCTGGAGTCGCTCCTTGGGCGCCCGCAAACCCATCATCGTTGGTGGCAAATTGGAGCGCATTTCCTCCAGGATATTCAGTAGATCAGAATACTTATCTACTATATTGGCATTGACATCCAGATCTGGAATTATTTATTATGGATAGCAGGTAAAAGAAAGTCTTTGGAAATGATTTTAGGGCTTTTAAAATATTTTTATGAAACATACTCATTATTTTGGCTCTTACTTATAGATGACGGACCACCATCGATTCCACCCAAACGCCTTCCTCCATTCGCAATGGACATTAGTTGAAGCTGGGCCTGCATGTACTTGGTGTACTCCAGTTTGGCCATCACCTCCTTGTATTCGCTAGCATAGGCAAATGCTGCAGCGTTTTGCTGCTGCCTGTTGCGCTGCATCACCGCTGGATTTGCCGTAGCGGTGCTTCCTTGTGGTTCACCTCCAGGCACCCTTGTGATCTCGACTTGTGGCTCGTGCCGCTTGCCCGCAATCTCCTGGTTTGTAATCATCATTTCGTCTCTTCCTGTCTTGGAGCCAGCTGGTACTGCTGTCACGGTTATGTCGCTGTATTTCGAACGAAAGGATTCAATATCCAGGTAGTCCATATTGGTTAATTAATGATTGGAATGGTTTTAGTTTTTGTGATTGACAATTGGAGATTTATTCGATTGATTTGACAGGCCTTCTTGGATTGTAATAAATTCTTGACAGGTCAGTGCTGAAAAATCTTTTTAGTAGTGGAAAAGTATTTCTGCAGAACATTACATCTTTACTATTAATCCCCTATATGATTTAGCTTAATAGATCTAATTCTACTGGCAAAGAGAAACCAATTTTACCCCAATCCCATAACATGAACCCCCATGCACGTGGCGCGACGTACACATTATACCGGTGGCAATACAAAAAGAGGAGCTCCGTGTACCACTACTTGATGTTTTGGTGCCTGTTTTGCCTTTGCCCCCAACAAGAACATTTCTTTCATTCTTTCTTTTGGGCTATTGCATGACGAGCCCGTAATTACCGGCTGAAGAACAAAACACGTTCATAAGCAGTTCATTCTGTTAGCGTTGTCCATTCGCTTGCTTTCCCCCCTTCGACTCCATCGTTTCGACTGCCGGAAGCCGCTCAAGCGTGCTTCCCGTTCTGCGCAGGCGCACGATGCGAGCAGCAGTCACATTCCCCTCGGCGATCACCCCAATTTTTTGCCATGACTCATGGAGTATTCAAATAACACAAGCGGATCTGATCGTAGTGGTGGTTGTACTTCTTTTACATGCAAATTTTGACCAGAACTGTGTCCAGAAAATGGGGGTTTAACAATCTTCGGTTGGGGCGTTTAACAATTTAGAGTTCTAGAGTCTGCTTAAAAGCTAGTTAATTGCTGCTCAGGTGTTGGGAGCGAATTATGGCCTCAAGACTGCGTTCCGTTTGCTCTCCGCACTCAAAGCGATGAAAGTCGACGATCTCGCAATTGTGGTCCTGCAATGCCTCGCCCACTGTTTTATCCGCATCCAGTAGGTACTCCTGGTGGATCAGGCACTTCTCATCATCCTTGTTTTCCGCAGGCGTGTCCTTGTCGTACTCTCCAATCTTAGTCGGCTTCATGCCCACTATCTGCTGGCAGATGCTCTTGTGGAACTCAAAGTCTAGCAGATTGTGAGTCGATCGGTAGGCTACGATTGCACCGTATTTGCCCACTTGGGTGATGCCCTCGGTAGAGCCTACGTTGGTAGGTGCCGGGTGGGCGTAGCCTACAAGTTTTAGATCGTTGTTCACCTTAAAGCACAGTGCTCGCCTGATGGTAGCATTTTCGCCGATTGCGCCAATCAACAGGGCCAGGTGGTCGCCCAATGTGCGTCCCTCTTCCGTGCGCAGGTTCTTTAGGGCATCAGCATCGAAGCCGAGCTGGAAAGGATATTAATATTAGTATATTCTAAAGAATGGTTGGAAACCGGTTCTAAATTTAGTTAAGGAACCTAAAAATGTATTAACTCAAACTTCTTCTTACCTTCCATAGATCTCCATCGAAGTCCGTCAAGTCCGTGTAGTGCAGACACATACAGGCAACGTGATCCACAAACCGCTTGAAGGTGTCGTTCCTGGCCACGAAATCAGTCTCGCAGTTCAATTCGACCATGGCCCCTCGAGTGCCGCGGATAAGAACTCCAACCAGACCCTGGGCAGTGGCTCGATCTGCGACTTTGGTGGCCTTGGACCAGCCAAGAGTTTGGGCCTGCTCATGCAGCCACTTTTCAGCCTGTAAAATTTGACAAATCATCAGGTAAAGTTGCTGTATTCTTTACAATAATTTAAATAAGGGAGAGGGTATAACCAGATAAAAGGTTAAAAAAAAGGTACCCACCAGTCCGACATCGTTGTTGTGCTTTTCCAGGGCTTTCTTACAATTTGCGAAGGTGTAGCCGGTCTTTTTCCTTAAGGCCGCCAGAGCACTCTTCTCCAGACCTCCGGTTCCAGGAGTTCCGGCATAAAGTTGCCGCGTGGAACTAAAGGCACGGGTGAACATTTTTTGAAGCAACATTTTTGGCCGAACGAAATTTGTTTAAATCCTAAAACTGATGTATTTTGCGTGGGGTGAACTTGTGGACTTGTTGCTCTTTGCCTGCTGCCAAGGGCAACTCTCCGTCTTGTTTGTTTTTCCGTTTCCTACCTGTCGTTATGTAGTTGCCAAGAAAATCAATTCATTCTAAACAACAGAAAACTTTGTGTGTGAGATTTGCATTTGTTTTCAACTCCTTCGTATGTTCGGATCGAGTCAGTTTAAGTAATCGCGTTGCGGCGCGAATTAATCTGAACCGTGTGTGGTGCCTTGATAGGTGAACAACAGGTAAGTCGGCGCTTCAATACGCCTGATTTGTGTAAGTGAGCAGAGGTAGGAAATTCACGGAATATGAGAATTTTGACAGTATTCCGGGTTGCACAATTCGAGTGTTAGGGATGGCAAAAAAGCCGGCCAGGCGCGTGTGACTAGCAGCTGTTTGTATTTTATCGATATTTTTACATCTATCGGTTGATACAATCTGAGTTGAGTATGGATCGCAACCAATTGCAGTTCATAACCGTTTCACGATGGTTCGAGTCTTGATTTATTGTTTTGGTTTCGTTTAGTTTTTCCGTTATTTTAATTTATCCAGAACAAGCCCAAAATGTATATTTGAGAAGCGAATAAGATTTCTGAAAACAAATTTATTTATCAATTTATTTGTTACCTTCTAATAATTTGACAATAGCCGAAAAGTCATTGTACGTTCTCTACATCTATATTTTTATTTTTGTCCCACACCTAGATCAAGCACAACACCATAATTTGTTAAAAAGACTTTGTTTATTTTCCATTTTTTTTGGAAAGTAGTGATACTTATTTCTCTAAACCTTTAATTTAATACCATTTTAGGGTACACCATGCAGGGCAGGCAGAATCCAAATCGGGAGATCAGCATCCCCAGCTTCACGTCGATATGCGGTGCCCGCCGCTTATGCGAGAAGTCGAAGATGCTGTACACTCGACCCAAGCCGGATGTCCTGCAGAGTATCCTGCAATCGAAAGCCAATCCGGAGTACAAGTCGCGTCGCCTGTGGTACGAACTGAACATGCCGGAGTGCGCCAGTACGCTGCTGGATGGGAAAATGTTATCCGACCTGCCCGATAGCATCCTCTGCCCGAAGAAACAGAAAAAGCGACAGAAAAAACAGGAAAGCGCAGCGGCCAAGGCTAACTACATGACCATGCGCCTGGAGCGGGAGCACTTCCGGCGCAAGCTGGTGGAGCTGATCTTGCACATGGACGATGACCAGGATCCAGAGTTAGCAGCCCAGTGTGCTATACCCTTTCCGGATCAAGAAGAGCGTGAAGTCCTGCGGTATTATTACTATATCAAGCATGGAATCGACACCATTCACGTCTCCCCGTTGAGCAAGAAGATCCTCAAGAGGTAAGTTGTGTGTAAAACTTTTAATAATTTAAAATTCTAGTATTGATTGATTTAGCAAAGCTATATTTGCTTGCAAATTTATCATGTAAAAATTATTTAATATTACAGGATAACAGATCTTGTTCCTTCGTTGCTATACAAATGGCAGACAGCTCTCAACGAGAACATTGCCGAAGTTCGGGCGGATTATGTTTTTGCCATGAAAAAGGCAGTGGTGGACTTCGTCCTCCGGCACACGGTCCTCGATCGACTGACCAAGGAAGGAGTGGGTGGAAAATTCGACACCGCCGAACGAAGGGAGGTGCAATCTATGACAAATTTCTGGCGTTATCGGTGAGTTTTGAAATGAAATGGAAAAATAATATGTTTTTGTTCATTTTAAAAATGCATTTTCCGTGTAGTTTTAAAACTCCAATATGAAAACTTTTTTTAAGCCAAATTGGCAATGACTTTGACAAAAAAAGAGTGATTGTTTTTATTTTAAACCCTACGATTAATAAAAATCAAAAGGTCTAGTATACCAGATTTTATAGATTAATAAAGACAGCGAAAAGGGCTAAATTTTATCAGATTGTTTATTTTTGAAACTATCGCTTCTTTTACTTTCTATTAACTCACATGGAAAAGCTTATTTTAAATAGGCAAATAAAATCGAAACTTTCCTTAAGCCAAATTGATTTTGAGAGTAGGAAAGGAGATTTTGCTAATTGATATTGACTACCACTGAAATGTGTACGCTTTTCGCATATAAAAAGTTTTAAAAACAAACAAGGAAGAGCAAATTAAAGTTAGAACCACCCCTGCATGTGGGGGATTCAAATTTTTTAATTAAAATAAATTACACCCGCACCAAGTGCCAAGTAAATTGTGTGCATATGGTAAAAACAGGCAAACAACAACAGCAGAAAAAAAGAGAGAGTGAGTAGCAAACAGAAAAAGTTGCCATAATTGAATGCGAAGTGTTGTAAGTAACTTCCCCGGCTTCGCAATTTGGCCAAAAAGGCGTGCAATTGACATGCAATTACACCCAACCAAAACACTCGAGACCCAGAATCACGCCCCCACATATGTACTTTTATGTACGAGTATTTTGCGGATGCCTTGGCTTTATTGTGGATTAAAAACCCAATCCGATTTTTAACGAAATGAATTGCCCTTTGAGTCGGCAGCCCGCGAAATCTTATGAAAATAACTGACAAAGTCGCCTCCCAAAAGGGGGAAGGAAAAGTGGGTGGGTGAAGCGTTAAGAAAATAAGGAAAAATAACGAAAGTCGTGCGACATTATTAAAAGCTTCTTGCAATCGGGGGAGAACGCGAGAAATCGCTTTGCGGCGTGCCAAAAACTTTTTAACCGCACTTTTTCAACTACAATGCCAAGGAAATGGAAAAGTGGAAAAGGCTGCGTGGAAATGGTAGCTTCAGAAAGTTAAGACCTCCTGTGTATTGGTTTGACATTTGATGAGCAACAGCATTTTTAGCAGTTGTTCGGGAATGGGTTTTGGGATATATAATGCTTCGGCTCAGAGATTCCGCTCAAGACATAAATTGCAAAAAGGATATGCTTAAAAATGAATTGAACTTGTTTGTGACACCCAACGGGAGGCGGGATTTTGAAGGCATCATGCGCATTGTGCGGTTATCAGTGATGACTTTCTGTCTACTGTGAGAATTCTCAAAAACTTTGGTTGCCTTGTTGAAAGTTGAACAATGCTTTCATTCATCTATATCATTCATGATTGATGGTTCTTTGTATTAAGAAATATTTGAATTCTTTTAAAATATCTGAAGCTATATTCTTGTAGTTATTTAACTTTACTTTAAAGTAAAACATTTAATAGGAAAAAAGTTTGCAATCTTTTAAGTTTCCCTCTGTAACTTTCCTTCCTCGCTTTCAACCGTAACACCTTAGGTTGCTTATGTTCTACTTTTTATTTTTGGGGTTCGAAGTGGGTCGAAGGCATATCGATATCCGCATTCACATCCATGTCCGCGTGAGGTTTGCTAATTTACTGCCTTCGAGCATTTGGCATCATTAAGGAGGACCCTTAGATGCTTTTTGTGGTTCGGTGGTTGGGGGGTTGCCCGCTGGGTGCTCCTGTTGTGGTTGGGCGGTTGCGGTTCCCTGCACTGTTTAATGGGCTGTGACGGAATAGCTGGAGTGAAAAGTTTTCCCTTAGTCTCGAGATAATTTGCATAAAAAGACGTTACTAACTGTGCCCGCCATCGTCATCATCCTCATGCCATACAATTTATCCCACAGATACGACGAGAATCGCAATGTCCTGATGAAAACGCTATTCTGCATACATCGAAGTGTGGCCAGCATCTTGGAGTTGTGGAGCATGAAATATAAGGATAAGTCCTTTATCGATACCAAGGAACTGAGCAAAATTGAGACACCGTTTTCACTATTCTCGTTTGTGGTATGAGGATTTTTAAAGAAGTTACACATATCGAGTAATATTATTTTTTTAAATCTTTTCTTTTGGTAGTACCTGTGCGGCTCCCACATCGATAATGGAAAGAATATGCTTGAAGAAAGCTGGTATGGCGAGATCCACTCCTCTTTATTAAAAGCCAGTAAACGAGGACAGTTGCCTGACATTCGTCGATTTACTCTAGTCAAGCGCTTCTTTAACTGCGTTGCTGCCTTGATGACTCAGCAACTAGAGGACATTTGCATAAGGAGTCTGAAGGACTACGCTGACTTTATTTGTGACTATGGGGTAAGGGTTGTGATCCATCAAATGAAATCTATGAGTTTACAATTCCTTTTTGTAGCACGCAAATCCTGGCTTCGAGATCTCTGTGATGCTGGCGGACGAAGATACGATCCAGTTCAATCCTGGTTTTTCAAAGGTCCAAAGCGAGCTGCTCCGGGTCATAGACTCGATTCTATTGAGTATTCAGATGCTGCCACGAATCGAAAGCAAGCTCTACACCGATCTGATTGTGTCCAAGAAGATCTTTCTCACACCCACAGTTCCCGATAGCATTGTACAGGAAACGAAGAACCGGATATGTGCCATGTTGGAGGAGCAGCGTATTGGTCCAGAATTGCGATTGCAGGACTTTGATCCATTTATTGATCTTATTAATGGAAGCGATGCCGAGCGGGTCAGTAACTTCATGGAGAGCGATGCTACTTTCGAACAGTATGCAGAAATGGTGTACGAGTACAAGGAGAAGGAGGATCGTATCGCCAGAGAGGTTTGGGCCGTTATCCGGATGGGTTTCTACGAGTTCCACAGGGATAAATTCATCACCCATCTGGAGACCTTGTGTAGACAGCTCCAGTTGGATCTGCTGGCTAGAATGGTGACCGATCAGCAGGCAAGAATCACTCGATTGGGAAAAGAATACGATGCTATTGCCAAGAAGGCTCTTACTGTGCCCAAGGACACGGCTGAATTAATGCAATTGAAAGCTTATGTCGTCCATGCAGAGGAGAATCTTGTGCCAGAGATGGAGGCTAGATTAAAAGTTAACATGGGTGAAATTTTATGGCTTATGGATCACACACTATACTCCCCGCTGGAGATTAAAAATAATAGCAACTCTTTTCAATGGTACCTGAAGCTTCCCTCGATCTTCGAGCAACATCGTGCGATTATTGCTGAGAAGGTGATCGAGTACCAGGAGCTGCTCAAGAAACGCATTGAACTGTTCCGTCGGGAACTGCAAAATTACTATGAGCAGGTGCAAACGTATGATACCTGGGGCGACATTAAACAGCTTTCTAGATACAAGAAGCGAGCTGGCATTTTGGATCAGAGATTAGTCCAGGCAATGGAAACTATTGATCAAATTAACGAAGAGGAAACTTCCTACGGCTGGGATCTCTCGCAGTATCCCATGAGAAAGAAAGCCCATGACCAACTGAAACCGTATAAAACTCTCTTTGATGCTGGGCAGGATTTCATGGACAAATGGGATCTGTGGATGCACTCTCAAGTAGGATCTTTCGATCCCGATGAAATCGATGGCGATGTGTCCAACTTCTATCGCATAATTCAAAAACTAGACAAGCAGATGGGCGAACATCCTATTACTATGCAGCTTATTCAGGATGTGAAGGCCCAAATTGAGGCCTTCCGAGAGCACATGCCTATTATCAATACTTTGGGCAATCCGGGCATGAAGGCTCGTCATTGGGAACTGGTGTCCGAGATTATTGGTTTCCCCATCAAGGTGTCGCCAGAGCTGACATTAGAAAAGATAATCGAGTACCAGCTAGACGAGTATGTGCCCAAGTTCGAGGCTATCTCGGAAAGTGCCACTAAGGAGAACAATTTGGAGAGAGCAATGGCCAAGATGGTCAACGAGTGGGAAGGTGTCGAGTTTGCCATATCGCCCTACAGGTACGTATTCCATTTTGTATTCGATGGAAGTGACTTGTAATTGAAATGCCTCCCTGCAGGGACTCCGGCACATACAAACTGGCGGCTGTGGATGACATCCAAATACTGCTGGACGATCAAATCATCAAAACGCAGACGATGAAGAGCTCACCCTACATCAAACCATTCGAGGCGGACATTCTGTAAGTAAAACCATTTGTATTCTTAATCGAAACAAGTTTTGCCTTTAAAGAATTTGAAGAAACAAATGAGTTTTAAAGACAATTTGCCTAACCTTTAAATATATTTCGTATTCTTGAAAAACCACTTCTAATAATCAGCTTCTTGTAATCATTTTCTAAGCTTTTAGCGCATTAAGGATTCACATTAGTCCTTCGTGTTCTTTGGCTCTTTGTTGGGCCGTCAATGTCAGTGGCAGAAAAGTAACATATGGCTAACCTTTGTTGTCCTTTTACAGCAAGTGGGAGGCCAAGCTCATGCTGTTGCAGGAGATCCTGGACGAGTGGCTGCGAGTGCAGGCCACCTGGATGTACCTGGAGCCCATCTTCAGCAGTCCAGATATTCAGCAGCAGATGCCAGAGGAGGGGCGACGGTTCAGTGCCGTGGATAAGGTGAGTATGTTGCCCCCTATCTTTGGAAGGTTGCTTCTAAACACGAGCTTGATGATTAAAAACTAAAATAAACAATGCCTAAATTACAGATATGGAAGGAACTAATGAAGCAAGTGGCTCAAGATCCTAAGGTCATGACTGTGGTGCAAATCGACAAGATGAACGACAAGTTGAAGAAGGCCTACAGTTTGCTGGAGGTGATCCAAAAGGGTCTAAATGCCTATCTGGAGAAGAAACGCCTCTACTTCCCTCGTTTCTTCTTCCTGTCCAACGACGAACTTCTGGAAATCCTATCAGAAACAAAGGATCCAACCCGTGTCCAGGTACATTTGAAGAAATGTTTCGAGGGCATTGCCACACTGAACTTTACGGAGGAGCTGGATGTGACTGCGATGCGATCCTCAGAGCGTGAGGAAGTCACCTTGGTGGATGTTATCTCAACATCAAAGGCGCGCGGTCAGGTGGAGAAGTGGCTCTTAGAGCTGGAGATCGACATGAAAAAGAGCGTGCACCACAAGGTTTCGGAAGCCTTCTACAGCTACTTAAAGATGTTGAGGCACGTTTGGGTGCTGACTTGGCCGGGTCAGACCGTCCAGTCAATTTCGCTCACATATTGGACTCTGGAGATTACCGAGTGCTTCGAGAGCGAGGAACCCAAAGAAAATCTAGCCAAATATCTGCAGAAGTGCATCATGCAGATCAACAAGATTGTGGATTTGGTGCGTGGCGATCTCAACACCCAAAACCGTATTACTTTGGGTGCTTTGGTGGTGTTAGATGTTCATGCCCGTGATGTCCTGGCGGAAATCGTTGCAAATCAAGTAGAGGATTTGCAGGATTTCCAGTGGCTATGCCAGCTACGCTACTATTGGGAGGATAATAATCTCGATACAAGGATGATAAACTGCTCCCTGCCTTATGGCTATGAGTATTTGGGCAACACACCCCGACTGGTGGTTACTCCACTCACAGATCGATGTTATCGTACCCTGTTTGCTGCCTTGAATCTGCATTTGGGAGGTGCTCCAGAAGGTCCTGCCGGCACTGGTAAAACTGAGACAACGAAAGATTTGGCCAAGGCCGTAGCCAAGCAGTGCGTGGTGTTTAATTGCTCGGATGGTTTGGATTACCTGGCTTTGGGTAAGTTCTTTAAGGGATTGGCTTCGTGCGGCGCTTGGTCCTGTTTCGATGAGTTTAACCGCATTGATCTGGAGGTACTTTCGGTGGTGGCGCAGCAGATCTTAACCATCCAGCGTGGCATCAACTCTGGAAGTCCCACGCTAGTGTTCGAGGGCACCACTTTGACACTGGATTCCACTTGCGCCGTATTCATCACAATGAATCCTGGTTATGCTGGACGATCCGAGTTGCCTGATAACCTCAAGGTAGGGATCTAAGCTAAGTTTTCCAAAGTTTTAGATTCGAGTTGTTTCCCTTATCCCTAGGCTCTCTTCCGATCGGTGGCCATGATGGTGCCGGACTATGCCCTGATTTCTGAGATTGAGTTATACTCATATGGTTTCCTGACTGCCAAACCGCTGTCCATTAAAATTGTGGCCACCTATCGTCTGTGCTCAGAGCAGTTGAGTACCCAATGTCACTACGATTATGGCATGAGAGCTGTAAAGTCTGTGCTGAAAGCGGCGGGTGCGTTAAAGCTACGGTATCGGGATGAGAACGAGGATATTCTGGTGTTGCGATCTATCAAGGATGTCAATTTGCCCAAGTTCCTCAACCAGGACATTCCTCTTTTCCAGGGCATCACTTCCGATCTCTTTCCTGGAACAGTTTTGCCGGAAGCCGACTACGTACTCTTTAACAAATGCACACAGATGGCTTGTGAAAAACAAAATAAGCAGTGCACTCCGTTTGTGCTGGAAAAAGTGCAACAGGTAAGTTATCTTAGAGATCCTGGCTTTTAAAATTTCCAAATCCTCATTTTCCTTTAGCTGTATGAGATGATTGTGGTGCGACATGGTCTCATGTTGGTGGGTTATCCTTTTGGAGGCAAGACCACCACCTATCGCGTCTTAGCCGAGGCACTGGAGTGTATGGAAAAAGCGGTTGGTTACTTTTATATAATATATTTGAAGTTAAATAATTAATAAATTACTGACTCTTATCCCCAGGATGGTTCCGAAAACAAAGCCATTTACACAGTAATCAATCCAAAGGCCATTACTATGGGTCAACTTTATGGTCAATTTGATGCAGTGTCCCACGAGTGGAGTGATGGGATTTTGGCAGTAAACTATCGTATCTTTGCTATATCTGATAGTCCAGATCGGAAATGGTTAATATTTGATGGACCAGTGGATGCGATTTGGATTGAGAATATGAATACCGTGCTAGATGATAACAAAAAGTTGTGCCTGATGTCTGGCGAGATTATTCAGCTATCTAATACCACCAATTTGGTTTTTGAACCCATGGACTTGGAGGTGGCCTCACCAGCTACGGTCTCTCGATGTGGCATGATCTATCTGGAGCCCAGTTCCTTGGGTTGGGAACCTTTGGTAGCCTCCTGGAAGAATACTCTTCCTCCGGCATTCCACACGGTCAGCAAACAACTAATATCAATGCTAATCTCTCGGTTTTGTCCTATACTCCTGTACATTCTGCGCAAGAGTCTAAAGGAGATTGCACCCACATCGGATGCTAATCTTATGGTCAGCTTAATGAACTTTTTTGAGTGTTTCATCGACGACTTCCGAGATGAGAAGTATGTGGCTAATGTATCAGACTTGGATTTCCGGGCCCAAACAGAAGGAATATTTCTGTTCTCGTGCATTTGGTCGATTGGCGGATCTCTTGATGCGGATAGCAGGGAGAAGTTTAATATAATATTTAGGGCACTAATGGAAAAGACCTTCCCACAAAATCTCTATGACACATATGGAGTAACCGAGGATCTTTATGTGGAAACCTTGGCCAAACCATTCATATTTCCCATACCCAAACAGGGATCAGTGTTTGATTACAGATACATAAAGGAAGGCAAAGGCAAGTGGAAACCCTGGCAGGATGATGTTAACTCTGCTCCACCAATCCCTCGGGATATTCCAGTCAACCAGATTATAATCCAAACGAATGAAAGTGTACGGATTGCAGCTGTTTTGGATTTGCTAAATCGTCATGGAAAGCCGATAATGTTGGTGGGACCAACGGGAACTGGCAAGAGTGTCTATATTATCGATTACATGCTCAAGAAGATGGATTTATCTATATATAAGCCCCTATTAATCAGCTTTTCTGCTCAGACATCGGCCAATCAAACTCAAGATATCATCATGTCTAAGCTGGACAAGCGCCGCAAAGGCGTCTTTGGTCCACCTCTCAATAGTCGCTTTGTAATCTTCGTGGACGATGTTTCGATGCCTCTCAAGGAGAACTACGGGGCCCAGCCCCCGATTGAGCTCCTTCGAATGATGCTCGATCACATGATGTGGTACGATCGCAAGAATATCATTCCGATGAAGCTAATTGATCTGCAGATGATCGTGGCCATGGGTCCTCCTTCGACGGGGAATACGGTGACACCTCGTTTCCAGCGATTCTTCAACGTGATATCCATAGATGATTTCAATAATGACATATTGAATACCATCTTTAGTAAGATTGTGCTATGGCATCTGGATACTAGGTAAGATTAGTAATTGTCTGCTTGGAAATGCAAATCTTTCTTGCTAAAATGTCCGTCGAAGAATTTCCTATTTAACTCTGTTCATAATATATTTTTCCCGACTCAATCAACCCAGGGGCTTTTCAAAGGAGTTTGATCCTTGTATTGACGAGATCGTAGGCGCCACCATGACCATTTACAATGACGCTAAACTGAATCTGCTTCCCACCCCGGCGAAATCGCATTATCTCTTTAATCTGCGCGACTTTTCAAGGGTTATACAGGGTGTCCTGCTGTCCGTTCCCGAAGCAACCGAAGATGTGAACTCCATGAGGCGACTGTGGGTACATGAGGTGTTGCGGGTGTACGGGGATCGTTTGGTGGAGGATGCCGATCGAACTTGGCTGTTTGAAAACATATGCAGCACAGTGAAGGCATCCTTCAATACGGATCCCACGCGCCTATTTGGTCGACTTGTGGAAAAGGACAAAACCCTGCAGGAGTCCGATTTCCGTCAGTTGATTTACTGTGACTTTACCAATCCCAAGGCGGACACCAAGAACTATGTCGAAGTGCAGGATCTGGAGGAGTTGCGCCGGGTGGTGGAGGCTTATCTGGTGGAGTACAACAACATGTCGAAGAAGCCTATGAATCTGGTGCTTTTCCGCTTCGCCATCGAGCATTTGTCGCGCATATGTCGCATCATAAAGCAGCCGAGAAGTCATGCTCTGCTCATCGGGGTCGGTGGCTCCGGGCGCCAGAGCCTGACTCGATTGGCTTCGCATATATGCGACTATGAGCTGTTCCAGGTGGAAATCACGCGATTGTATGGGCCGTACGAATATCACGAGGACATCAAGGCGATCCTACGCAAAATTGGGGCATCTGAGATGCACGGAGTATTTCTCTTTACGGACGTTCAGGTGGGGAACCGTAATTGGCAATTTGACCGTGTCTTGGGCTTTCCTTGGTTTCGCTAACTTTTCTAGAATCTTACAGATTAAAGATGAGTCTTTCTTGGAAGACATTAGCAATCTACTTAACTCCGGTGAGGTTCCCAATCTCTTCAGCAATGAGGAGAAGATCGAGGTGCAGGAGAAGATGGCCCAAATCGACAAGCAGCGGGACAAGGCTGTACAAACGGATGGCAGTCCCGTGGCCCTGTTTAACTTTTTTGTCACGGTGGGGTCCCTTATCAGCAAATTCTATATAAACAATACCCACAGATTTATATTTTCTTAAAATATTCAAATAACTGATGAAAATTACATTAATAATTACTTAATAATCACTGATTAACAGGTACTAATGTATCTTAAAATTTCCTACTGCAGACCTGTAAGGACCAACTGCATATCGTCTTGGCTATGTCACCTATCGGCGATGCACTGCGGAATCGGATCCGTAAATTCCCTTCGATAGTCAACTGTTGCACCATTGATTGGTTCCAATCTTGGCCGGAAGACGCCCTACTAGCCGTGTCGACACGTTTCCTAGCCAGCGAGGATCTCACAGCTCTGGAGCGCCGCACAGCAATTGATATGTGCATGGACTTTCATACTTCCACCCAAGAGCTTTCCGCCAAGTTCTTCTCAAGGTTGCATCGGTACAACTATGTAACACCAACCTCTTATCTGGAGTTGATTCAGACCTTTAAGGCGCTGCTCAGTCAGAAAAGAAAGTGCGTATTTAGCTTTAACCCAATAGTATCTATTACTCAATAAAATAATTAATATATTTTCCTTTTATTTTAGCAACATTACCAATAATCGCAATCGTTATTTAACTGGAATATCACAGCTGGACATTGCTGCCCAGCAAGTGGCTGTGATGCAGGAGCAACTGATCGCACTTGAGCCTAAGTTAAAAGAAGCCTCAGAGATCGTGGCAGAACAGGTGGCCAAAGTGACAGCCGATAGCAAACTGGCCGAGGAGCAGCGAGAAATTGTCAAGCTGGATGAGAGTGCGGCTAAGGAACAGGCAGCTGTAGCCCAAGAGATCAAGGACGAGTGCGATGCTAAGCTAGGAGAAGCATTGCCAATTTTGGAATCAGCTTTGGCCGCTTTGAACACACTAACCACGGCAGACATAGCTGTGGTCAAGACCATGAAGAGTCCACCCATTGGTGTAAGGATCGTCATGGAAGCAGTGTGTATCCTAAAAGACGTGAAACCTGATAAGGTACCGAATCCGAGTGGCTTGGGCACTATAGAGGATTATTGGGGCCCCTCGAAGCGTGTGCTTAGCGACATGAAGTTCCTGGACAGTCTGTTAAACTTCGACAAGGATAATATTCCCGTGGAGGTGATGAAAAAATTAGCACAACGTATTCTTAGCAATGAGGCGTTTGATCCGGAAAAGATTAAGAGTGCTTCTACGGCTTGCGAAGGTCTGTGTCGTTGGGTTATTGCGCTAAGTAAGTACGATGTAGTGGCCAAGATTGTGGCGCCCAAAAAGTTGGCTTTGGCCGAGGCCGAAGCCACATACAACGCGGCCATGAAGACGCTCAATGAGAAGCTGGCCATGTTGGCCAAGGTGGAGGCCAACTTGGCTGCCATCCAGAAGATTCTCGACGAGCAGTTGCGGCAGTATGGGTAAGCCTAAAGAAATTTGTATGAAATGATTAGATCCAAAACGAATAACTTTTTCCTCGTAGTATTTTGCTGGCGGAACATGAGGCTTGTACCAAGAAGTTGCAGCGAGCCCAGGAACTCATCTCTGGCTTGGGAGGCGAGAGAACTCGATGGTCGGAGACAGCCAAAATGCTGCAAGCCAGCTTTAAAAGCGTTACTGGTGACGTTCTGATCTCATCTGGTGTGGTCTCCTACTTGGGACCCTTTACCATCGACTTTAGGGTGGAACAGATTAAAAAGTGGGTTACTAAGTGCCTTAATTTTGGTGTAACCTGCACTCCCGACTTTCAACTGGCCGTTGTCCTGGGCGAACCTGTGGAGATTAAGATTCTGGAATATTTGTGGTCTGCCTACTGATGCGTTCTCCATCGAGAGTGCCATTATGATGAAGTGAGTAGGAAATTGTTTTTCAACTATCTGTTTACCTGTATTATGTTTATTTTGAATTTGTTTTAAACTAAGTTCAGACATTACCAGGCCAAAACAATTTTAGCTAAAAGAGTAATTAAGAATTAATTTCAATTACAATTTCGCTTCTAAGATAAATTATTGAAAATGTTTAGTAACAATTTTGTGCCAGTACCACTTTAACCACAAGTTATGACAACATCTGGCACTGCCCCTTGGAAAATCCCCTGTGGTGATCGCTAGGCCAGCCAACTCGCATCAATTAAACAACCTGACACGGTAATTATGGTCCTGCCTTGCCTGTCAGCGGCACGGAAGTTCCGAATCTACGGCTTCTGTATTTCGTTTCTTCGTTTTCTAATTACAAAACATAAAACGTTAGAATTCACGCGTATTAGGAAAATTAAAGATACGCCTCGTGCTGTAGCGGGTGGAGTGTGGGAACGGCACCGGATGCTGCACGAGGACCGCGAACTGGAACGGAATAGGGCAAGGGAAGGGGATTGGGAATGAAAACAGTAGCTGGGGGTAGGTGTTTAGGCGTAAAGGGGGAGGGATGCATGAGCGCATTAAGCAGCGTACCCGCATGTGGCCAGAAGGACTCGTTGCCAGGACACGCCATCTCGGTGGTGGCTGTGCCAGCCAAAGGTACAAAGGGCACAATAAACTCAGATGAGGTACACTGGGAAAAATTAAAGATCTGTAAGCTAAACATAATGTTGGAATAGATACAAAGGGCTTTAAGTTAATATTTATTTATTAGTTATGCGTTTTTTACTTTTAGTATTTGTTATTAAAAAGTTTATCTATAAACTAAAGAATATTTTTCCTTTGTGTAAAAGGTTACAGTGGTTAGTGGAATAAGGAGGGAAGCTGGCAGGCAGAAATTTTCATGTTTGATGCGTGTATTACGCATCTGGTGGATTTCTCGTAGGTCAGAGAGCGGGACCACATGCCACTCCACGACTCTCCGCTGCCACTCCAAGTCGATTTAATAAAGGAAATTCCTGGCTGCTTTCCACGAAAGTGTTCAAAGTAATTTGGAGCATGCCCGAAAATACCTGAGGGGCCACCGGGTTTTCCTTTCGAAGGGAGGAAAATGCGGGCAAAGGAGGGTATCTCCCAAATTCAGAATCTAGAATCGCCCTGTATAAGCAATTGATTAATGTGCGCCCAGAGCGGATTAGGTTTAATTTTTACACAGCCGGAGGGTTAGTTGCGATGCGATAGCGACAGACGATTGCACATCCTTGGGGATTTCGGTTCAGTCTCTAGTTTCGAGCCTTTGTCTATCCTTCTGTCTATATAGGACGAATTTGTATTTGTGTTTGGCAAATATCCTGAGAGCCAGCCAGCAGGGTGGCTAGAATGTTGTTGTCCTTACTATTAACATTCATTTGCTTAATATTTCGGGTGACACGTAGCACATATGGTGACCTCCTCAGCATCCTCTGTTTCTTCCTCCTCAGAATCGTAAAATGCTATGGCCATATATTGGGTATCATCAGGTGTGGATGTTTTCCATATCGGGTAGCGGGTTTTTGGGGTATTGTGTAATTTGAGGGTCGTGCCTTTGATTAAATAATGTTAATTTGAAAAAGGTAAAAACAATTTGTAGACGTCTACTTTGGGTCTCCTTGTTTTCAGGTTTTGAATTTAAAGTATTGCCAAGGAGCCTGGAATGGGGCATTGAACGTTTTCAAATGAGTTAAATCGAACTCTTCTTTTTTCAAAAGAGGGTAAACATTTAAATCTCATAAATTTAGATTGGTTCTATACTTTTTCAAAATCGCCTTACTTTAAGTCCTTTTCTTTATATTTAAGAACTAAAATTTAAATAAATACAAAGCAATGCCAGCGATTCTCTCGATGCTGTTGGTTGTTAAAAGATTTGCCATTTTTTTGTGTCCCCATTTTTTTGTAAATCCCCAAACTCCATTCAACAGATTTTCAACCGGCTTACAATGCGAGTTGTATTCTAACTATTCGCCGGGAAATTTTCGCTTTTATTTTGTGACAAAAAGTTGTATCTTTCCCAATCCCACCTCTTTATTTCTCCCTGGCGATGCTCTGTGAACTTTAACCGGGTATTCACATGGCAACTGACTACCATTGAGATCTCCGCCTCCGCAGGTTCCCATTGTACTCCGTGTCCTGGCACATCGTATGAGGGTTTCGGTTGGAATTCGTTGTTTAAAAATTGTTGGAGGTTTTTTTTTTGATTTTGGGATACGTGTGGCGACGGCGAAGGCATATTGCCCTTTTGTTTTTCCATCAAATATTTTTCATTCATCAAGTTTTCAATTTACAAAAATGTTCATTCATTCGCACGAGCAATTTGTATTCGGTGTGAATTTGTCATGTGCTAGCTGCTGTTGTTGCTGCTGCTCCGGCTGCAACTTATTGTTACTTTTACCGCTTTCTCTATTTTTGTTTCTGTCGCTCCCAATCCTCTTGTCCCGATTTCCACACCCATTTATTTTTCCACACTGGCTGCGAGTTATCGCATCAACTATATATATTATATGTATATGCAGTTCTCGACACACCCAGCAACCGCAATCGAGGTATACTCGTACATAGATGTGAATTTGTATATTTTTATATACCAAATCAGTGTCTTAGTCCTAAAAGCAGAGATTTGAAAGGGGTGGTAATTATAATAAACATAGTTTATAGATAATATTTAAAAATCTTATATTAAGAATAAGATAAGATTTTAAGATTTCATATTCTAGTTTTCTTTGATACATAAATAGATAGTAAATATAAGCAATATTAAATTACATTTTTCTTGAATAAGATTTCTTAGCTTTTTAATATATTTTTAATTTATTTTTATTATAATCCGATGCACATTAAATTTGTACATCTAGTAAACCCTTTTTCGTCTGGGTCCCTGACTAAAATCCTTTTGTAATATAGTTCTGTTTGTGGCTTAACGTTTGCATGATGTATGGCATTTTTGAATCCAGAGGTTCTGCCCCCATTCCTAAACCCACAAAGCACACACATCAATACATTCGAATAATGTGAGCAGAAAATATTTCTATAGCATTATTTACGCTTATGAATTATTGACGTAAATATTGAATGTGTATTTATGCGGTATTTTCTTTTTTAATATTCCAACTTCAACTAACTGATGAGCTTGTTGCGGTTGTTGCCCATTGTTTCAGCATGTTGACAAATTGTTTGCATTTATATCATTTAATGTACAAATGTTTAGCAAGTATACAATATACATAAATTGTTTTCCAGAAATGCTCGACGATGGCCCTTAATGATTGACCCACAAGGCCAGGCCAATAAATGGATCAAAAACTATGAGAAGAGCAACAAACTGTGCGTGATTCGGCTTAATCAAGCGGATTATACTCGAGTAATGGAGAATGCCATACAATTTGGTCTGCCCGTGCTTCTGGAAAACATTGGCGAGGAATTGGATCCCGTCTTGGAGTCTGTGCTTACGAAGACACTGTTTAAACAGGGCGGTGCTCTATGCATTAAGTTGGGTGACTCTGTCATTGAATACAATCATAGTTTTAGGTAAGTTATTAAAATTTTCCAGATATAAAATAATTTAATTGCATCACCACAGATTCTATATGACAACCAAACTGCGGAACCCTCATTATCTACCTGAGGTGGCAGTCAAGGTAACACTACTGAATTTCATGATCACCACTCAGGGATTGCAGGATCAATTGTTGGGCATAACGGTGGCCAGGGAACGTCCGGATTTGGAGGCTGAGAAGAACAATCTTATTGTCCAGGGAGCTGAGAACAAACGAATGTTAAAAGAGACCGAAGATCAGATTCTAGAAGTTCTCTCATCAGCTGAAAATATTCTGGAAGACGAGACAGCCGTACAGATTCTGAGTTCAGCCAAAGCTTTGGCAAATGATATTAGTGAGAAGCAGGTCATCACTGAGGCCACGGAAAAGCAGATAGATATAGCTCGTTTGAGCTATGTGCCCATAGCCGAGCACTCAACTATATTGTTCTTTACTATAGGTGAGGAAATTCTTGAAAAATATGTTATTTTTGTAAAATGTAACTTATATATTTTCCCACAGTGGAACTGGCCAACATTGATCCCATGTACCAGTACAGTCTGGCTTGGTTTGTCAATTTGTATATGTCATCCATTGATAATACGGAGAAGGTGGACGACATAGCGGCACGACTGTTGGATCTACGGAATCACTTTACCTACAGCCTTTATGTCAATATCTGTCGCAGTCTCTTCGAGCGTGTGAGTGCCCATTGGATGAACCCAATTATCGTCAAACGCCGGTCCGTTTATTCATCCGCTGGCCAGTATCTTGGCCCTTTAGCCTCGTTAGTCCCGTAATTGCGCATAATCTGATAATGTGACATTTGAAGCGTGCTCCTTTGCGTTTCATTTGCTTTGTGGCTGAGCATCCTGCTCAGCTTGACTGGGCTTTACTCGACTGCTTTTAAATAATATTTAAGCATTTCAGCTTTGAAAGTAGATTGTATTGTAACGCTACTTCAACGGACAATGAAGTTGAAGGAGTTGCAGTAACTGAAAACTGAGTGGGTACTATGGAAAGCTTATATAAAATATTTATTAGAAAATATTTATATATATAAGCTAAGTAAGATGTTTTCAGTTTAAACTTGTTCGCTTCTAACGTAAGCGTAAAATCCCAAGAATTTATTTTTTGTTTGCTTCTAACTACAATTCAGTTTCGGATTCGTTTAAATCCACTGTACATCTGCTCGCATAATGTTATTACATTGCTGGTGCAATCAAAGGATGTACCTAGCCAAAGGAAGCTGGGGCAAAAAAGGAAATAATAATCCAAACAAGTTCTAGCTAGCTTTATGCTGTTTTCAGTCAATTATGCCATGGCCTTTCCCTGTCCCCTTGGCTTTTGCCATGCCCCCTGTGGTGACCCTGCCATGAGCTAACCTTTGATCCCCAGCTTTTAATTTTCTTGTGCATAAAAAAAACGAAGTGAATTGCTATCAGGGAAGCAGCATCACTGTTTGGCTTCGGAAATGCTTTGATTTCGGTGGGCAACCTTTCCGTGTAACCCATTTAATAGGAGAGTGAGCCTCTAAACCCTGACCCTGAATAACCCCAATCACATCACTTCTTTTTATCCCTTACTTATTTATACATTCAGAGAAAACTACCAGGTCTTTGACCTTCTGTGATGTGTGAACTCTTAGTCATTTATTTGAAATACTTTACCTTATTTTATTTGAGTGTAATGAAATGTTCTGACCTTTGAACAGGATAAGCTGCTGTTTTCGCTCATATTGGCCATCAACATGATGAAGCACGACAATCGGATTGACAATGCCGAATGGATGTTTCTGCTGACTGGAGGCGTTGGTTTGGAGAATCCGTTCAAGAATCCAACCACCTGGCTGGGTGTCCAAAATTGGGATGAGCTCTGTCGCCTGACAAATTTACCCAATTTCAAGGGCTTACGCGAGGACTTCAATGACAATTCAGCTCAATGGAAGCCCTTCTTTGATTCAAAGTCGCCCCAGGATAATAAGGACATACCGAAAACATGGGACAATCGTGTGACCGTATTCCAGAAGCTTTGTCTTCTTCGCGTCTTTCGACCAGATAAATTGGTCCCGGCTGTGTTGAACTTTGTAAGCAGAGAGATGGGTGAGAAATTTGTAGATCCTCCGCAATTCGATTTGATGGCATCATTCGCTGATTCCCACTGCTGTGTGCCTTTAATATTTATCCTGACACCCGGTTCGGATCCCACTGCAACACTTTTAAAGTTTGCCGAGGATCAGGGCTTTGGAACTAATCGATTGTTCTCGCTGTCATTGGGTCAAGGCCAAGGCCCCATTGCCATGAAGATGATCGACGAAGGCGTTAAGATGGGTAATTGGGTGGTTTTACAGAATTGCCATTTGGCAGCTAGTTTCATGCCCTTGCTGGAGAAGATTTGTGAGAATCTCTTGCCGGACGCAACCCATCCGGACTTTAGGCTATGGCTCACCTCGTATCCGGCAGACCATTTCCCAGTTGTGGTCTTGCAGAATGGCATCAAGATGACCAATGAACCGCCCAAGGGCCTTCGCTCGAACATACTCCGCTCTATGATTAGTGATCCTATCAGTGATCCAGAGTGGTATGAGTCTTGCACGCAGCCTAGGATCTTCAAGCAGATGATCTACTCGCTGTGCTTCTTCCATGCTGTAATTCAGGAGAGAAGACACTTCGGACCGATAGGATGGAATATCCCCTATGAGTTTAACGAAACCGATCTCAGGATATCTTTGATGCAGCTGAGGATGTTCCTTAATCAATATGAGACTGTTAACTATGATGCGTTGCGGTATTTGACGGGCGAGTGCAATTACGGAGGAAGGGTCACGGATGACTGGGATCGTCGCACTTTAAAAACTATTCTAGATAAGTATTATTGCCCGGCGGTTATAGACTTGGAGAAACCATACTATCTGGATGAAACGGGTGTGTATTATGTGCCCGTCTTCAAGGAGGTAGATTTGTATCTGAACTTCACGAGGGAACTGCCGCAGATCTCGACACCAGCCATCTTTGGATTCCATGCCAACGCCGATATCATGAAGGATCAAAAGGAAACGGACATGTTATTATCGCACACTTTGCTCACTCAGGTAAGTTTAATTTTAATTTTATGTTTATTGTCCATTGTATTTTATATGCTTAATGATAAATTGTTAAAAATTTTTGCTTCTTAATGCTTGCCATTTAAAGGAACGTTGGGTAAGATGTTTACTGTAGTTTTTCAACAAATAAATTTAATAATTTTATACGGTTTATTTGCTACACTCTGCATAGGACCTCTATGATCGTCGTGTAAGTGCCCGATAACTTTAGTTAATGCTTAAAAAATTAATATATTTAACGAGTTTTTTGCTTGACACGCTGCTTTATAGAAATTGGAGAAAAAACAAAGGGTCTATATAGAAACGCTTAGTACACGCTTCCCCGAAAACCTTTCCCTACCCACTTATCCTACCTGTCCTCCCTTTCTTTCCCTGCACCTTATGCCACTTAAGGATACCAGTGCCTCCTCGGACGATAGTGGCGGTTCGAAGGCATTAACGCCCGAGGAGGTCGTTACCAATGTGGCCACCGATATATTGGATAAGTTGCCAAAGCTGTTCGATCGAGATGCAGCCTTGCTCAAGTATCCCACTCTGTACCACCAGAGTATGAACACGGTGCTGGTCCAGGAGATGGTGCGGTTTAATGTACTACTGAACACGATCCGAACCAGTCTTATCACGTTGCGAAAGGGTATTAAGGGTAAGTGATTTGAATACCTCATTTGATAATTCTATGTTATAATCTGTTATTAAAAACAAAATTAATTTGTAACGAAAGATCTCTTTATTGAAGATGAAATTTTTTATTAGAATTCCAAATGCTAATTAGTCGTTTTCTGAGAGTGTCCTACTAGCTTGTTCTATTATTGTTTTATCATTGACGGGTAAATGATCATCGCTTGTTTGAACGGGGATGACAGCATCGAGGGGATTATTAAAATGTGAGCCTAAGGAGCCAATACGCCTTTTTTCAATAGAATGGTCTTTGGCCATTTTAGCGGGTAGTAATGTGCCTTGCTTTTCAAGTTTAGACGATCTTAATCTCATCGTGTTTTGTATTTCCGATTGTACAGGTGGTATGAAGATCTTAGCCTTTTCAACAATGGGTACAGGCTCTGGTCTAAGCTCTGGCTCCAATTCCGATTTCAGTTCCGCTTCCAATTCGGTTTCCAACTCAGGTTCAACTTCGAGTTCGATTTCAGTAATAGGTTCAATTTTGATTTCGTGTTCTAGTTCCGGTTCCTTAGATTTTACCTCAGGTTCAGGTGGTTCCACTTCCTTGTTAATTGCATCAATCGACTTCACATCCTTAGAACCTGAAGAAATGGGTTTCATCTCCATGGGCTTGAGTTCATGACCAGGTAAAACCAAAGTTTTCAATTCATGAGGAGGTGAAACCATTGTTTCCAATTTCTGAGGAGGTGGAACCATTCCTTTCACTTCATGAGGAGATAAGTTAGTTTCTGGATCCACTTCCGATTGAGTTAAATCTGAAGGTTTCATATTGTCATTTGGAACATCGAGTTCATCCATATTCTCAATGGGTTTGGATGAGTGTGATGTTTCCAAACTGTATTCCATTTCAGAGGCGACTTGCAAACTAAGTTTATGAAATGAGACCATTGGCGAACCTTCTTCAGTTATTGTTTCATTTTCAACCAAATTTTTGTCCTCGTTATTTTGAAGTGATATTACCTCATCATTGAGTTCAATCTTAAAAGCTGTTAAATCTGATACATCTGAAAAATCATGAGTGCTTATTACACTGAACATTTCGCTTGGCTTCGCTGTAATGTCCCCAAGGGAATTAATGATTAGAGTGCCTATATAATGATCGCTACCAGATGGTGGATCATCGGGCGAATTATCAAGGTTCTCTAATAACCTTGTGACATTATCTTTTTTAAACTTTTTCATTAAGTTCAACATTTGTTTTCGCATAAAAGCAGATCCTTGAATTGAGGGATAGATTTCTGGTATCTATATTATCCTTGTCCCGAATATTGTCCGTGGAGCGTATGACATTTTGAGAAGCACACAGCCGGAGGTCAACCAATTCTTTTGATGAAACTAATCCAAGTTTGTCTACATTGTAGAAAAGACTGGCGAATACATCGTCAAAGAGATCGTTATAGGTTTCGGTGACGATGCGCTCGTTTTCCTCTAGCCAACGTCTTCCGGGAACTGCTTGTCGAATGATCTTTCTAATTATGGCATGGGCCTCGTACCAGGAATTCTTTTGGGGGATATCACTTTCACTATCTGTGGACATGAGGTATAGATCGTTATCGATAAGGCGATCAATAAGATCGCTCGTTAATGTGCTGCCTATATCAAACGGTTCTAGTTCTTTCCATAGTTCAGGAAATAACACATCCTCCACTACGTATTGGACGATCATGGAATTTTCATAGCGTTGCAGGACTTGATTCATATTTGGGGATACCATATCCTTCAACATCAACCGAAGAGGAACATAATTGAGGGGGTTTTGGATTAGCTTAAAGCTCTCCAGCCATCGGTGTATATCCTGGTCAATTTGCTTGGCCAATTCTGTAACGGTGTCAGCAGCTTCACCTTCGGCCGCATTGTACATGTCTGAGGTCAAAATTTTGGCCATATATTCATTGGAGATATCATTATTTACAACATTGCATTGCTGGAATAGCTCCTCGTAGACCATTCTCATATTGTCCTCCTTCTGTCTCAAACCAGCTTCGGCAGCCTCGCGTCGCCAGCGCTCCTTCTGGGCCATAATCGAGAAGAAGTGCAGCTTGCGCAGTTCCGAGAGACGATTCATCTCTTCCGAGAGGAACTGCATTACCCATCCTATGTAGCTGCCCTCATACATGTTCAACAAGTTTTCAATGTCCTGTCGTTTTTTATCCGATATTATTTGTTCATTCATAATACCTTTTTGTTCCATTATCTGTTCCTCAACATATTTGTTCCATCTATCGTGATCTCCTGGATTCTCCAAATCACTATCCTTATCCGTCCTCGTATCATAGAGGTCTTTCAGATACGCCATGGACATTTGGGATGCCGCTCTACCTAATTCTTGCTTTCGCCGCTTTCTGAGACATTTTGGCTCTTCTTTTTCCTGGGTGGCCTGAGTTCTAAGGGTCCTTAAGGATTCAAAGAGCTTCTGCAGGTTGGCTTCATTGCAGAAGTTTCTCTCATATTCTCGGTCAAACTGCTTGGGCTTGGACCAGTCCTTAAGCTTTCTAAACGGACATTTTAATTGGTTCATGTTGACTTGCTTCTCAAGTTTGTCAATTCTCATATCAAAAGCATTGCGTTCGGTTTGTGAGACAAAATTTCGACGTGCCGGATCAACGCCGTATCGTAAAAGGGGAGCATAGAATTCGGAGCACGGAGATCCCAAAGAATGCATAGGGCTCTGCTTTATCCACTTTCGCGGAGTTTTCGTGACCTGGAACTCCAATTGACGCATTCCTCGCTGGAACTCAATCTCGTTCTTTCGCAAACCCGCCTGACGACGCGCCTCGATCCGTTCGCAGGCTTTTTCAATCCGTGTCTTTGAGGCAGCGTGCATTTCCTTCTCCCTCTTGTCAAACATTTTGATTACGATCTGAAGACGTATCATCTGACATTCCTGAATGTCCTCCTCTCGCTGGATCCACTGCTCCCATTCGAAGGCTTCTAGAATCTTCTTGTATCCAGTTTTTATCGCCACACTCCTCGCCTCATTAAGGAGTCTTTTCATGTTCACCTTCAGGGCATCCCTGAAGGCCCACCGCTTCCTAGCACGCTCAAGAACTTCGACCTCATGGAGTCCTGGACGATTTGCTTCGGGCAAAACAGACGGCAGGGAAAACAGTTCCAAGGTTTTTGCACCATCTGCTTCTAAGATTTCCGGCAAATAGCTCAAAGTCTGCGCAGAGGATTCCCTAAGAAAAACCGTTCACGAAATATCAAAATTAAGCTAAGTTCTAAGCTTACCTGTAAAGCGTCTGAGTGATTTGATCCTTAAAGGGTCGATTGTCCTCAGCTTTAGTAAAGAAATCACATTTGTGTTTCAATTCCTTTCGCATAACTATCCTGGGAGACATCTTGACCTCATGGGTGTTTACAGTGGTATCTTGTTCGGTGAGAAAATGGAATCCTGGAGCATGGAATCGACATTCACTGTCGGTGCGAGGTAATTTTCCAACATCGCGTTGGGCTGGATCATTTGCACCTGGAAAATTGTATAGTAAGTTGGAAAGCCGGAGAAACTTTTTTTCAAAAAAATATACCTCCACTGATTCGTAGATCTGGAGAGCTGGTAGTCAAACAAGATGTTAGACCATTTTCAGTCTGCTTTTTAGTTCTCTTAGTAAGTTTTTCGTGTTTGATATTATTCAGATGGCTCCTAGGCGAAGTATTTGGTTGTCTTACATCTCTGTTTTTTTCTTCCGGAAAAACCTTGAAATTAACCTGTTTTACCAATCGTGTATTGTGTATTGGCATTATGAAAGGTCCATTAATTTTTTTAAATTATTTAAATTATATTTCTTTTATATTTGCTTTAATCAATGTTGATTTTCCGTGTACTTTGTTTAGTTTTGTGTTAGCAAATGAGTTTCATAATTAATTCATTTCGATTTGTATTTAAGAAGCCTACTAAGTTAATCTTTTGATATAAAGCATTGATTAAGAAGATATCAATCTAATCTTAGTTTTGCCTTTTCACCAACAGGTTTGGTTGTAATGTCTGCCGCAGTAGAGGCGGTTTATAAGTCAGTCCTGATAGCCAAAATACCGGCAATGTGGGCTGGAAAATCATACCCAAGTCTGAAGCCTCTCGGAAGTTATGTGAATGATTTTCTGCGCCGCCTTGAATTCCTGCAGGTAAGTAATAATACATTTCAAATACTTCAATCTCAACTAATATTTTTCTCTATTATAGCATTGGTATGATCATGGTGCCCCTTCAACCTTCTGGCTCTCTGGCTTTTTCTTCACTCAAGCCTTTTTAACGGGTGCCCAGCAGAACTATGCCCGAAAGTATGTCATTTCCATAGATCTGCTAGCCTTCGACTATGAGGTTCTGTCGATAGAAGAAACCCAAAGACAGGGATTATCTCGTCCCGAGGATGGGGTCTTTGTATATGGCATTTTCCTGGAGGGTGCTCGTTGGGATCGCACTGGAAAATATTTGGCCGAATCCCGGCCAAGAGAACTGTTTGATACAATGCCTTTGATTTGGTTAAAACCACTCAAGCGTGTCGATCTTCCCGAGCGTCATAATTATCTGTGTCCCATGTACAAGACAGCCGAAAGACGAGGAGTATTGTCCACCACTGGTCATAGTACCAACTTTGTTGTGGCCATGTTGTTACTCTGCAATCCCAATACCCCAGTCTCCCATTGGATTATCAGAGGCACGGCTCTGCTGTGTCAACTGAGTTTCTAAAAATTACTCTCATTTATTGGCTTAAACTATATTTTGTAAAGTTTACTTTTAAGTTAAAATAAAAGTCTGAGGAATAACAAATTGTGTATCGAAAGTTTAAGTTTTTCTTTAAATAAATATATTAGTCGGATAAAATTAACTGTAAATAATTTGCACGTATTTATTCGAATTAATTTTCAAATAGATACATATTTTAAAATTCTCGCGTATGAAAGTAACGAAAAGTACCGTTACTTGAGAAATGAAAATCTGGAATTTCATTTATCTTAATTTGAAGAGCTTGGAATCATGGGGAACATAAACAACAACTTCCTCGCCATTATTGGAATCCTCTTCCTGATGTTCATCAGAATTAATTGGAGAATTGTCAATTATATCTTGTTCCACTTCTTCATCGTCGACTTCTTCATTAGAGATTTCTGGACTACCAACTTCTACAATCAAGATTTCTTCATTTACCACTTCTACATTTTCTACCACCTCAGGTTCTAGTTCTAATACAATGCTTCTTTTCTCGCTACTACTTTCAGGCGATGAAACTATTTCTACAGAAGATTTATGACTGACAGAGGAACCCCTTAGCGCAGATAGATCATCCTTGTGCTCAACAATATTTACAGTACTTATGATGCTAAAAAGTTCTGGCTCTGGAGAAATCGGATTTATGACGTTCGACTTTTGAAGAACTTCGCCAAATATTTCCGAATCATTGCTAATCAATTTAAATTTCTCATCGGTTTGCAGATCTTTGGTAATGTTGTCTTCCTTAAACTTTTTAACAAGATTTAGAAATTGCATTCTTAAAAGGTCGGCATTTTTCAAATCTTCTGAATGTGATGTGGATATTGGTTCCGAAGTAAGCCTTTGTGGAATATCATTTATAAAACGGGCAAATGATCTACTTTGACAAAGCTTAAGGAGATCGTTTGGCAAGACAACTGGCGGATTCTCAATGCCATATATGATTTCTTCGAAAATATCATCGAACAAGCTATTAAAGGTTTCGGTAACCAGCCTTTCGTTTTCCTCTTTCCATCGTCTGCCGGGAACCGCTTGGCGAATTAGTTTTCTTATTATGGCATGGGACTCATACCAGGATGACTTATGGGGGCTTTCACTTTCACTGTCCGATGAAAACAAATATAGATCGTTGTCAATGAGGCGATCTATGAAATCACTAGTTAATGTGCTGGCTATATCGAATGTTTCTAGTTCATCCCAAATTTTGCCAAAGATCACATCCTCTACAATGTATTGGGCAATCATGGAATTCTCATAGCGCCGAAGTGCAGCTCCCATATCCGGGCTGATCATGTCCTGGAGCATCAGTCGTAGGGGAGTGAAGTTCAACGGATTCTGGATTAATTTAAAGGACTCCAACCATCGTTCTATGTCGGCATCGATTTGCTTTGCCAACTCAGTAACAGCTTCAACAGCTTCGTCTTCTGCCATGTGACTTATATCGGTGGTGAATATGGAGTCAGAATATTTACTTGCCGATTCATTGTGTATCGTATTGCAAAGCTGGAACATTTCCTCGTAAAGCATTCGCATGGTGTTCTCCTTTTGCCTTAATCCTGCCTCGGCTGCTTCACGCCGCCAGCGTTCCTTTTGGGCTAAAATGCAAAAGAAGTGCAGCTTTCGCTGTTCCTTCAGTCTTTGCATTTCATCGGCCAGGAACTGCATTATCGTTCCTATATAATTGCCTTCGTATGAGCATATAAGAGTCTCTAATGACTCGCGTCCTATCACAGAGCCCCTTACTGGCTTTTCTTCTATTGGTGGGACTAGCTTCGGGGCTGGAGCGGCGTGGGTTGAACTGGGCACCTCGGTATACCTCGACTTTCTAGAATACCTGTAGTGAAGGAAGGATTCGTTAGATTCTGAGCTTGATGATCCGCGTTCTAAATGCAATCGTGTCTTCAGACAACGAGGCGGTTCTTTTGCCATGTCGGCTTGTGTTCTGAGGGTCTTCAGGGACTCATAGAGCCTCTGTAGATTGTCATCATTGCAGAAGTTTCGCTCATATTCTCTGTCGTACTCCTTGGGTTTGGACCATTCCTTTAGCTTGCTGAAGGGACACTGAACATTACGCATGTTAACCCGCTTCTCCAGATCATCGATCCTCATGTCGAATGCCCTGCGTCCAGTAGTGGGCTCAAAGCATCGTCGTGCCGGATCAACTCCATGTCTTATCAATGGGCCATAGAACTCCGAGCAGGGGGATCCCAGGGCATGCATAGGACTCTGCTTCTCCCACTTTCGAGAGGTTTTGGCCAATTTGATATTGATGCGACGCATTTCACGCTGATACTCAATTTCGTTTTTGCGGAGTCCCGCTTGTCGCTTTTTTTCGATGTCCTCGAAGGATTTCTCGATTCGGATTTTTGAGTTGGCATGCATTTGCTTCTCCCTCTTGTCAAACATTTTGATCACGATCTCAAGACGCATCATTTGGCATTCCTGAATGTCTTCCTCCCGCTGGATCCATTGCTCCCATTCGAAGGCTTCCAAGATCTCCTTGTACTGCGTTTTTATCGACACTTCTCTTGCCTCATTAAGGAGTCTCTTAAAGTTCGCCTTCAGAGCTTTGCTAAAGTCCCATCGCTTACGAGCCCGCTCCAGAAACTCAACTTCATGCAATCCTGGTGGTTTGGTGCCTGGCAGCAAATTGGCCAAAGTGAAAAGTTCAAAGTTCTCTGATTTTTCTTCACTGTATATCTCAGGTAAAAAAGCCAAGGTCTGCGCCGAAGATTCTCTAAACGCAAAAGAACGGTTTAAATGTATTTCTTTTCCGAGTCAGAGTTATATTCTACCTATAAAGGGTTTGTGTGGCCTCATCCTTGAAAGGTCGATTGTCCACAAATTTGGGAAAGTAGTCACATTTGTTTTTCAACTCCATTCTCAAAGGTTTCGAGTTCAGCTTGACTTCTTGAGTGGCATAGTCCGAATGTACTGTTTGCAGAAAAAAGATTCCTGGCTCCTTGAAATGGCATTCGCTGTCGGTTCGAGGTAATTTGCCAACATTTCGTTCTGCTGGATTGTTGGCACCTAGTAAGTTGGAAATCAAAATGGTTTTTATTTAGATAAAGTGACTAATTTAGGATTTACCCACCGGCTATTAATCGGGAATCTGTGGACTTCGTGCATGACGAATTGAAATGCAATTTGCTTTCTGTGCAAGGCTGCTTTTCCACAGAACTGTCCACGGGTTTGCTGTTACCTGAAAGGAAAGCCATTATCTTCAAGTTTATTAATTTTTGATTTTTCCATAGACCCACCACTTGTTAATCTGGTTTCTGAGGGCTTTGTGATTAGGCATGATGTCAGGCCCTGTCCAATAATCTTATCATTATCCCTGACCTCTCCACTACCTCTGTGGTGTTTGCTATGTGTGAATGATACTCTTTTCTTTTGCCGTGAAGTATTATCTTTCTTAGGTGAAGGTGTTTGTAGAACCATTGCTGAATCGCTTGGCCTGAGCTCTCGATTTTCCCGTATAAACGCCAGGATTCGCTCCTTTCGCAGGCGCTTTTCCTTTGCCGTAGGCATTTTCAACTAATCGTTTAAGAGACTCAGATCCAATGTTTGTTATTTTTGGTCCTATGTGTTTTTTTTCAGGTTGATGTAGTTTTTAAAGTAAGCTAACAATTTACGTTTTTAGTTGTTATATAAATAGCTTACTGGGTTAACTCCCCCTGTCTGCAGCTCAAGGTGTTCTGGGTTGTGCAAAAGCATTGGGTTAGTCAGTCAATCAGGAGCAGTTCCGATTCTCCAGGCAACCGACTTGCTGCTAGGGAGACACATTGTTTGTTGGACAATCGATAGGCGCCTATTTAGGTACCAACAAATATGTTGGAATATTAAATTATGTAAACGTTACCAAATGTAAACACTTCTTAACATTATAAAGTCATTCCAAAAGAAACTAAAATATTGCCAATAATATTTATTGAAAATATACATAAGGATCGTTTCAATAAAAATATATAAGATATATAAATTAATTATTCAATAAGACTCTCGATCGAGTTTTATGTCCTAATAAAGATTTTTCTTTGATGAACTCGCACTCTTGCAATTTGGAAGCCAAGGCCAAGGATCATCATCATCAAAGAACGACACAATATCTTCGTTGATCGGCTTTGTCTCAACTGAAACCGGCGGATCTTTACCGAACCCCGTATCTGAGTTTTTTTTTTTTCTTTTTAGGCTTAATAATTGTGTTTTGATTACAATATCACTTCCAGCACTCGTATCAGATGTAGTTTTCGATGATTGGAACTCGTGACCCCTCGTTGATTGAACTTTATCATGTGCTGATAGGTCATTGTGTGAAAGTGTTGAATGCACTACAACAGGCTCGAGAATTGGCAGATTATCTCTTCTGAAAATCATTTCGGCAAATATATCATCCATCAGATCATTATAGTTCTCGTAAACAATACGTTCGACTTCCTCTTTCCAACGTCTGCCGGGTACCGATTGTCGAATAAGTTTTCGTATTATGGCATGGGCTTCGTACCAGGAAGTTCTCTGGGGTGTTTCACTTTCACTTTCCGAGGAGAAGAAATACAGATCATTGTCGATGAGGCGATCAATGAGATCGCTAGTCAGGGTGCTAGATATGTCATAGGGTTCCAGCTCCTTCCATATTCTGTCAAAGATCACATCCTCCACTATATACTGGGCAATCATGGTATTCTCATATCTTTGCAATGTAGCATTTAGATCCGGACAGACCATATCTTGCAACATCATACGCAATGGAATATAGGTAAGAGGATTTTGGATTAACTTGAAACTCTCCAGCCAGCGTTCGATGTCCACATCAATCTGCCTGGCCAACTCCGTGACTGTTTCAGCTGCCTCTTCAGCAGCCATATAACCCAAATCATTGGTCAGTATACTATGGACATATTGATCACTGATGTCGGTTTGGACACTATTGGAATTCTGGAACATTTCCTCGTACAATTGCCTCATTGCGTTCTCCTTTTGCCTTTCTCCTGCCTCGACTGCTTCCCGACTCCAACGACCTTTTTGCCCCAAAACTGCAAAGAAGTGAAGACGACGCTGTTCCTTCAACCGAGTCATTTCATCGTTGAGGAACTGCATTATGTGACCAATTAAACTGCCCTCGTATGTGACAAGCATATTCCTTAAATCATTCTTGCTATCGTCTTTCTTTAGTTTTTGGGCATACTCGGAACTTATCTGATTCTCGTGCCATTTCAGATGTTGTCTGATAGCTTCTTTTGTTGAGGACCTCTGCGATGATATTTTAGGATCTTCTTCTCCCCTATCATAGAGCTTGGAAAATCTTTCCATTGTTGCCGAAGCCAACCTGCTGTTTTCGCCTGGTGTGTCTTGAGGTTGAAAGCGGGTCTTGAGGCAATTCGGCTTTGGTTTGTTTTTTTCAATGCTGGTCCCCAATATTTTCAACGAGTTGTAAAGTTGTTTCAGATTGTTCTCTTTCAGGAAATGATTCTCGACTTCTAAAATTTGTTGCTTAGGCCTAGACCATTGATTTAGTTTAGAAAATGGACACTCAACTATTTTAAGATTGATTTGCTTCTCCAGTTCATCGATTCTCATGTTAAAAGCACGGAAACTAGCGGTTGGGGAGAAATTACGACGACCCGGATCCACTCCATATCTTATGGCTGGAGCATAGAATTCAGAGCATGGTGATCCCAGGGAATACATCGGCTTCTGCTTCTGCCATCTGATCGAAGTCCTGGCCAGTTGTTTCTGATTTCGTCGCATACCACGCTGATACTCGATTTCATTCTTTCGCAATGCCGCCTTACGTCGCTTCTCAATGAGCTCGAGTCCTTGTTTCAAACGCGTTTTGGATGCGGAATGCATCTCTCTCTCCCTCTTATCAAACATCTTGATCACCATTTCTAGTCGTATCATCTGGCACTCCTGGATTTGTTCCTCCCGCTCCACCCAGTGCTCCCATTCCAAGGCCTCCATCAGAGATGCATACTGATGTATGGCAAGTTTACGTCCATTAATCCGTTGATTAATAAAATTGGTTTTCATTCCTTCCAAGAACCTTCTTCGCTTACGAGCACGCTCTAAAATTTCCACCTCATATAGACCCGGTGGCTTATTGCCAGGCAAAACTGAAGGTAGAGTAAACAGCTCTAGGCCATAGCTTTCTGTGACATTTTCGACATCTGGCAAATAGGCTAAGGTCTGCGCCGAAGACTCCCTAGGATTTAGAGCTAAGGTTTAAGATCAATTACAACTTCTTCAAATTATTTCACCTATATAGTGTCTGAGTGATTTGGTCTTTAAAAGGCGATGGGTCCACATATTTTGGAAAGAAATCACACTTATTCTTCAACTCCTTTCGTAAGGGTTTGCTAGGCTTTAAATAGACTTCTTGACTAGCAATGTTAACGTTACGTCCTTTGAGAAAAAATCTTCCCGGTGAATGGAATTGGCATTCTTCATCGACTCGAGGTAGATTTCCCGTTCTTCGTGCAGCTGGATTGTTTTCACCTATGGATATTTAGAATTGGAACTTTATTATCTTATTTATTTTAATTTTAAAATTCATACATATATAAAAATAGCATATTTTTACATAACATCATCTACTCACCGGCTGGCAATCGCTGATCTACTGAGGGAGTCGCAATCAAACACGATTTAAGATCCGTTGTTGCACTTTTAAAGTCATTTCGAGGCGGTTTTCGGTTCTTGGCAAATGTATTTCTCTCTGGGACAACGACTGGCTGGGACTCTCGGTTTTCTTGAAGAAATTTTAATATTCGTTCTTTTCGCTCTTCCTGTAACTTAGCTTTCTCACGGAGTTTGCGATCTCGCATCTTGAAAGTGCATTTTTTGTTTCAGGAAAATAAAATTGATTTCAAAATTTCTTTATAATTAAAGAAGTATATGTGATGCCTACTACTAAAGTTCACAATCATAATGTCATTATAAAACTATTTTTTCTCATTTTTAAATCTTCTTTCAACGCTTAAGATTAAGATTCTTTTTATTTTTAGGTTAATTATTAATTAAAAATGCAAAAAAAAAAAAAAATATTCATAATAATTAACATTTTCCATTTAACATTTTAGTTTCATACAACTTGGGATAAGCTCATCAATATCAATTTAAGCCATTGAAATGGTCAACATTTTTCCCACAATCTGGGGGTTGTGAAAATGGCAGCGATACTAAGATGTATACAAATGACCTCAAATGGGTTGTTTTACTTTAAAAACCCACCCACCCAGTCGACAGGACGTTAATCATTTATTATCCGACATGTCTGTGATTATTTAGCTTTTTGTCTTGGCCCGGCCATATTTCATTTTCCCTGCTTTGGCTTTAAATTTTTTAAGTCATTGAAGATGTTTTCTTGGATCCCCTGATTTTCCCCGGGCGAGAGTGCAACTAATTTTGTGTAATAATTTATGAGCGAAGTTTTCCCGGAGGTTGGTGGGGTAGAAAGGAAATGCTTTTCGATAAGAAGTGCTTTTGACGATTAAACGCAACACTCGTACAAGTTGTGAGGCGTAAATTGTTGTTTTCAGTCTCCCAGCTTCGAAGGTTTTAAACATTGAGGGTTCTTTTGTGGGCAATTTAGGGCCATTCTTGTTTGCCAAAACTTTTTCTTGAAAAGCGAGTGGCGAATATTTTAGGCAGGGGAAAGCTTGAGAACTTGACCCATTTTGACAGCTTCACAGATTGCCAACTTTTAATTGGCATCAATTTTTATCAACTCCGGAAACACTGCTCAACGGTACAATTTGAAGACTCATGCTGGAGCTCAGCAGGCACATTAATTATCGGTCGAAAGCCTCATCTCCGTTCAATTTTAGCTCCCCGCCTGCACTTTGCCATTAATTACCTTTGCTAAGCATTTTGGCCATTTATCAGACTCGACTTCGTCCCGGTTTTGGTTCTTGGTTCCTGAAAAAGGGTATTGCTTCGTTCTTTGTTGCCTGCGTGACCCCATCAAAAATAATGATGCCAATTAGGCAACAGCATTTTCCACGAACATTTAAACCGATTAGTGCTAATGCTAGAATCTGCCCAAGGCAATTCAAATCAGTTGAAACTCAACCCTTATTTTTATATTTAGCCCAATCTTAAAATTATCCTCAGGTTTTTGTGCAAAGTATTACAAGCGGAATTACATTTTTTATCTTAGAAAACTTTTTACATTAAATAGAATAAGATGTTTCAAGTTGTTACTGAGTATTTTAATTTTTATTCAATATCAGGATATACCTTTGTTATTTTTACATTTCTTTCCATTAAAATCTGAATGAAAGAACCTGCAACCTTTGTCTAAGTGAAATTAGTTCTTTTTCTCATTTTTGGTTTGCTTCCGGTATAAGGGAAGCTCTTCTATTTTCATTTTTCAAATAATGCGTATTTATGAGTAAACAATGAAATTATATTTACTTTTGCTGTGTCAATATTTGCATGCAATTAATTTTCCCATCCTCGGTGAGAGCAATATAAAGCAGGGAGGCCAAGAGCCAGCAGAAACCATGGCGAGGAGTGAAAAATCAAAAACCAAACGAAGCATAGAGCGAGGGCAAAGTGCCGTAACGTGTGCAGAGAGCCGCAGTTTCCAGGGATCCAGGAAAACCCTCAGCTCTCAGCTAGAGTTCCAACCCAAAACCGAAAACCCACATCCACTTTCAGATCCACACCCACAATGTCCTAGCTGGCGGGTCTGCCGCAATTTACTTTAAAAGTATTGCTAACGAAGGAATCGAAGACGAGTGGCTTGGCATCGACTTTGTTTCTTGTTGTTTCTGTTATTTTCGTATCCTGACGCTGATGATGGGCGATGATAACGAGATGCTCCGCTGCCAAAGTTTGCCAAGTTTGCGGCTCGTCCTTTGGCGCATCCTTTGTGGCCGTTGCCTCGATGGCAACCCGCCGGAAAGTTCCGGCTAATGCCATAGCCACATTTTGCTTTTTTCCTTAAAAAAACTTCGTTTGCATGCTTTCGACTTTTTTAATTAAATCTTCGTGCAGAAGACAAATAGAATTGGCCAAAGTGCGGATGAATATTGAGGGGAATCGTTGGGCAAAAACCACCACCAACCAGGCACAAAAATACCACCGATCCCCATCCAAAAAATGAAGCCATTAAACTATATCCAACTCGTTTCGTTTAATGGCTAGGCCGTTTAAATTTTCAGGCCTCGTCGAGAAATTACAACAATAAGGAGAAAAGGGATCTCAGTATTCGCTTGGCTTCATTTAATGTTATCAAAAATATTTTCAGGCACTTAAATTAATTTATGGCTCAACGAATTCCCCTAAAAAACAGCTAAATATCATTCTATAACCGATTGGTCAGGGGGCTCTTATCAGTAGCGGCACAAAGGGATTTAATCAAATTTACTGCTGAATTTCTGATTTAAACAGTGGATGTTTTTTAAAGCCCCAAAGCACATTGATTGGAATTTTGTTTTACCTTCATTAATTTCAATTTAAAACAAGTTTTTGCAAGGGTACACCTGTACATTGCTCTGACTACACCCCTGTTTTTTGCCTAAATTAATGTTCTAAGCACAAAAAATTGTAAATCAATATTTATTGTAATGCCCATTGCTTGTATTTACCCTGAATTTAAGAGGTATTTAGATTTTACTTAGTGGTTTAATAAGGTTATATAAGATATGGGATTTAAAATAATATTTAATATTTAAAAGATCTATTTTTTAGTATGATTACGTAATGAATATGAAAGTTATTATTATCTAAGAAAGAAGTATAATAATATCAGTTTTTTAATCATAGGTCGGTAATACCAACTTAAGGGTATTACAACGTCGACAAATCTCTGCCTAACTTTTAGGTATTCCCTTTTGCTGTGGTTTTTTCGGGCGCTTGGCTTTTGTGCTGTTTTGCCCTTCGCGCTTATGTCGTAAAATTTATGACACGAAATGTTTTGGCATTACTTTCGGGCGGTTTATCTGCGGCCATGTAGCACTCGGAAAGGTAGGCGTCTCGTTAGGCGTGGCATCTGGTGGTGGCAGCCCTTTCCTTGCTTTTTATTCTCGATATGGGACAGGCATAAAAAACAGCAAGCATATTTATTTATATATGTATTTGAATTTTTTAGATTTATGCACAGAAATTTGCATTTTTTATGCTCATGCTGTGTTGTGAATTGTTTTGGGCATGGAAGGGATTTGGATTTGAGATTTCCATCGGCGATCGTCGGTGTGCCATTTATCAACTACTTCGCTTCGCAGGCAACTTTTTGGGGCCAAACATAAAATTGCACTTATGCAGCAGAGCAATAGCAACAGCAGCAGCATAGCAACCAATCTAACCATAACCAGCCAGCCATAACCAAAGCCCAGCCAAGTGCATGTGGGTTGGTTGCTCCCCCTAATCCCAGTCCTTATTCCTCGTCTTTTTTTCATGGGAAAACTATTCTCGCATTCGAAGCGTACATCTTGAGTTGGTTGGGTATTTGGGTATTTGTGTGTTTTTCGGCCGGGGAGAGTAGTTGCCAGTTATACATTCCATCCCCAATGGTTGGAAACCGCATAAATTGCTTTAGCACCAAAGGGATTTGTGTCAAAATCAGACCAAAACAGCCCGTTCAAAGACAAGAAGCCTCAGGCCCGTTTATCCAGAGTGATGTCTATAAGAAAGAAGAAGTATCTATGGATTTATGATAAAGCAGCTATTCCCTTTTAGGTTCGTATAGAGTCTAGAGTGAATATGGACCAAGTGGTAGGAAATACCCATGAGATTGATATTGTTCTGTGATTAAACCTGAAGAACTCTTCTTGAATGAACGATCTTGTGATGTTATAAGCCTAAGCCAAAATCACATTATATGTAATTCGAATGCGTAACGTTTCTCTGTTCTCTGCCCTGAGACCGTATACATTCTCCTTATTTTACCAACTTACCCAACTTCATTAGAAATGTATGAGACCCACGCTAATGGCATCGCCAAGAAAGGGAATATAAGCCAAGTCTTGCCTTAATTTTAAGCATTTGCTGTTGCTACACCAGCCAGAAAGTTTTTCCACTTCAATGAGCGGAGGCGCCGTCCCATACACATATGTGCGACTGTCCTGGCTGTACATATATCCCCATGTGAGTGTATATAAGGTTTTCGTGGGTTATACGCCCAGGCAAATCAGCTTACAACTTAAATTGAGGCACTTTCGTTTAGCTTCACTTTGCATGGTCGCCGCATATCCTTGAGTGGTTCGAAGGCCTTTGGAAAAGGCAGCAGGATGTGGAGTTGAAAGGAAGCAAACAAACCGCCGGTGGCACAATTTAGTTCCTCAGGGAAATGCTAAAGTTTTCCCTCTTGTTGTTGCATTTTTCGTTTCGATTTTTTTCCCCCTTGGATAGAGAACTTTTCACTTGCTCTATTTACCAGGATATTTCTTTTGAAATCTCCTTCCCTTACCCTCTATATGTGTGTATAAGTATTAGAAATAAATCAAGGGATTTTTGGGATTTCGGTTTTTTGCTTCGCTTCGTTTCGTTCATTGCTTTCCCCCATCAGTTTTCCATCCACAGCTTTTCCGACCAGTATGCGTGTATGAGTTTGTGTGGCTCAGGTTTTTGGTCTTTCCCAGCGGGGTATTAGTTTGGAAAATTGTTTTGACCACCGCAGGCCTAAGCAACAACTTGCTGTGGTTTTTTCTGGTCAGAGCTGTTACACAAATACAATGCAATTACAGGCCCTTTTCTTTTGTATATCAAGAAAGTTTTATTTACTCACCAATTAGATAAAAGTTGCCTTCACATTTTCACAGATGATTGCTCCATTCTTCGTTAAATTTAAAAAAAATCAAAAAAAACTTTCAGAAAGGTA